AAACTTATATTTTTAAAGATAGAGGAGTGGGGGGGGGGGGGGGGAGGGGAACAAAAATAAAAATAAAATTTTGCTTTCTTATTTAGCAAATGGTTTTGCCAGAAACATCCAGATGGAAGAGAAAAAAAAGTGAAATGTAATTGTTGAATGTAAAGAGTTTACTGTAGTATGAATGTAAAGAGTGTACTGTAGTATAGGGATGGTTAAATGCTTTAAATTTAATTAATTAATAATTAGTTGGCAAGGTAATTAATAATTATCTTATTTTTGGAGATTTCAAGGCAGCGGCTGGCATAATAATAATAAAGAAAAAACTTTTACATTTTTTCTGAAATTCTAGTTTTTCTTGGCAGCGGGTTTGCTAATTGTCCAGAAATAAAATTTTATTTTTATTTGAAATCATCAATATACAGTATTGGCTGGGGGTGGGTTTACGAAAAAATATATAAAAAAGGTCTCGTCTAAGGTTAAATATATATCTTCTGTAGACAGTAACATGAAGAATCTATGCATGTAACATCAAAAAGGATCACAGAGGTTATCAACTTCCATTGCCACACAGATCAAAAACAATTCTGTTTACTTTTTACAGATTTCTACAAAAATCTTATCTTAAATTGATTTCCAGTCAAATTAAAGAATATGAATGGTACAGTATTATTTTCATGTACACTTGGGCCTATTAACAATGAAAATATTTTATTCTAGTAATTCTAATTGGAATTAAGTACATTAACTTTACAACTGTGCAATTATTACAAATAATGAATGTTTCTACTACAGTAAAGAATTTTAATGCTTATTTTGTATTTTATTCTCAATTCGTGCCTTGCGTTGCCCTTTGTAGGAACAACTGTGCTAGGAAGGACATTGTTGTCATGTTTTGTGATATTGCATGTTTTTCTGATTAAAGTATTTCTTTGTATGTATTTTATGTTTTTATGTTTTGTACTGGAGTATGTTTTCGCATGTTCCTATACATGTTTTGTATGTTTTTTGTATGTTTTTGCATGTTCCTATATGTTTTTGTATGTTTTTTGTATGTTTTTGCATGTGTTTGTATGTTTTTGCATGTTTTGTATGTTTTCTGAAATAAATGTTAGAATGAAAAAAGGTTTATGATATTCTCAACATGTAGGTCTATAGCAGTGTCTTTATCATATGTTGGCATAAGTTCAAACTCACAGTCAGCCAGTTAATTATGCAATGATGTTTGCATTCAAATTATTCAAATTTTATAAATGCTGGTACACACAGCGTTTGATCGACATTTACATAGCCCCCGAAATTGATGTGGTAACGTAAGGATTGCTTCTTTTTTTTTTTCAGCTTTCTCAGAGTTTCCTAGTAAAAATAATTTAAGGTTACCTTGGAAAATGTCTGAAAAATGGCATAGTCTGGGCGAAGACTTGGAAACCACTAATAATTTCTTTAGTGTCCACTAAATTGACAAAATGGGACCACTTTTGAATGTTTCTTTACAGCCAAACTGTTTAGGTTAGAAATTATCAAGTGTCCTAAAAGTTATCTGTGGAAACAAACAAAGAAGTTTTGATGTTCTACTGCAATGAAAGATGTATCATGTATTCATCTTGTTGATTTTTACACTGATGGCTAAGTAGTTGTATTTTGTATATTGGCTAGCTTAATAACTATGGCATGCCAATTTTGGGTATGTGCAAATTTCCTTATAATTTCCTTGGCTTAAAATTTGTTTAGGTTCTTAATATTCGAACTGAAAAAATTGGGAACCGCAGCTATCAGCCGTTATGCGAATTACGCATGACCCCGGCAGGGTCAAGGGGGCGAATCTCCTTGTGAAGTAGCGCACTCTGAACGTTCTTAGGACTGTTTGAGAGGATAAAGTGAAAATTGCAATAGACACATTATAAATAAGTGCAAAAATAATTATATAATAAATCAACAGTGGCAGATCCAGGAATTCGAAAGAGAGGTGTACCAGGGAGGGACTTTCACAGACCGAGGAACCACCCACCTCAGCCCCACCATGGTTGGGGCTGAGGTAATAAAATTTATGATTTGGGCATCTCTAGATGGCCGGAAATTACACTCTCGCACTTCAATTTGAATATATTTTTCTTTTTTTTTCCTTAAAAAAATGAAGTGGGGGGGGGGCCTTGAATCCACCTCTGCTCAAAACATTCTTTATCCAGAATAGTCATAATCACAAAAAAATGTACATGAAAAACCAGATCACATCCTCAAAACAAACAGCAGTCACTAAGACATACATCAGGAGCCGACTTGATGGAGTTTAATGTCATACCCAGGGAAGGGAACAGATCTGTTTTGAAAGGTGGAGGGGAGAGCATTTTGTGAGTCGACACCCACCTCAGCCCCACAATGGTTGAAGCTGAGGTGAGAAAATTTGAGGAAATAGTACCTCTAGATGGCCAGAAATGACACTTTTAGTAAACTTCATCATCATCACAGCACCATTAGTCAAAATGAAGCGCCAAACAAAATTCTCATGATCTTTTATCAGGGATTTTTGAAAACCATAGAGATCTTATTAATGTGTGTGTGTATACCATAGAAAACAATCTTAAAAACATTGTCTTTGAGTATGTACTTTACATACTGTAGGCATACTTCAAAAATGTGATTTCACAACCACCTCAGCCCACCATGGCTGGGGCTGAGGTGAGAAAATTTGAGGAAATAGTACCTCTCAAGATGGCCGGAAATGACACTTTTATATAGTAAAATTCATCATCATCACATTACCATCTAAGTCAAAATGAAACGCCAACAAATTTCTCATGATCTTTTATCAGGGATCTACTTAATATCCAGGACAACTTAGGCCTAATTATAGCTTACTAAGCTTTAACTATATATACTATATTATGATCAACAAATCACAACTTTTTTTCGCATTTAGCACAATTTTCTTCACTTTTATTGTTATTAATATTAATATCAATTATTACTATCTCATCATCATCATTGTTATTATTATTATTATTATTATTATTACTATTAGTTAGAATTATTAAACAAACATTTAAAGAAACTTGCAAAAGGATAAAAACGAAATTGAACCACAGTATGCATTTCTACAGTATCTTAAAAGACCTGGCCTGAGATTTATGGATTTAAGATTTTTTTAAATCACGCTTAAGCCTATGTGTTCTATTAGGCCTATGTATAACGTGTACTGATGCATATTTACACATTTAGAAGTATTCATTTTGAGTGATCCCAGGAAAGAATTTGTATTGGCTCAAGAATAAGCTTTAAAATTTTAACACTGTGTACCCTGGATAGGTCCCTGTATAATGGCAATTTTCCAAATATTTCAATTGCAGTTGAACTTGCTTAAGTCGAATCCAAAATGCCATTGAAAAAAATTTGACTGACAGATTGTTAATTAATGGAAAACACAACAATTTGGCATGTAAAATAAGTTTGACTTAGAAATTATTTGAGTTAGGCAAAGTTTAACTATAATTGTACAATCACTTGCAGAAGGATGTGAAGAAGTAGGCAATTAACTTGATTTGCCTCATTGTCCTGTCATTTATTTAATTTGAATTGCATTTCTGTATGTTTTGTTGATGTCATCTGCTCAACTTTGCTTTATTGCTAATGTTCTCTATTCAGCTTAAGTTGCCTTTAGTTGATGTCATTCATCCACTCAGAAACACATTAACACTGAGTAATTCTACCCACCTTAAAAGTATTTATGACTGAGAAGGGTTTTAATTTGACAAAGGTAGCTGACAGAATTACTCCATTTCGTTGATGGCGACTACATCTAAAGTATAAGAGAGTAGTTGGGAAGGGAAGGAGTAAACTCAAGGCTTTTGAGCAATCATACCTATCAGTGGATTCTGTTCACATCCACGATCGGAATGTAGGCCCTACTGAACAGTACTGTATTATGGTACAGGTATTACACTGGCTACTGTTGGTATAAAATCCTAATGATTGATAAAAAACAGCAATAATAGTACAATTATCATTAATATAAAGATTTAGTGGGTTTTAGGTGGTGGTAAAAGAGGGAGGGGTGGCAAAGAGTAAGAACTCTGTGTAATAGGGTGATCATACAATTTCCAGGAGAGACTTGCAATCAGGGTTCATTGAATTATTGGAATTTACCCACTCATGAGTGAAATATGAAAGTCACGCTTAAGCAGTTTAGCTCAGTCGGCTAATCTGGTGGTAGCCACTATGTGTGCACTGAACCATGGAGATATCTAGGTCCCCGGTTCAATTCCCAGTGTTGCTTCTTGTATTTTTCAGTTACAATAGCGCACGCATTCAAGCCGTTGGTCCTGTGTACATTATGGCATGTGTGCATGTTAAGAAACGCAGTACATTCTTTTGAAAAGTGTAGGGGATTGCCTCCTGGTGGACTCCCCAATCACCACTAGAAGGTCCCCACTGGAAATAAGTCTTCTTCACACTTTCGTGGGTTATCTTACATGTACACCGAATACATCCAATCCAATCCAACCACTTTATTTACATTTATCTCCGATTTGTATAAACTAATGCTATGGATTTGTGAATTTTTCCTGTACTTAAAGCTTTATGTAGATATTATAACAAATGGTAGTATCAGCCTAATTTTTTATTTATTTATTTATTCTTTCTTTATACTGAATATACACTTTCAATACATAGTACTGGTTTCCAAAGTGGTTCAGTTCTTAACTAAAAAATTTTAAAAGCAGATATATACATATGGTAACCAAAAAAGATGGATAACTTAACTACAAATTAAAATAGATTTAAAAGGAACATGGAAAGAAACTTAAGAAAAATAAAAAATTTAAATAATAAATATGGATATGCAAGGTAAGAGAAAAAATCAGGTTAAATTAAGATGGTATTATTGAGGATTTGAAATAGAATGCTTAAAATTTGAAAGTGTCATAGATTTAAAGTTGGTTTTAGTATGATCCGGGAGTTTATTCCGGGAGTTGCAATTTTTCTGTATCATTTATATATATTATTTATCTTTCCAGGGATTCAATTTGGGGTGTCTTGACTGGAATCTGTAATGAGATTCCTGCTATGGTTCGGCACGACATCCGGGAAATTGAAACTTGGATCTTGCGGTTACTCAGCGCTCCTGTACCCGTGCCGGGGAAGACGAGAGTAGAGCTAGATGTTTTACCAAACAACCTACAATCTCCACTGACATTTGCATTGCCAGATCATACTCGATTCTCATTGGTCGATTATCCATTGCATCTACCACTGGAACTTCTTGGTGTTGAGACTTGTCTTAAGGTCTTAACACTTATCATTCTAGAAAATAAGGTATGAATTTTAATTTGTCTAGTTCCTAGTTGTTACTTTTTGCTCTCCCTCTACTTTTAACAAATCAATCAATCAATCAATTATTTCATTTATTTATTTGTTTCACCATAAAATACACATAGAGGAATGATTGAATTGGTAAATTAAAATCATCCGGTATGTAGTGCAACACTGATTTCCATATTGAAGGCTGACATAAAAAAAAAAATGATTGGGAGTAAAAGAATACTTTCTTTTATTTATGTACATATTTTTTTTTTTTCTTTTAGTTTTATCCCTTTCTTTATTGAAATTATAGGGAAAGCATTGAAAGAATATGGCTGTTGCTACTCCCACTCCTTATTCGGCACAACCGCAATATCAGTTTTTTCTACTTGATGGATCATTACAGAATATTGAATGATAATTTGAATTTATTCTTGGGGGAAAGCTGAGGGGGAAGATATTGAACTTGAGGGATATCCCCTCCTGCTTCACCTTCAATTGCTCTTCCGGCAATGGCTATTACTTCTATTGCTCCTCTTAACTAGCCATGAAGAGAGAGTAACAAGTTATATAATTTTAATTTACTGAGCAGTATTCATCTTATTTGGGTGCATTGACGTCAATGTTTATTTTGCATTGTATATCAGCTTTATATACCTATGGGTAATAATTTACGTGTTTTGAATTATACAGCAAGTAGGAAGCATGTTCTTAATCCACATGTTTGTGTCTACAAAATTCTAGTTCAAGAAATTGACTCTTTTGCGTCACAATTCGTCCAATTTACTCTCATATAGAAAAAAATGATGATTTCCTCAATGTTGTGAGTCCTTTGCTGTTGATGAAAATTTTTTTGCAATATGTAATCAAGTCAACTATCAGAGAGTGACCTACAAAGTATAGGATAGCCAAGATTCTGTAATGCTCATTAAACTGCTGTAAAGTCTTGAAACAAAGAGTGTGGAGTTGATTTATTCAAAAAAAAAAATTCTAATTGATTACCCGTAGGATTTGAAGCATGGGATTGAAAAGGAAGCTTCTTAAACACCATAAAAAATGAAACGGTATAAGTACGAAGATATGTTGATATTAACAAAGAGAGTGGTTATAATGAATTAAACTGAATTCAAGAATTTCACCTGCGGTCAATATGTAATAAACACTACAACCGCTTATTGTCACGCATCAGCGATCACTGTGGCACTCAGTGACGCAAGCACTTCGTTGATTCTGCACACCTCGTGCTTTAGAATTGCCATTAATGTAGTCAACGCAATTGTACTATGACGTACGTTGCAGATGTTAAAATAAAAGTCATTAACGTCTTATTGAATGTTTCTCGCACAACTTATTTTCAAAGATTATGTTCACTCACTTGAATTTATTTCACAGTATTCTCACAATACTGTAGTGTTTATATAACACACCTATCTTGGTTTATTATACTTAAAGGATTTCAAAAGCCCATTATTGTTTGTTATAAATGGTTTGAATAACCATTCCAAATATCAATTGTAGATGAACTGGTGAAGATAATGCAGGTTTCAGATAAACAAATAGTCTACTTTGCCATAAATAACAGAAGTATGAACCCAATCAAAGTGACTTCTTAAGGAGAATGCGTAATCAATAACATGATTGTCTGAGTAGCAAGAAAGGAAATATGCTTTCTATTAGTAATCTGAATTCATTCACAGTGTCACATTATTGACTACTTTTAAAGAAATTTTGTTTCTTTCAGCATAAAAATTCAAAAATAAAGGGCCAGTTTCTGTAGAGCCATTTGAATACCACATTTTTACCTCCGCAGGGGAGATTACACAAGAACTAATGAATAGATTATCATAAAATTGATTAGAATTGTACTGTATATAATATTCAAAGAAAGAGACCTTACAATTCTGGGAAGGAAGGTGCCAAGCTCATGGTCACCAAAATTCATTTTTTTTAAAACCCCAAGCATAAAAGAAAATAATGGAATAGTCTGCCTGCATATTGTTCGGTATTCGGCACAGGGCAGAAAATAATAGCCGCCCATCATTCCCGGCCTGTGTATTGTTTGGTATTTTGGCACAGGGCAGAGGTATACACTTTACGGAGTGATAGCTATTAATATTTAAGTATCTGGGTGTTAAACTTATAAAGACATCACAATAAAAATAAATTTTTGAAGCGCTTGCTCTTCATAAAATTAAATTATTTTTTATCTTTCCACCAAGATCTTCATTCTTATATAAGTTATTATAATTTTTTTGATTTAATCAGGATTGAAAGAGCTAGGATAAACCATTATCTGGTATAATGAGTATAGCAACCGATAAAACCAATTCTAGATTGGTTTAGAAACATACTTTGGTTGAGATGTGAATCAAAATCAGAAACAAGATAATAGTGACTGATACATTAAGAGCTGGTAGAACATTACAAAACAATTTGTTGGAATAGTATCAACAAATAAAATTAAAGTATGTGAAATATTTAGAGTTGTGTGAAAATATCCAACTTTGCTAACTCACAACTCACCTCCATCTTGGTGTAAGCTTTGGTATTGCAATAGGATTTCAAATTTGTCATCCTATTATCAATGGATGGATCCGTATGTGCTAAAAGTGTATGACGATTGAAGCATGGCATTCTATATTTAGCAAAAGAATGACCTTAAAAGATCACTCGACTGTTTCAGTAATATGATTACGTGGATAATTCAGTGGAATATATTATGGAGATAATATAATATTTAATTTACAGTGCACTGCAGTAAACAATGTAAATTGAGCTTACTACACGCTATGTACGTACACTGATGATGAACCTGATGATGGCTGACAATTGACATAATAGTTTTTATTACTATATTATTTGTAACAAATATTTAATGAGCCCCTTTACTGTTAATGTTCACCCACTGTAAAGGAAAACGTGGGATGTCCATTTTTTTTCAAGTAAACCCTGATGTACATTAAAGCCAAAATAGACGATAAGAACCACCATATAATACATTATTCCAAAACTAAGAAGGATTTCAATATAAAAAAATTGAAAATTTTGAAAAAGAAATCACAAAAGTTGAGGCAGTTATAAAAAAAACAAAGGATGGAATGAGAAATTGATTGATGTTTTTACTTTGCTTAATACAGCGTTTCTGGCTACAACAGTTATTCTGTACTTCATTGTCATGTATTGTTTATTTTAGGTTATTTTACAGTCAAGAGATTACAACGCACTGTCAATGAGTGTATTAGCCTTTGTGAATATGATTTACCCAATGGAATACATGTTTCCAGTCATACCACTACTACCGACATGTATGGGATCTGCTGAACAGGTAATTTATAACAATAATATTAATATTATTTATTCATATATTCAACCTTTTTGAATAAGGGTAAATCCCTACAGCAAAATCTGTCTTTAAAGAGACCTTCACAACACATAGAATAAATAAAGCAATAATTTTATACAGGTCTCCTCCATCTTGATAGAGAGCTTTCGATTGCACGACGATAGTACGCCTCTAAAAATAATTTGTAATTATTTAAAATATACTGGCTGTAATAAAATCTGAAAGAAAAGTAAATTTAATAGGTTAATTAATTTGGAATTACTAAATTTCATTTCTTATTAAAATACAAAGTAACCAAAGCAAATCAATTTAATTGCATTTTGACTGATTTTTTCAATCACAAATATCATACAGTTGACCCAAGATTCAAATGATTTTCATTTCTACAAACATGGACATTTATCTAATTACAATTATACAAATCAACATAAAATCTAATTATTAGCAAAATATCTAATTAAAATGCAAATTACAATGCAAATAACAATAACAATGTTATTACCACTGTGTACAGTAATTGTATGTGAAGGACAACTTAAAGACAGTATAGTACAACGCATCCTGACGCGTTTTGTTGTTGCGTCTTATCTGTGCAAGTGTTCAATATTCTCACAGCGACCTGAAGGCTGGCCTCAATGATAAAATGCATGATCGCATTAATTTGACCTTGCTAATACAATTGAATTCAATTGAAAAATACATGATGTACACATTGTTTGCATACATAAGTGCCTGATACTGATAGTCCTAAGGATGAATTTAATGGAGACAAGCTTGATGCAATGTAAATTACAAATGATTACTTATGGTGATAGTTTTAACTATGTAATAACTTGAAAATGAAATAAAAAATCCTTTTGTGTTGTGTAGAAACAATTTCTTCTAACAGTGTAATATTTAAATACTATATTATGAATAAATTACTGATTAGATTATAATGAGATTTCACTTATTAATGCCCTTCAGTAAATCTGTTCAGATATTGTGGCATGTTTTAATAACCTTGACTTCGACTTTCTCATAAAATTTTAATGGTATTTAAATACCAGTGAGTCAAAATCACATGAGGTAGTGAAATCTCTTATTTACATCATTTGCTTATATTTTGCCAAGAAAAGTCTGCACAAAAAAAAAAAAAAATTAAACTGCTGTTGCTACTCGCATTTTATCATTTGCATTATTTTTCCCAAAAATTTTGCGATGCAAAAGAAATTAATAGGTAATCTTCAGTGAAGGTTTGGAGGATTTTATTTAAGCCTGAGTTTAGGAAATTGTGCTATCACAAAGTATTTGAATGACTACCAATTTGCTATCAATATTCTAATCAGGAATTTACTGTATACTCTGGTGAAATCATTCGTGGAGAAGGATGATCTGTGGCGTATCTGTGTATAAAACCAGTTAATACATGGTTCTGATATGAGAAGTGTAATAAGACAAGCCACCCAATGTCATTGTTTAAACTAATTAAACAGATTTTCATAATCAAGAAGAAATGCAACACAGCATCCATTATACTCAAGTGTTTAATTCCAAAATTAAACAGCGGTTCTTGTCATGCATGTGTGTGTTCTTCAAAGATTTGGAATGAAGAACCATCAAGTTGTCTGCTTAATTATTGCTTAGATTATGTGGTATTAAATCCTGAAGGACATAATCCCTTCCCTCTGCATGAGAATTCATTATGAAGAGAGGATATTAGTGTTTTAATTTTACTATCAGGTGTAGTTCGTTTTATGTGTCAGTGCATGTGAAATGTGGATAATTTAATTAAAGTGTATCATGGTTGATATAATGATGTAAAAGTATAATAAATAATGTAAAGCTCTTTATTTTCACAAGCCCTTAATTTTAACAATTTTCGGGGTAAGACGACGATCGAGAAATCGCAAAATTCTGAATGTTAGTTTTGTCTTCAAAAAGCAAAGCTGGCTTGGCTAGCTACAGTAGGCCATTACGTCACATTTCACTTCACATATCCAGACTAGGATATGAGTACTACCAGAATAGTACTACCAGTAGTATGAGTACTACCAGAATGAGTAGGGGTGCTGCAAGCTAAGCCAGGCCTTCAATGGATTAAAAACCTACCTTCAGTTGATTAAAAACCTACCTTCAGTGGATTAAAAATCACAGCATTATATTTCTTCTATAATACAGATATTTCTCACTACTGTAGTTGATAATTAACTATTGCACCTCTTTGTAAACAGTTTGTTCAACTTTATTAAGCTTACATTTGCTGCAAGATTTCTAACATTACCCACCAAAATTGGGCGATCTAGCTAAAATATAGACTGAAAAATATAATTGTAGGTTTCGCATTATGTTCAAAAAATGACTGGAAATTGTAAAAGCTCAAAAATAAAAGACCGCTAAATATTTCAAATATTAAAATCGCGAAACTTTTGGTTCGCGATATTAAAGGGCTATACAGTAAACTATATTTTGAAAACAGGTTTCATAATCAGACTATCATCACTGGATAATAATATCATTTTTAGCTATAATTTTGAACATTGCAAGAGAAGTTTAGGTAACCCTTTGATCGTTCTATTTATAATTCTGTTTTCAGTTGTTACTTGCCCCCACGCCTTTTGTCATTGGAATTCCAGCTAGTTTCCTCCTTTACAAGAATAACTTTGGCCTTCCTGATGATGTCTGGCTGATCGATCTAGATTCTAATAGGGTAAGTATTGTATAATTATATAATGTTATAATTATATACAGTCTCACTTTGTAGTAACCGTTGCATAATAAAAGCAAATGAAATCAACCATAAACCAAATCCCGCAGGTCGTGTACAAGAACCAAGTGAATCACTACACCGCATTATGGACATTTACGGAGCAAGACTAGCAATTAATGTAATAGTATTAATTATGATAAGTCGTTATTTAAACACAGTCTAATAGTATTATTTATGATAAGTGTGGTTATTCAAACACAGAGTCTTTATACGTGTGACTGTTAATTATATGTTGGACCATGTAATCAAATGGTCCTACAGTTAAGCCTCATATTTTGGCTGGTGTGCGCTGTATAGTTAGCCTAAAAATAATTAGCACAAATGTTCTATTACACGTAGATTATTTTTAGATAAATAATACTCTACTAATAGCATACTCTATTGCCATAAAATGATTTTTAACCTTGTTAAACCATCTGTTGTATTTGTATATTCTTTTTATGCAATCATTACATCATCATTATCATCATTATTACCATCATCATCATCATCATTATCTTCATCATTATCATTATTATCTTCATCATTATCATCTATATCACCATTATTATCATATTTATCACCTTCATCATTATCATTGTCATCACCATCATTATCATCCTCATTACAATCATCTTCACTTTTTATATTGTATTTACCATAATTATCATCTTAATGATATTTAACATCTGCATGAGTAACAGTTGAACTTAATGTTTTATTTTTCAAATACTACATTATGTACAGTAGAGGAAATAACATTAATGTTACAGTAAAAATTAATTAATAATTGTAATAATTATGCAATAGTACAACAGATGACATTTAAAACCATAACAGCAAAAACTCAGTATTTCACAATCATATGAGTATAATTGTAGTGTAAAGATGGTTCTAAATTATATATTGATTAATTATCCCATATTCAGGTATTTTCAATCACCAAACAAAACAAATGTCAAACTTTTATTGGTAATCATAAATAGTGCTAATCAACATTGCATCTAGAAATAACCTTTTGACTTTGTATATATTTCCAAGTAGATAAATTTGACTCAACACATTGTTTCATTAAAACTTTAAAATATTGGACCACAGTTTGGGTTGGTCATTACAAATATTTGTCATTGAACCCACAAGAGTGCGCTTACGTTATATATTATACTTCATTGAATGTCTGTATTTATTCATGAATTTAGATATAATACTCTTGTAAACAGACTTCCAAACTCACGTTTTTCTTTATCATTTGTTTACAAATTCAATCATACAGGTGACTGTTGATCAGCGCAGACTAGTTTTATTATAATTCCTTTTATCACCCTAAGGCCAACTCAGGCAGCGTCGGCCGACGCAGCCCGACGCGATTTGTTGTCGCGTCGGGTCTGTGTGAGTTGAACGCAGACGCGATTATGTGCGTCGGGGGCAGTCGCGTAGTAGAATATTAAATGTGTTTAATATTTCTCACGATGGCTTAAGACTGTCCCAGACGATAAAGCGGGTCGGGCTGCGTCAGCCGACGCTGTCTGAGTTGGCCTTTAGTGTATTCATACCAATTTTACCAAAATGAATGAGACTATGTACAGTATTACATAGACTGTTTCTGTAGAATGGTACTAAGGTTTCCAATAAATTGACAATCAAAAAAATGTCTTCCATTAGCACAGTACTGTAGTAATCATAATCCAATGTCCAGCAAACATTACTTTTGGATGTACAGTAGAATCATTAAAATGATGACAAAACCTAAGTGTGCTAAATTTTATGTATAAATGTTGTCGAAGCATATCTGAATCTAAATTTATTATGGAAACTGGTATTTACTATTAATTATTGATTTAGATTAATTTATTGTAAAGTTGATTAATTGCATTTTATCAATATTAATTGAAAACATTGGGAAATGATAATTTTAATCTGAAAATTTTTATTGGAATATTAAGTAATTGTTTCTTGCGGAAATCTGGCAAAGTATTTTTAAGATTGAAACTCATCCAGCTACAGATTGAGAGGCAAGCTGTACTATACCACTCGCTTCCATGCAAGAAAAACCCACCTACACCCACAAGTTAAAATAATATTTCAGGGTAAATGTATTGATTACTTAACATGGAGAAAATGAAAGCAGATGAAATTCGTTAATTAGTACTATAAACTGTGGGATGAAACTTGTTTTTTAACATTACAAATTCATTACTGTTGATGTCTTAAAATGTAGGACGTATTGCCTCAAGAAATTTGACATATTAATAGCAATATGTTGAGTAGATAATCTTAACTACCAACCTATGATATATGAAGATAGGATTAGAAAGAAGCATTGATAATCATATTTTGATAAACATAATATACTGTTCGTGGAAATATCTTGAAAAATTCAATTGAAATATTGCTCATTATATACCTGATCAAATTTATAGTTACCAATTTCCCAGGAAGGTATCAACAGAACTATATTTTTTTTCTGATATTTTACAGTGAAATTCCAAATATAGAAAACCATTAAAAATTTTATTAAAAATATTGGATACCTCAGTTATAAAAGATTATAATTAATTTTAAATGACCAAAAGCTACAGTATTTAATTAAATGTACATTTCAAATATTGATTTTTTTTTTATATTAACACATACAGTATTTTTTAAACCCATTGTAGTGACATTATTACTGGAAACTAATAATTCCTTTTTATGTATTTTTCAAATATTTAAATTGTCATAGTATTGTATTGCCTAATACTGTACCAGCTTACCTGAGTATGACATTATCATATACTTATTCTGAATGCACAAAAACATCAGATAATCATATTCAACTATAAATATTGAATGAACGAAAAACATAAATAATGAATGAATAAATGGAAAACATACAAAAGCTCAAATCATCATTATCTTCCTTTATTGTGCATAATTTTTAGATTATACTTGTGCAACTAACTAAAGTAATCCTAAATATCCTATAAAATTTAGATCATAATTTTCACCTAGCTAACTTAATTTATACCCTATTCATAATACACTCCATCGCAGTCAGTTGCAATGTAATTGGCGGTAATCTAAAATTGACTGCTCCCGATCACACTCAAAGAGTGTATTCAGACCAATAAGACAAAAAAAACTTAGAGCATGGAGGTCAAACAGTTCTAGCCCTTCGGTGACTGACCTACCTCTACAGAGTTGTTGCCTAACCTCAGTGCCTGTTTAATTTCTTGGGATTCTTTGCAATCAGATTCCGTGGTAATCGGGAATAATAAAGATTGTAGCACCCAATTGCAATGGGTATCAATTGTGATATCGATTACTTATGGACTACCATTGTTGAGCTTTCATACATAATTGTGAATTGTGATTTGGTGTGATTGGGTTTTGCAAGTGCTAAAACCGATCGCAGTGCGATGCTAGTCTGAATAGGGTATTAGTTTCAAAACAGAGGAAGTCAATGCAGTAACACCAGTGACGTAACTAAAAGAGTCCTGAGAACCCTGTTAAGTCTTCTTCAGGCTGGAGGCTAGGTCTGGGTAGAGCCCAATGAGGATGGGGAAAAGCCCTATTTGTTTCTCAATTTTTTAAGTTTAAAGTGTATTTTGATGTTTTTTTTTACACGTTGTGGTTCTTAAAAGGCTCCGCTTGGCCTGTTTTGGGCAAAAGAGTGCTGATGAATATCTCAGGCCCCTTAAAGGTCTGGGTCCCTGCCTTTGGCCTGTGGTCTGGGTAGAGCCCAATGAGGATGGGGAAAAGCCCTATTTGTTTCTGCATTTTTTAAGTTTAAAGTGTATTTTGAGGTTTTTTTTCACACGTTGTGGTTCTTAAAAGGCTCCGCTCGGCCTGTTTTGGGCAAAAGAGTGCTGATGAATATCTCAGGCTCCTTAAAGGTCTGGGTCCCTGCCTTTGGCCTGTGGTCTGGGTAGAGCCCAATGAGGATGGGGAAAAGCCCTATTTGTTTCTCCATTTTTTAAGTTTAAAGTGTATTTTGATGTTTTTTTTTACACGTTGTGGTTCTTAAAAGGCTCCGCTCGGCCTGTTTTGGGCAAAAGAGTGCTGATGAATATCTCAGGCCCCTAAAGGTCTGGGTCCCTGCCTTTGGCCTGTGACAGCTCATAGCTATTACTGTACACCACTGAATAACAATGAATTATGAAGAAAGAAGGAATATGTGGTGTAGATCCCTACGAGGTAGCAATCCATATTTAATAAAGTTTTTCACTGTCTATTCCAAATTCTATGATAAATGTCTCTTTAGTTAGTTTTTTGTTTTTAATAAATTATATTATTTTTTTTAAATTTTTGATAATATCAGTTTCCTCATATTAAAATTATTGGATGTAAAGTATTACAATGGTGTTTGTAATCATCAGTATACAGTAAGTAATTATAGTCTTAGATAAATAAGAATGTTTACATAGAACCTTTTTAGTATACAGTGAGTAATTATAGCCTTAGATAAATAAGAATGCTTACAGAGAAACCTTCATGCTTAATGGTGTTTTGATAAATTTGCAATTATCGTGGGTTTCCATTTAACAACTCGCAATTGATTGCTTGCTTGTAGTCTGCGGAGGTAATTTTCGTAAGACTGTGTGGGTGTTGAAGATGTTACAGTTTACTTTTTATTGTCTTGTCAGCTTCTAGACAAATATCAAATGTTGAAAATAGCTATTTCATATATTTTAATCAATAACCCATAGGTTTAGAAAGAGACATGTACAGTACTTGAGTTGAATTATTAATGTAAAAAAAATGGAAATTCAAATTCTAGAAAAATCACTTTGTTGTTTATATTATAAAGTTATATTATTAATCGAATATCCAAGGCCATATTTAATGTAAAGTAGTTTTATTAATTTATATTGCCTGTACAATCAGCAGGTTAATGTACTTATAAATTATAAATGATTTTAGGATTATAAAAATAATTTCTGTTATTATTAAATTAACCATATGTTTTAAATTGATTGCTAGTTCAAAATGAAGATTTGAGGATGTGATATGAACCTACTGGGCTAAGTATAGTAGTCCATTTATTGGGAGTGGGGGAACTGCATATTTAAAGGAAGAGGCATGGGAATGCATGCCCCCTATCAATTATTTGATCTCCCTTTGAAAATTTACTGGAAAAAAAATTACTCATGTAGTTACCATCTAATGCACCTAACTAGCTACACCCATCCTCCCCATTATGCTCCTACCCATCTGCCCCTGGTCATGGTGTCAATAACCTTTGGCACTGGTTGGGAAGTCAAGCAATACTGCATGTCAGGAATCAGGAGATAGAAGAGGCAGCAGAAATATCCATTTCTGTTACCGTCAATTACTGTAAGATATTAGAATATATATATTTTTAAATCATCTTCATAACCATCTGTGACAATGTATGTAACTTACATAATTTTTTCATGCATATCCATCAGGTCAGTTTAATAACAAGTAATATCAAATTACCTTATTTCTGATGTGGCTGTGTGGTTAACCGTAATAATGTCCTCCAAATGCCCTTTGTATTAACCTCACACTAAATACTGATTTTTAATGAATATTTTTTTTTTTAAATATAAGATATCATTTAATTTGCTGTAGGCAACATTAATCTACTATAGATTGAAAGCATTGGATTAATTTAAATCAATAATATTATACATGTTGGGGGAAAAGAGCACTTATAGGACAGTGACTAGCTGCCTGGATAGAAACAACTTCACAACCAGGCCTGGAAAACATTTTTTTGTCCTTCCAGATGCAAATTGTCTTGATAATAATAATAATAATAATACACATTTTTAAAGCGCCTATTAAAGCAAACAAAACTGGCTTGTCACCGGCGCTGGAGGATGTTAGAAAGAAGTTGAACTATTTGAAGAGGAATGATTTAAGAGTAGATTTGAATAATTGCGGATCAGAAATGATACGTAATTGAGGAAGCAGAGAGTTCCAGAGTTTAGGAGCAGAGAAAGAAAAAGAGCGTTCACCGGTACAAATATGCTTGATGTTGAAATGCCTCCAGTTACTAATATATCAGTACACTATATAGTAATTTGGCATGCACACACTTTTTCTACAGTAGCTCTGATGAATAGCGTTTCACCTCCCTTAATAGATTAATAATTACCATATCCCACACACTAGGATATTTTTAAAAATCTTTAGGAAAAAGTATTCCTCTTAATATTCTTCTTTTATTTGTTTTTATAGATTGTGCCACCTACTGACGATAATATTTTACCAGACTTGCCAGAGCCGGAAGGTTCGACCCTGAGGGCGCATTTAAAGCAGGTAAGACTACGTGAAAGCAAACTTAGTAAGTTGTTGCTATAAAAAGTGTTCATACAAAACATTTTTTATACATAAACAAGGTAATTAGAAACAGAAATCTACAGCACATTGTGAAAGTGAAAAAGACCCTAATACATTCAACAAGTAGATAGGTTAAGCTATGTATACTCTGGTGTTAGTACACTATTGTAAGCCTGTAATACATGCATCACTGCCATAAGGTGTGATAGGCCTACAGGCTATCAAAAGGAGTTTTGAATACAGGAGATAATATACAAACCCTAGACTTCGGTCCGATTATTTTCCTAGCATGTAAAGTCTAATTTCCATAAATTAATCTGCTTTCACCAATATCGTTGCACAGCATAGCTGGTCCTAATGCAATTAACAAGGCCCGAGTCAAATTACCAATCAACGATACAGATAGGTGTCAGCAATGACATAGTTGCAATTTTATGAAAGTCAGACTTAATGCTAGTATATCTTCGTCATGTTAATGGTGGAGCTGTGATACGGTAGATTGTATACTTGAAAACTGCATGTTAAATCCATAATAGGATACATGAGTAATAATGTCTCTACAATGTTCTCAGTGGATTTTTTTTTCTTTTTTTTTTTTTGTGATTGAAGTACTGTATGGGAAAAAACAATCTTTTCTTTGGTCCCAATGATAGATTTTAAAAACATTTACGATTTGATATTGATAATTCTGTATTCACTCCATTAAATGTATTGTACAATAGTTAAAACATTAAAAGTATTATAATCACACAAAAACAACATTCATGAAATAAAATTACACACAAATAAGTAATAATTGGAAACATATAATACTACCGTAATGATTTAAAAAAAAATTATACTTTAGATGTTAAATAAATTTTTATGTTGAAAAGCAATTTTTAGTTTAGTGAGGAGTAATTGTACTCTGTGGTTGTCATTTTGTTTTTAGGATGTGAACAATGATATTCTTACCTTACATTTATTACCCAAGTATTGGAAGATAAGGATCCCTTTCATCACCCCTACAAAAAACAATGAGGCATAAGAGAGGGAAGTGACATTCCCCTTCATCAATGCAAAGCATACTATTGACTTTCAGACATAGCATGCCTCTATCATCAGATCTATGCCACTGCATGATAAAATTATGACATTAAATTAAAGTGTATACCTGTAGTACCATAGATTATATACATTGTTTTGTGTGTTTTGTCCTCACTCATCCTACTTTTGTTTCTGCCCTACCCAATCAGATTGTATCTACGGTCCAAACTGAGAATGGGGTAAGCTTTATTAATCAAAATCAAATGATATCAATATTTTGCTATCATTACATTTTTTTTTTCATTTTATGTCATGCTACCATACCTAACCAATAGTAGAGCATTTATGAATTAGAATTTATAACCAAACGGTTCAAATGCATTTTGCATAGCTTATTAATATGATATATATCCTAATGTCATTTTTATATTTTTTAAAGCAATTTTACAAGTTTTTGATGGTGCTTTAGCCTGCTTTATACATGAATTTAGCATGTTTAATGTTATTCTTTGTATCAAAATTTTGGGGATTTTATATGAATGAGGTGCATGGTACACTTAAACGTTTTAAAATATTCATTGGTAAAATGATATTTTTCAAGATGATGATTTATTTTAGAGTGTGGAGTTGATTTTATATATCATTATCAACAGTATATGTGGTTTATCTACAAGACAAATACTAAGAAACAAATGGATACAAGTACTACATTATTATGCATTTAAGCCACTTCTAATTCAAACCTAGTGTTTCTCATACAAATTTGAGGGCTCATTGTAAATTCTGAATCTTCTGGTTATCCTTGCTGGGCTTTTAATTTATTTTCTTTTGAATATCTTCAATATCTTTCTTCTATAGATTCCTTTTTTCATCTAGTTTCTCCCTTCATAAGTCTTCTCCATTCTCAATATTTTATGTTATTCTCTTGGTATTTGTTTTCTCTCAAGGAATTCTTTCTTCAATGTTTTAAACAGTAATGTTAATACAGCATATAGTTTATCAATGATTTATCGCATCATCTTTGATTGAAGGCCTTCTGAGCTTTTGTGGCTACTTATGTAAGATGAGTACAGTGTTTTTTGAAGAATTATAAATATGTAGGCCTGTAGTTTATGTAAGCATAAAAGTAAACCAGATATATACATCAAATATACTAATCCATATGATTTATAAACTTAAATCCAATTTGCAATTTAATATTGTAGCCTTACAAATCTATCTAATTTATTTTTATATTTCAGTCTGTTCACCACGCCCGGAATATATCAGTCTCATCTTAGCAAATATCTTTTAAGCCAAAAAAGTTTAGATGTCCCTAAGCAAATATCTTAATCTGAATTATCAAACCATCTTAGCAAAATCTTAGCTTAAAAATCGTCTAAGATGGTTCATACGTACAATCAACTTTTTAATTTTAAGCAATTTTTAAGTTAAAGCAATATTGATAAATTTGACTTAAGCAAAAAAATGGACTTAAGATGAATTTAAGCTGATTTCTAGTTTGATAAATCCAGCCCCTATTTTTTCTCTGTCTATCCATCTACCTATTTGTGTTTGTTCTCTCTAAATGTTTTATCTTCTCATCTATCTTTGTCCACTTATCATGTCTACTAGCCTACCAAAATTTCTTGATTTACTTTTCACTGGCTGTACTGTATACTGTGGAAGACTGTACTGTATAATATGGAAGTGGTCCGTGCTTCAATCCCCTCGCTGTGTATTTCGCTTGCCATTGAGTAAGGCACTTTATCTACGTTGCTTCTCTCCACCCAGAAGTAGAAATGGGTACCTGGTGGGGTTGCCTGCTCCTGTGCCAAGATGGCAGCAACACATAAGCATGTGGACCCAATGACCAGTGAAAAACTTATAGCACTTTGTATTTGTAAAGAAAGGCGCTATAAATGATTAGATTAGATTAGATATTGTGTTCTTTGTCTCTCTGTCCATCTTATAATTTTATCTCTTTATCTCTTTTTCTTTTCATAGTCCAAACTATCACATAATCTACTCCTCTTGTGTCTGTCTACTTTATTTTTCTTTTATCTATTTGTTCTGCTTCAATAACATATTTCACATCAGTGCTATGCCAACCCAACATTTACAACTCCCCGCACAACCTACTTGAGAAAATAATCAATAAATTGAATGATGAGTAATCTTTATGTTTATAATTTTATTAATAATTACATTAACTAAAGGATATGTTGACATGATGTATCCAGAGGGTGGACATACTGTAGGTCATTGTTTACAATATCAATATGTTATTACCTCTTGCTGTAGGCTGTAGGCATAATATGTAGCCTTTAATTAATGTGTCCCTTGAATGTCATTTATTCAAGATGGATAGCCTGTCATCAGCATATTCCAATGTTATAACTGCATCTGACATATTAACATACATTATGCATACCTGAATTGAAGTTCAATGCAATTCAGTGTTATATCGTACATACTGGATGACTGAACATAGTGTAATAATATGAGAACCTGTAGTAGTCTTTGGAGACTATTGTAGTTACAGAATTTTTTTTTATTGAGATATAGGCTTTCTTGCATGCAATACTCAAGATTCCTGAAGCAAACTTATAATAACATTTGTTAGAATTGTAACTTCTTGTATTCCTAGCAAAAGTCACTGTCAGGTAGTGACGAGTAGACCTGCTCAGGATAGTGGGTGCTACTTAAAAATATTTATATATGATAATAGAAAAATTACATTAAAGGTAAAATAATCTTTTCAAATGATTTTGAACTTACATTTGTTATAAAACGTAAAAAAAGTGTTGAAAGGAAGAAAATAAATGTTGTAAATTGAGTTACTGGTACTGTGGGCAAAAAAGATATAAAAGTACATAAAATAAATATATAATACAACTAGTGAACATTGACCTACTGTTGGCAGTGCTTGTGTACAAATATATTCTGCTATAGGCATACTAGCTTTAGGTACAGTATGTTTACAGTCTATTCTACCCAAATAGTACTTATACTGTACTGCAGCTAATAATCTCCTTAAATCTACAATGAACTGAACCATCATTCATCTTCAGGACTGATTCTGCATTGTTTGGCAAAATCTACCACTCAGATTACAATGTATCTCTTAGATCCTATAATATGTCTTAACATTTCTGCTATTTTCTACTATATAAATACTGCTACATGCTGTCAGTATGCTTTTTTACTACTGCTACTTGCTACTGTTACTATGCTACCACTGTACTAATACTACTGGTACTACAACTAGTGATATTGCTACACTTACTGTTACTACTACTACTACTACTACTACTTTGCTATCTAAATAATGTACTACCAGTTTTAGCACTATTTCTACTCTTCTATAACTTTTTTTTAAAGCAATATTTCGACTATATTACGTCATGATAATTTAAGATGTTTTATGTTGGCTAAGCTCCAGATCCTTTAGGTACCAAATTGCCAACATTATTTTGCTGTTAATGAAAATATTTGGAATGAACTAGTCAGAATTGCAATGACCTTTCAGACGGCACATGAAAATGTGTTAAACAAAGCAATTAATGTCATAGACAGTACTGGTTACAAGTACTTTTGACAACATGAGTATGTAGAACTTACTCTTACGACATGGTTGTTTTTTTTCCATAATAAATGAAACGAGGGAAATAACTTAGCTGTAAATTTCCTCAAGAGAATGAGACAGTACTGATAATTGTAATATAGTGTAGTGTAGTTGGATTTATATAACGATTTACTGTATACTGAATTCTTAAAGTGCTCAAATTGTGGGCTAGCTCATATATTAACTTACTGTATCTCCTAAGGGTCTCTTGATGAATAGTGTAAGCTACCTGGTAAGGCCTACTCGTCTGTCCATAATAGGAAATGTATAGACCAGTGCACCAGGGTAACCCCCTACTTTTCTCGAAAGATGTAATGGGCTCTTTAAAGTGTACAAGAGGTGACCAAATTGTGGGCACATGAGCCTTCATGTGTAGGCCTAGGCGTACACATGAAGTTGCTTGTATAATGGGATACATAAAGAATAGCTTGTTCAGGTTTGTACAGTAGTCTAAAATGAAGGAGCCTACTGTATGGTTATGGAATCTTCACACCCAACCCCTATGTACTGATACCTGGTGGTGGTTTGGTGGAGGAATTTTCATTTTTATTCGTAATTTTCTTTATCAAATCACATCTTTGTTTTCATTACATTTTTTTAATCTGAATGTTCACTTTAAAATACTTGCTATCAGTCATTTTCATTCACGCTTCAAAAATTGAATGACATTTTTAACATTGCCTTTAAAAATAATCTTCAAAAGTAAGAAAAGCAATTAGAATAGGTAAAGTGGCATTCTGATAAAGTTCATTTCATAATTTTAACTAATTGGTGAGTGATTTAAATGCTGGCTCAGTAATATTTATTATGACATCAACTTGTGAGAATGCCACTTTAATGTTAAGGTCAAAGGTGGCGTCAACTTGGGATGTTGCCACTGTTTTAAAGCTCTGTACAGTATCAATATTCATGTCATAAACTTATGTGAGTACCCATACAGGCATGATGATGTCATATTTCACCCAAATATGGGCATATCATATTTTTTTGACACATAAAATTTGATAGTGTGGCTAGATCTTTGTGTGGAGTCCTAAAATTGTTGAGTGGGCAGTTTGAAGGCTGTGACATTTCTTGATGTAGGTCGTATGTTGTAGAGAGATGAGAAGCATACGTAAGTGTACACAAGATTTTAAAATGAAAATGATATCTATGGGTATATCGATGATAGTAAAGATGGAAATGATGGCAATGTTAATGAGGATATTGGAGATGTTGATAGTAAAGATAGGTATTATATTGATAATATTGTTGTTATTACTGATTATGGTAATTTTGACGATGTTAGTGACGATGACAGTATCAACTTTAAACAGGTGACAGAATGACAATGAAAATGGTTATACTTGATTGAACATGGTATTTTATGTGAACTTTCATAATCATTTTGATACACGGTATTATGAATATCATTATTATGGCGTTGATGATGTCCGGACTATCAAATTTTATTTGACAGAAACATACGACATGCCTATGGTCATGATGACATAACATCATGACCATATATAGGCACATCATGACTATATATGGGAATACAACAGTTTTTATCAAAGAAAATTTGATAATGTGGACAGATCTTAAAGCAAGGGACACAACATCAGATTTTGTCTAATCATACCCAACCGATAACATTGGATTATATGTATTTGTCAGATAATATTTGAGATTGTGGCTAGATCTTGATAGAGGTTAAGCGTTTGTGATAATTTGGTCAAAATGAGCATTGAATTATGGTGTCGCGAGCAGCTCTCTGAAATGAACACTTTCCCTCGATTAAATTATCAGTAATAAATGTCTTCATTTCATTTCACTAGGCTTTGCAGAGTATGAACATGTCGCCTTCACCAACTGGAGAAAACTCTGACGACTTTCTTGACAACATCAATAGCAGCGCCCTCATCTTTGGGACTGATGTTGCCTCCGTTGATGTGGCAACGAGGGTAGCTATTGTCAAGTTCTTTATGTCGCCGAATGTGATAGCCAATCACAATGAGCATACACGTACATTACGACTTCATCCTAGGCCAGTTGTGGCCTTCCAAGTTAAAAACTTTCTGGAATCTAGGCCAAAGAAAACAGAATTTATTGACAAGTTAGCCAGAACACAGGTTAGTTTTACTGCTATTTATATTTAGATTTTTTAAATTTTTTTTTTAAATTTTAATTTAGTAAAAATTTTAATTTGTACAAAAAAACCCTGGTGTAGTAAAGGGAAGCAGGATATTTTCTGTTGGCTTTTTTTTACGAATCAACAGACGTTTACCATATAACTTTAACACAAAATTTATTGACAAAAAGGATTGACGTTTCGTGAAGCTTTTTGGAGATTGGAGCCAAATTTAGATGATGAAAAGAAAGCACTCACAGCAGCTACTTTGAAGTCCATTGCATTAAACTACATTGAGCGCAATGACCCATCACCCCCTCGATCCTTACGACGAGCACTGGGACAGCTAAAGAAGAGGGATGACATAATCCTGTCTCTTATACACATCTAGATGTGTATAAGAGACAGCTTATACCATGTTGTTTTAAGTGCATTCCTATGTTTCCCTTTCTATGTTCATCAATGCGTTGATAAAGGTGTCGGCAAGTATAGCCGACATAGCTTGAATCACACAAGCCACATTGAAATTTATACACAACGCATTGTTCATTAACAATCTTAGGTTTTCTTTCTCTCTTCTTTAAGATTTCACCTACTTTCCTACTAGTAAACACTGGAATAATTTCTTTATCAATCTTAGAGCTGAGTTGTTTAAGTTGTTTAGTAACTGAGTTTGCTGAAAGCTGATCCTTAAAAGGCAGTACAATTCTAACAGGTTGTTCATTCATTTCTTGACTAGTAGGCCTATTTACATCTGTAATGACTGGTTCATTGCAAGATACGTCATTACGTTTAGAAAAAAATTTTATGTTCATGTTTTGTATTAGGAAATAAATATTATTATTGAAAATGTTAGTTCTATGGAGCAACATTGATATATGATGTTGTTACAGGGTTGTAACTGGTCATATAATTGATTCAAAATTTTATCTGATACAGAAAAAATATTTTGCTTGAGATTACAATGATATAACAAAATAAAAAATAATTAAAATATATCTCTTAATGCCTTTAATAAATATTGATTTGTCAGTGTAAATCTCCGTTATAGTAATAAAGTTGAACATAATAATATTTATAAGAAAAATGTTTTGTTGTATATTATATATTTATTTATTATCTCATGCTCATCCAACAAGTGACTTGCAACTTATAGGATGGAAATAATGCTTTATATGTAAATCCAGTCACTTAATGAATTGCTTCTCTGAAGATGAGGACAAAATGAGGTGTTACATGATGTGGACCTAGGACCTTGGAATTAGAAGTGAAGCAGTCTAACCACCAAGTTACACTGCCATTCAATACATAAAGAGCCTGATTTATGCCTCAAGAGGCTGTGGATGTGTAGATTTCATCAACTAATCAACTTTTACCAACAAACCTCATTGAGATGAAATATATAAAATAAACACATCATAAGTTTAATGATTGATGGTCTAATGACCAGTAATTTTTGTCCCTGCTTGTCTCCATTAAATATAAATTATGTGATAAAAACAAAATTATCAGCTATTTAAAATTTACTTCATTTTTAACTAATAAACCTTGTACTTCAATATTTGGATTGCTTTTGTGTTTAATTATTTTGATGTATTATTTTTCAATTGCAAATAATTTCTTTACTAGTTGATGGTGGTTGGAATTGAACTATTCCTTTCAACTTTTAACAGTTGGATTATTTTTTTCAGGCAAATAGCTAATCTTTGCAATGAAATACAAAAATTTATTAGAAAATATTTGATGCAGGGAGTGATGGTAATCTAAATTTTAATAGGCCTCATATAATTTATAAAATTGATTGTTTTTGTTGATTACTTTAATAATTATTAATTGATTGTTATGTTAGATTGATACTTTAAATTATGATCAATATTGATTTCATTTTTTTCAGGCTATAGAATATTTTGGTGAGTCCTGTCTAAAACCGGTCAACGTTACATATCTCAGAATCCAGACAGGTGTCTATGATCCGGCAATCATCGGCGACAAGTCAAGTTGGTACAGTCATCAATTAATAGCCAACTTCTTTCGGGTCTACTCCGAGAATTCCTCCCTGGCTACGGCGATCCAGGGCATGATGGCGGCTGATTCAGACTCCTCGAACCCCACGGACGAGAGTGGAGAGGACAGTGATGGTGGCAGCACAAGTTCCTCTTATTCCTCGTTGAATGATTTTGTAACCGACATGAAAAATAGTGACATCAGAGGGGATGCACCAGGTAAATATTTTATTGGTAGTTGGGAGATTGTATATTTCTTATTGCGTGATTGAATTTTGCTTCATTCATATGATCATGTATTTAAACATTAAAAATTTATTCATACATACATTTGTTCAGAATTCATTTAACTATACAGTTCCATCATTTAGTCAGTTATTTGTTCATATATCCATAGTCATCATTCTTTCATTTATTTATTCCTTTAAATGTTTTTTCATTTATCCATTCATAATTTAATTATTCATATATTCATTCATACACTATGATCATAAACCCACTCATTTGTTACTCAATCATCTGTCATTTAATCATAATCTTTTCTTCATTTATACAGTCAATTCATTTAGTTACTCTTCTTGTCAGTCACATATTTATTCATTCATGCATTCATACATTTATAAATTCTTTCATACATGCATTTATTTATTTATTCATTCATTTATTTATAATTTCTTTATGCTTATTATATTTATCTTATCTTATTTTTTAAACATTTCCTACTGACGTTTCCTTCTCAATAGAGCATCAAGATGTCCTCCAGAGTGAAGTAAATCAGCTTGAAGTATACCACGCTCCTGATTCACTCCAGGTGCCGTCAGAAAGCCAGGCCAGCGACTCTGCTTGCTCCGTACCAGACAGCGACTCATCCAGTAGCCAAGAAGCGCCACCATATGATGTAAGTAGGCCTACAGTACATGCTTAGCTTTGTCTGATCTTGAAGCATCTGTGCATTGTGTCAAGTGATGAAGCTCTAAGCTTATCAATTGTCAATAATAATAATAACAACATTGACAACCATTACCTTGGTCATAATTGCGAAAGATAATTAGTAAATTAGTACAAACAACCTTTCACATTCCTAAAGCCTATGTGTAGTATAATTTATATGCTGGTGCATTAATTAACAGCTAATTACTCTTTGAGACTGCTTACTAATTATCAACAACAAAGATATGGCATTTGTTGAGCATATGTATTTCTTTGTCCCATATTCATTGAAATTGCAGAACAGTTAAAACAATTATTGTTCTTCAGCTTCACTTGTACATGTACACATACAGTACATCGCATGCCTGCATGCATGCATTCATGCATGCCTGCATGCATGCATTCATAAACACATTCATATTGACGTGCTACTGCCTGTGATATCCTGAATTCTAATTCTATTAAGACTTTCTAATTTAATAATTGTATTTGCATAGTTTATTAATATTTTATGCATATTGATAATCATATTTGCATATTAAATTAATATTTTATGCATATTAAGTTGTATTTGCTTATTTGATTAATATTTTATGCATATTGTATTTGCATATTTGATTAGTATTATATGCATATTAATGATTGTAGTTTGCATATTTTTTTATTTTGCCAGTCAAATCTTTACTTGACTTAACTAAATCACCTCTTATAATCACTTCTTGCACTGTGAAATATATAATACCATGCTTACACATATATAAGTCCAGCTATGACTGACCAAGGTACAAATATATTCATCTGAAACAAGTCCTTATTGGCTTACAAAAAACTGTTTTTACTATTTCATGCTTTTTCAATTTAATCTTACAACACTTGTTTACAGAGTAGAAAGACCTTAAATAGTAAAAGATACAAGAAAACTTTAATGTAGTAATGTATAACATTGTTTTAGATGCATAAAAAATACTATTTTACACTATAGAAATGTCAACTATTATTTTTGTTGCATCTCTGACGTCTCAGTTTCATGGCTAAAATAATTTCTCTGAATGCTAAATGTTCGCATATTAAAATAAGAATGGATTTGGCTTTCAAACAATATTGATTGTTAATTGAGAAATTTAAAGGAACAGTCTTATATGATTATCATTATTGCAAATCAAGTATTGTAATAGTCAATATAACGGCTTGCATTGATGAGAATGTGTTCACATGCTCTGTTACAGCCAATCAAATGTTGTGTGTCTCAGAATGTTTGAATTACAACATACAGGCCCAGTTATTGATGAACAATATTAACACAATGAAGCAGTCATTTTTTAATGACTACATCAGTACAATGATTTCTGGTCACTCCATTGGATGCATATCCAGTAATTGCTCACTGGTTCCCTAAGCTTATTACAACCCCATGAAACCGAATGTGCATGGGGTGGTAAGACACTTGGGCATACAACCCCATAAACCTATGGTTTCATAGCTACAGCGATTGTGCTTATACTTGAGTTAGCATGGTACATAATCTTAAGCATCATCATTCTCGCCTTCTTGTTATCTGACTTTTACTCTTTTGTACACTTACCATTCACTCCTTTACTGGCTCAGTCTTCTGATGATGAAGCAGACGGGGAAGATGAGGAGGAGATAAATTGGCGGGTATGCTGTCAAAGTATAAGTAATCCTTGTCGTAGAGTAAGTCCTCCCCTTCATGTAGAGTGGAATAGTCCGTATCTCTTGGTGAAGGATAACCGTTGGTATGGGACAGGTAGCAGCAGATGGATGGTCTTTTGTTTATACTGTATTCAGTTTCAACCTTCAGGATTGTACTAATATTATTATAATTAGTTATTAAATTATGCAAATGAGTTAATTACTAAAATAACAATAGCAAAATAAACTCGTAATTCCCTTTAAGTTTTGATTTCATTTGCCTTTGAATTTCATTCTCCATGAAGTAATAAGGATAAAAATTTCAGAAAAATAAAAAATGAAATACCTATGTTGTGCAATATGATTTATTTGTTCTCTTCTTATCTCCCATCTCCCTTTCCCAATAATGTTTTGCTTTTAGACTATATTAAACAAAATCTAATTATGTTCTTATTGAATTGATTATCACACCACTTTTGAAAAATTAATCAAAAATCCTTTCTGTTATTAATGAGGCATAATCATTTTCACAAATTTTGCTCTTATGTTGTCTGAGTGAAATTCATTAAAAATTATATTTGTATATTAATGACATTCTTTTTGAAAAAATAATCTAATCTAATTTAAGAATATAATTTAAAAATTAATATTTAATATCTATCAGGTGTAACAAAATTTCAGTCATTTTCTTAATGGCGCTCTCACCATGAATATGTCGCTGTTTCTGTTACCTCTTCTCAAAACCTATGAAACTCCAGGCCCAATTGATCTCAGTCTATCATTAGGTGTAATTTTTTGATTTTCATTAAACTCTTCAATTTCAGTCTAGTATGTCTTTTTTGGTTTTCATCGTCATCTCCTTCCTTTATGCTTGCATGTGCTTCGTTGTACAGTGGTTTAGACTTAGATTATGATATTATGATTGAGCATTATCATGATCATCTTAATCAACATCATTAGTGTTAGTATTAGTACCGTAGTTCTTCAGATATAAGCCTGCTTCTGGTTTGAACTCCAACTCTATGCCTGATTTTACATACTGGTGTTTTCCCGTGTATAAGACCATTTGCCACAATCAGGCTTAAACTTGAGAAACTATGGTGTTAGTATACTTTTATACTATTGAGATATATAATTTAGATTGATGTGTATTTTTGGTATTTGGATGCACGATGTATAGTTTATGAGTTACTGTAGATAGATTGTGTTTGCTATCCTATCCAGGGCTACTGAGAGGGAGAAGAACAGACATGGACACAATTCCCAGAACTCTTAATTATTTTGGAATCTCAAATCATGATAGTAAATGAAGAGATAAAATGTGGGCTACAACTATTATCAAAAGAATTAACAATGAAAAAGGGGTGAAATTTTTTGATTTATCACTCATGCTCACAATCCTCTCAGCAGGCCTGACTTTTACCTAAGCTCATGTAATTATCTGTTGTCATTATCCTTTTATTCTTATCTGCTTGTCCATAAATAAATAAGTTTATTTTAATTATTTTAGTTTTTTGGGAAAATTGTTAATAGAGCTTAAGAATTTGTGACAAACATTTTTTCTAATCTTTTAATACTTTGCAATATTCTTAATAGATTTACTGATAACAATAAAAAAAATTAACAATGTTATCAAAAGTTATTTTGATAAATTAGAACTGTTAGAACTCTATGTTGTAACTATTTTTAATACTTAATATTATTATTAGATTTTTAATATTTTAACCTATAATAGCAAAGCAGTTATCAAAAAATTGTATTTTCAGGTTCAATGAAGGGGACATTTTTCCTACTAGTATTATTTTCAGGTATTATTTATGTTCCTACTATAATTACATTTTTCTCTTTTGATTTTGACAGCCAAAGAGACCAGTTGAAATTATTGAGCCGACTGGGAATGATACTGACGCCGATATTGACAGTCTGAAGTACGACTCGGACAACAACTCAGCGAGCACCGTGAAATCTCGCACAGGTATCGAAGTCATCAATGAGCAACCCGGCCAAGTAGACGAGGACAACAACAAGATCCAGGTGCCAACTGAGGGCAGTGTCAAACGTGCGACACTTCGCCAACAAGGCAAGTCTCACTCTGTAGATGTTGGACGTAATGCTCATGAACCAACGTCACCATCAGTCCTCGAGAAGATGACCGCGCTGTTTAGGTCCGAATCAAGCGATTCCTCTAACCCTCCATCGCCGGTGAAGTCGAAGAAATCATCCCTTTTCCAAGGGATTATGGATTTTGCAATGGACTCTGAGCGTGACCGTCCTAACTCACCAGCTTCATCAAATGGAGCTGACTTGACCTACACTCCGAGTGTAACCTCAGACCCTGGACCATATCGTAGCAGTAGCGGCGTTTCTAGCATGAGTACTGGTTTAGGAATCCCCACTCGCAAGAAAAAAACAACAAGCTCTCCTTTCCCTACTAGTAAGCATAACTTAATGAAATAACTAGATTCAAATATTTGTTATAATGATAGTAAAGAAAATGATGATTATTAATAATACTGTAATCCATAATAATAGATAAAATAATGAATAATAATGAAAATTCTAATACTAATGGGGATGTTAATATTAATGATGACAGGCAATATGTTAATTTGGTGATCCATTAATAATAATCCATTGCAATAGGTATGATAATAAGTAATAAATTGAATGATAATGCCATTACTGGTAGTAATAATACTGATCATTATAATCATAAATTATACCAATAACCCAGCCATATGGTCTCATTCAATCTCATTGTTGTTAGAAAGTTTTCCAAACAATTAAATGCCTCATGTATTTATTTATTTTGTTGCATTGTATCAGTTACATGACTTATTGTAATGGTTTTTTTTTTTTTAAACAGATACGCGCAAATCACTTGTCGAAAGATCACCACTAATAAAACACTCATCTACCAAGAAACCTAATGAGAAAGAGAAGAAAAAACTGAACACAGCCAACGATGAACGACCAAACAGGTCAGTCTTTTAATTTCATGACATGGGGCTTGCCATGCTAAACCAACATCAGTGACCAAAACAAGAAAATTGAATTTTTATTATATTCATATTCTCCACGTTATAAGCTTTCAAATGATGGGTCATTTACTGGAATTGACTTACTATTGCTAAAGTTATGAGTAAAAGTGTTACAGCTTCTCTGTATTAAAGCATACAATATTGCCACATTCTTGCGCTAATTACTCAGTTTAACATAAAGCGTCAGTGCGCTGGTTTTGGGATGCCAAGCCTTATTATGCAGGGAGATAGAGTACTTAAATACATAATTCATATTGTACTTTTATTATTATAAGTAAGTTATTACATTTTAATGGAAACTTTGATCTGGAAAATATTTTCCTTACCAATTAACAGAAAGATAAAATAGATAATATGGTTTCATTATTGTTTGCAGAGACCCCTAAATTGGCAGTACTGTAGTCAATTTAATCATTTTATATTCACAGGGTTGTATTTTCTTGCGCATGAAAAATATTTACTTATATTTCAAAACATACTACATACATTCATTTCAATTTTTTTCTTTCTTCCTACAGTGACAGTCAGCTGTTCCTAAAGGAGATCACTAGAGGTGTTTTAGAAGGAAACAACGTTGGCTGGTTCAATTTCTCTCGTCTGAAGAAATTGATGCAGAATGAGAATCTCAGAGCCCAAGTGATCAGTCAACTGTACCCTCAGGAGAATACAGTCACAGAAGACTTCATTGAAGATACCGTAAGTTAGATTCCAGTTTTGAAATGTTGTGGTAAAGCCATTTGGGTCTTGAGCTCTTCTGCTCTACCTCTCCAATTGGATTGTCCTGGCCTTTTACAATGGAATGGCCTGGTTCAGCTAATGAACAGCTGGCCAAAAAAATATTCAGCAATTTGGCTAATTCGGTATGAAATAATTAGTCGAATAGAAATTTGATTAGCCAAAACAAAAGAATATAAGCAGTGACAGCTTAAATTCCATTAGCTTTTTTGAATAATTTTGAATGAAAATATTTAGCAAAATTCAGCTTTTATTAGGATTTGGCTAATGACAGCTTAAATACTGTAAAACCTTCTGGTTTTAAACTTTCTCATAGAATATTTAGATAAAGTAGGGAGGCTTTCTTGCCTTCCCATTTCACTACTTGGCTAGACCCCAATTTATAATATTATTTGATGACTGGAATAGGAATATTGTTTCCCTTGAAATTGTTTATATTTATGAACACATCTATTCATTGCCTTTGTGTACTTTAATTTTTATACTCATTAAAGACATTATAATAACCAGTCCACAGGAAAACACAGTACAGAGATACATTATTATTATTTATCTATTTGATTTTAATAATTGTTGAAGAGACATTCTCATCTAGAGCTGTTCATCTTTTGATTGCCTAGATGCGGCATATGAACTAATTCTTTATGCACCTCTGAAACGCTAGACTTTCTGTGTTGTTAATGTAGAATTGCTACTTATTCAGCCTTTTATTCTAAATATGAATATTTTAATCCCAGATGTTTGCATACAGAATGCCACTGTCTTCCATCCCTTCAGCATGCCTAGCTGAGAAACTTTTACTTATGCTGGGGGTTAACATTTCAAATATATTCTGAATATTTTTCTACTTTCAATCTTTGCAGAAAGTAACCAAGCCAGTATACAAAGGGGTTGTGTCGGTGCTGAAGGCAATCATTGCAGGCCTGGAACACTCCTATGACGTGCATGCGGCTGGTGGCGTAGCGAGTGCGTTCGCTCTACTAGAGATCGCCCACACTCACTACTTTGGTAAGGAGCCTGTTAAAGTCAGCAAGGTGAAGGACACAAAGCATGCTGGGATAGTTGATGGTTCAGATAGAGACAAGTCCTGGTATGGGTACAGTGGTGGTTATCGTAAACGTCTTGGTGGTGGGGCTATAAATACACATAGTCTGAATGAGGACAACTTTATTGCGGCCATAGGTGAGAGGCTTATTGCTGTTGCTTTTGCTTGCTTCCCTCCCTCTGTTTTTTTTTCTAGTCCCCACCTGGATTGTGATCACTCATTGTAAAATAAATGAAAATTAAATTCCACTATTGTCTACATGGTTACACAGCAATGAAGTTTCCCTTAGATCTTGATTATAGTCGTTAGTATTAATTAGTGTTGACTTTATTGGTTGTTCACTGGGATCTTGTAGATTAACTTGCATATTATTTACTATGGGGGTAGTTGGTGTTTGATCACTATATAAGGTTGGTATTTTTAAGTGCTTTGAAATGAACTGATATTTTTAATGTTTTATTATAGTGATTATTATCATTGAGCCCATCAACATCCTTTAATATTGTCCATAAATGTACTACAACCAAAATTTCAATATGATAATATAAATTGTATTATTAGTACAAAAATTTCAATTTTATAGATAAACAATTATAAATGTAATAATCGAAATTCAATTTAAAACATAAAAATAAATTTAATAAACTTTTGAGAATTGTCAACTTATGTCATGGGTCCAATCAAAGCAAATGGTAGAATTTTTCTCATGATATAAACCTGAAAGACAAATGCCTAAATCCTTTTTAAATTGAATATAAATGTGACTAATTTTTAAATACAGTTTTGTCTCCATCCAGTTAGCTGGTTATCAAATTCATCATAGCTCTATATTTATTCATAGGGGTATATTTCAGCAGCACCTATTAATTCCATACTAAAATAAATTTTTAATTGTGGTCTGGTCCCAGGATAAAAAAAACAGGATTCATTCCCAATGTAGCCCAACTAAGAATATATAATAACAACAGTACCATCCTATGTCACATGTTATGTTGAATGTTGTTGCTTTGTCTTTTCTCTCTGCACGCCTGCTAACTTCATCTTATTGGAACAGAGAGTAAGCAAACCCAACTATTCATCCAAAAATAAATTGTACTATATCCAATTCTCCTACATTTTTTTCTGTTTTTTTTTTTTTTCAAACAATCTACATTAATTTACTCTTGTAGTTCCACTCCTTTCTACAATATTGAATAGTTTTTATTTCCTTTTCATGAAATGCATTTAAGCTATTTTTTTTTTCTTTAGCCAGGCCATGTGATTGGTTCCTATTGATCATGTGATACATTTTTTTTCTTCTGCATTTATGTACCCAGGAGCCTCAAGTGCATGCGTCCATAAAATGTATTTAGTTTTGTCTATGTTAATCTCTTGATGTAACACTGCCACATGTTCATAAGCATTTATGATTTTAAATAGTCATCCCCGCGTTTCCCCTTTGGAAAAAAAAAACCATCAGAGTTTGGCCATGTAAGCTGATTAATTATGGCTTTAGTAATTTTTAAAGATACACACCAAAAAAATTGCATGTTTTCTTATAAAAGATGCATTCCATTTTTGTATAACTGCCTATACATTTCAGCGAACAAGTGAAATTTTTGGCAACGCTAGAACTTAAAGCTTGGTTCAACTAAGAAATTTAGACGCATTATTCAAATGCAAACAATACTACTATGCCTATGCCAGTCACCACAATCAACTTATTATGATCCACGACTGCTGTGCTAGCTCTCATGCCACTAGCTATCACTGGCAGAAAGGCCCAAGGATGCTGAAATTTTCACAAGAGTGAATAGCCATACTTTTCTATCGCACCAAGCCTCTTGACGTTGCATGTAATACATACTGCCAGCTAAGCTGTAGTGATTTATTGAGAACTCAACCTCAAATTGTAATATCTGGCTATGGGCTTCTAGAAAAATTTTAATTAGGAAACATTGATGAGAGATCATAAATACTTTAATTTGCACAGTTGCCAAACTCTTACAGAGTATTTTCTGTTGTCAAAATTTGTTATAAATAAACACAAGAAAATTTAGAAATAAAAAATTGATTTAAGTGGCATATATGATATACTAACAAATGAAAATTTGTGATTGTTTTAAAGTAAGTTACTCACAAACAATTTTTTTTTTCAATTTTTGTAAGTTATTAAAATATGTAAACTATTTTTATTTCATGTAGAATTTATTTCTTTTAGTAAATGTAATAAGTGTCATAGTTACTTCATAATATATTGTAGTTTAGAATGTTTCTAAATCTTTGGAATTTCTATGCAACTTGTCAGTGGCGGATTCAAGGTGGGGGGGGGGAACCAGCCGGCCCGGGGGCCCCTAACTTTCAAATTCCTGGATCTGCCACTGCATGCATCTCTTACTAATCAACTATTGTATTACAATTTAACACTTTCAATGAACATTATTGTGGAAGAACTCCTATGTATATCTCCATATACTGAATGCCCCTTATCAAGTCATAGATACATTGACTAAACCCATACTATAATTATTTTCATACTATGGATTGAACCAAACTATCATATAAGCCATATATGATCATAAGTCACTTTTTTGTACCATACTAAATTCACAAAGAAAATTAAAAAAATAATATATGGCTGAAATTAGTTTGTACTTTGATTCATACTATGAACCTTATTATCTCTAAATCTATATAAGACTATAAGGCACTTTCTTATACCATACTAAATTGTTAAATTATATCTTAAATGATAAGCCCTCAACCATATGATTGTTATAAGCCCTATGGCTTCAGACTATTCTATGGTTTAAAACATACTATCGCATAAGCTATGTAAGACCATAAAGCTACATTTGCATCAAATCCAAATGGAAATTCGGACTGTATTTTCAATGCGCTGAACGCTAGATTCCCTATTCTTATACACTAATCTGATTTTCTGATCGGTTTGGTAGGCTTTCCGTTCCGAAATGTAAGATTCGGTGTGAATGCACCTTAAGTCGTGTTTTTATGCTGTACTAAATTCTCAATATGTATCTTAAACAAAATGATTGCTAAAGCGTAGTATGGCTTTGTCTATTTTGTGGTGTGATCCATACTATGATTTAAACCATACTAAGATTTTGAAACTTACATCAGATATCAGCCAATATGTACAGCCATACAGAAATTGTATGGCTGAAGAATTGGATAGCCATATCATAGAGGTATTATTAAGAAGGAGATGGCTCAGCAACAGATCCCTTCAACGCGACAAGCTAATGTGTTCCCCGCCTTTGGATCGCGCGCGGGCTTATCATCGTATTATTAACATTTTTTCATTAGTAGCAACTTGGCAACGACATGCTTTTATACACTTCAACACGGTTAACTCATTAGATATGTTTAAAATTAACAATGTTCTCTGATTGGATTTTTTTCGGACTTTTAGAATGATATATGCATATTTCAGGAACAGATTCCGCAAAATATTTCTGTTACAATTACTTCTGTCATTATAATTTGTCTAAAGATCACTTAGTTTATTATTATCCTCGGTCATTCCTTAATTAATTAATATCTGTTAGAGTTAGAATTATTGAGTTTTATCCAATTTATGGAAACTTAAGTTGAAATATACCATACTTTTAAAGCTCATGTAAATGTTCCATTAAATTCGAAACTTTTTTTTGTAGAAATATTAATATGTTTAGTATTTCATGAAAGATAAATGTATTAGCATCAAGGTGGGAACAATTGCGCAGCTATATTGATTATCTGTAATTAGTGCGCATTGAGAAAAGAAGGTGCTCTCCATTTCGCCATGTTCAATTTTTTTGTTAAACTAAGCCTGCAGAGCATTTGGTGGCGGGGAACACATTAGACTTCAAAGGCATCGCGCAAACATTCTTCACGCACTGCAGCTGCTTTGTTCTTGGCTCATTTCGATAGCGCTGCCTGCGCTGAGCTTTTTCGGATGGTCTCAATAATACCTCCATGGCCATACTGTGATTAAATTCAGATTGGCTTGTGGCATAGAGATCAACCTACTTTATAGCTCAAATTTGGTTCATGAAACAATATTGAATAGAGCTCTGTCCACACTATCAAATTTTCAGTTGTATGCCCATATTTAGTCATGATGTGCCCATACATGGTCATGATGTGATGTCATCATGACCATATTTAGGCATATTTTTTGTCAAATAAAATTGAGTAGTCTGGACAGGGCATAATTTGAAGTTATTGTACCTTATCATGCGAGTTCCTTCACATGCTTTATTTAAAATATTTATGAATATAAACTTTTTTTTTTCCCATTCCTCGCTCCTTATTTGTTTTTATTTTGCTTCAGTGTTGGTGGCTTGTGAAAGTTTTAAAATACCTGTCTTTACATTCCTAATTTCCATGCATGCATCCTCTTCAACATTTAAAACTGTAACCAGTGACTTGTGATTTTGGTTTGAGATTTATTTTGATGGAAGTGTGCTTGGGTCCAAAACTGTTGTGGAAGAATGAGGAATGAAAGGAGGGCTATATAAATAGATAGAGTTTTGAGTGAATAAGGACATCTTCAAGAATACATCTATGATCAAATACTATTTGTTTTCTGTATTACAGCTCTTTGCCATTTGTTATGATGGTTTTAGGCATTTATTTTTGTCACTAATTAGAAGAAATTTATTGAACATTTTTTATTCAATCATATGTATCTCAACAATTGTCTGACAAAAGAGTATTTTATTTTATTGGTTTTTTTTTAAACCATTGCATTCTACAGTTGGTAAGCCTGCTACAGTATTTAGAAAATGGATACCATACAAAAAATGTTAAATTTTTTTTTATACAAAATGATAGAATTAGAAACCATTGTATATCAAAATATAAACATATTTTTATATCACTTTTCAAACTAAAAATTGTAATGACAAATTTATATTGTACAGTAGATATATATTACACTATTTTATGATTTCATTAAAATTAAATAGTTATTATTTATTCCTTGGAATCTTTGGTATCTTTATTTTAAAAAATGTGCTAAGACAGTGTAAAACTGAATTGGAGCACATTGTACAAGTTAAACATAAACCCAGATAAACATTTAAAATGAGATAAAAAAAAAAAAGCAAAACATTCGTACAAATATAGTACTGTACATGGCAAGTAAAATTTTAATATTGTAAATAATTTAATTTATGTTTAAGCATTATTTGTATTTTTGTTTATTTTTTCCAGGTGGCCAATTTGTTTGTTTTGTTTTATTTGTTAAAAAAAATCTGTACCATATTTCGATCTTTGCATATTAAATAGGTTGGCAACGCGGAAGAACACCCAGCAATCAGACTGAGAATCTTGAAGCTGGTGAGTTGACTTAAATTGATAAAGTCATTAAAGCTGCAAGCTCTGTCACACATAATAACATTAATTATGTACAGAATGAACAAATGGTATTTCTACCAGGAACAAAACTCTGCATGTGTATTGATGGTTTGTGGGGTAAAAGAGTATAAATTGTACAGATATCTGTGATTAATTCAGACCCTCAAGATAAGTTCTTTTTAAGGTCCAACTTTTCCCCATCATTAACCTTAATCATTAGTTCAAATTTACTCCTAATTATGAATTACATTTTATCTACGTTTCATGGTTATTTATTTCCATCCAATAGTGCACAGACTCATATTAATTTGCATATTCATTTTGTTTACTAATTTGCATTTTTCTTTCAAGTTCATTAGCTTTTTCATTTTTTTCTAATTTGCATAATATTTCATCATTCATTTTTGTGCTAATACTTCCTGTCAGTTGGCAGAGAAGACAGCGGTAATAACAGTTCATACGAGATGATCGATGAAGGTGAAGCCTCGATTGGTAGCACAACAGGAGCGGGAGTCTTCGGCGCTGTGGGAATTGCGGCGGGAATTGCCGTAACCGGTAAGTCATCGCACTAATTCTATCAAACATATGAAATTAAGCGACTGTTTCAATTTTCTATTAAATACTCACTTTCATGTTTAGTTTTCACATTTTCCAAATAGCACATTTTGTATCAGTACCATATAATTAATTCAATTCAATTCAGAAAATGTTTTGTATACATCTCCAATCTAAACGGACCTACAGTATGAGATTCTCTAAAGTTTTACACAGAATACTAAATTTATATGCCTAAAGATTTACGGTAATCAAATTCATTCTAGTTTTTTACATGTTTATTTGTGTATTTGAGAATAAAACAGATGTAAAGCCTGTCCAAATTATCGAATTGCATTTGACAAAAATTTGTTGTATGCCCATATATAGTCATGATGTGCCCATATATAGTTATGATGTGCCTATACTGTAAAACCTTGAATTGAAGCTCAGTGGACTTAATCTCGAGATGAAGCTCATCTCGAATTGAAGCTCCCTCTTTAGTTTGCAAAATTAGCCTCAAAAAACAGCCCATGGGCTTCTTTTCAAGATAGCATAGCCCATCTCGAAAAGAAAACCATCCAAAGTTCTCAGGGCTTCAGTATGAGGTTTTACGGTATATGATCATGATGTGACGTCATGACCATATTTAGGCATGTCATGACCTTATTTAGGCATGTCATGACCATATTTAGGCATGTCATGACCTTATTTAGGCATGTCATGACCATATTTGCATGTCATGACTATATTTAGGCATGTCATGACCATATTTAGGCATGTCACATGTTTTTGTAAAGTAAGCTGTGATAGTCTGAATATGGCTTTAGGCTACAACAATTATCCTTGAAGATGCTGTTTTTATTGCTTAAAAAAGATCAAATCTTTTTTTTTTTCATTTATTCATTGCTCCATTTTGTTACGATTCATCTAAAAGTATTAATAATTGTATTATTGATTACTTTGATTGATGCATTTTGCTGTTCACATTTCTCCCTCTATATCAATTCATTTTTCCCTCCCCTCCCCCAGCCTTTGAAGGGTTGATGCGACTTGGTAAGACAAATTCACATTGTACGCTACCATACACTGTCCTCTGTGGCATTGCTGGTTTTATGTGTCTGCCAAATGGTTTCATAATGTGATAATTAAACAATAATTGGTATTGTTATTACATTTCATAATAAAAAATGAAAAGAAAAACGATTGTTAAAATTGTAGAAAGTGACTTTTTAGTTCTTGTAATTAATCATTTTAACTTATCTTTCTGGTTTTTTTTTTTTTGGTCTGATTATTATTATGATGTAGTACCATATCTTTTTTAACTGTAATCGATATATTATATTGATTAGTCAATTTATCACTGCTAATTGATTATGCTTGCTTTTTAATTACTAATAATAATTAATATCGGTGGTTTGTTTTAATTGAATATTAGGTAGAATAATATTCACTAGGATAACATAAGATTTTGATTTAATTTCTAAAGAAAAGCAAGTTAAATCTAAAAGTATATCAATCTGTTTTTTTAGAGTGGAGTTGAATAGCTTAGTGGTTAAGATGCTTGCCTTCCAATCCCAGGGTCCAGGGTTCAATTCCTGTCAGTGTTGCAGGATTTTTTCTCACGACCAAAACAACTCCACTCCCTAAATCTCATATTGAGTTTGTGTAAAGCATCGTGTGTGTATGTTTGTCTTGTGTAAGGGATTGTCACCTACAAGTAGGACAGTGATATATTCGCTATTGACAACCCTTGCACATGTATTGTGTGCCTAAATAAATAATAAAAAATAAAATGACAGATTAATAAAGATAAATATTCATAGATCAACTTACATTTTCCTGTAATCAGTGTGCTGTGATTGGTTCTGCAGAACCAGCAATCCCATCATCCAACTCACTTTCATTCTCAATTCGCAAGTGTATAACAACATCCTCATTTTCCAGCATCTTAAACCAGCTTACTGTGTCAATCTTCATGCGTTGCATTTTATCTGTATAACCAAGTCAACTATATAATAGCACCGTCATATCCAGTAGTGCTGAACTCTGATTCACATATTCACACAATACCCTGAAAAAAAAGGGGGGGGGGGGGAAATGGCGTGGCTGTGCATTTCTGTGGTTTCCCTTTTTTGAACAAACCAAACCATTTCCTCTTTTTGCATTAAAAATAATCAAAAATGGTGTTAAAATTGATTATTTGTATTCTAGAATGCTGGGACATCACCCCTGACCTCTATAACACCTCTTCACATAGATCCCACCAGGGCACATAGGTCTCTGACTCTGATAAGACCCCTTCTCTCCTTCCTCCCCTGGTTCTGAGCCTGATACACCTTACATTGAACATTGATCAAACAGTAATTTTGATTGGTCAAATCAATATATACTATTAAAATGCCTCTGATTGGTTGATTTGATACACAGTCATTAACTCACAGAGTTTGATTGGCTGCATGCTATCTTCCCATTTTGTGTTTTGCTCAGCTTGTGTTTTGTCCTCTTTCTCTATAATTGTTTACTATTTCTTATTCAAACAACACATTCACTCTTTAACCATTAGTCTGAAGATGATTGAAGTGATCATGTTTGTGATTATGCGTTTATACTCATGGACTAATGGCGTATTGTACTGTGTACTTGCAAATATGTCTTAATGTGTCTAATATTTGCGTTTGAGCTCATGATTCTAGGATTGTTTGTTCCAACTCGCTCGCGTATATTTTTGGAAATTCTAGGGAGAGCTAGAAAAGGATGAAGGAATATTATAGGCTACAAATACATGCAATGTTTATAAAAACAGAAGGTGTTTTAACTATAAATGCAATGAATCATGGTTTTTATTATTAGCTGGATGCTTAACATTGCTAACATTGTTAAATCACCACCTCCATCATCACCATCATCATTAAAATTATTGTAAGTTATCTCCCATAAATCATCATATTTCATTTACATACAATCACGAACCTCTTCATCATGATCCTCATCATAATCATAGGTCATCTCCCATTAATCATCATCATTGAACACTACTATCGTCATCATCAACTTCTTCATAATCAACATCAATTCATCTCCCAATCATCATCATAATTCATCATTAACATACTATCATCATCACCACTATCATCATTATCCTCATCATAATCATTATCATCATCATCCTCATCACCACCATATGAACTGTTCTTCTAATAACATTATCAAAATGATCTTAATGATGAATATTATTCAGTTGTTATATTTAATGGCATCACTGCTGCTAATGTATCTAAAATATTATCATCATCATCCTCATCATCACCATATGAACTGTTCTTCTAATAACATTATCAAAATGATCTTAATGATGAATATTATTCAGTTGTTATATTTAATGGCATCACTGCTGCTAATGTATCTAAATTGTGGTGTATGGTTCACTTTTAAAATCACACTCTGGTGTAAGTTCATGTCAACAATATTTTCTTCTATTTCGTAAACTGTTACTTTTTTCTAATTATCGTTTTTATGTTGTTGTTTCATATGTTAATGTTTTTTACCATTCTCAAGAGCTTCTTTTTGATGTTTACTCTTTTTATTATTTAATCTCCTCCTCAAGTTGTCTTTTCTTATATGTCTATTTTTTCTTCTTATTTTTAATATTTCATCATATACTATGATACTTTCTTCTGTGTTAAGTTACTATATCCTAAAATAGGATAACATTTAATTAATTTCTCAATCATCTTTGTCTTTTCTCTCAATGTTTTTGATGTCTATCTTTTTTTTGTATATTTCAATACTTATTCTATCCCACTTTTATTCTAGCATGCATATATCTAACCAAAATTGTATACATTTTTTTCTCTTTGTGCGGCTGTAAATCGCTGGTGATATGGTGGCGCACGCTTATCATCCCAATCCTAGGAGGTTTGTTTTTTTCATCATCATCTTGTGTTTCGTTTAACCCAAATTACACTGCTTTTGCCAAATGAAAAATATATGCTTATTTTTATGCATCATTTTTGTTTTAACTTAAAGCACCTCCTATCTTTTGTTTCTGCTTTTCCTAGCTAGCATATGGAAGTTTATTTTCTGCTTTTTTTAATATATAGCTATATAAAATTTGTTATCATAGATAATATATTTACTTGATCACTTAAAAATATTAAATCAACTTTCTGATAAATATGTGATATTTGAGTAGTATTAATTCTCAGCAATGTTTTAACTGTATTTGGATATTAACATAGAAAGGTTGCAGATAAACTAGAACATGTTATCTCTTCTGTTAGCTTTATTAGCTTTTATTTTGCCTTGTGCAATTGTATTATGTGCTGGTTTAAAAAAATCACTAATTTTTCAGTAATGTTTTATATAACATCTGTTATATAAAATGATGAGAAAGCTATGTTATTGCTTCAATTTGTTATATATATTTTTAATTATTTATTTGTAGTAATACTAGTTTTGGTGTTCTTTTTATTGTTAGGATTTTTATTATTGGTGTTAGTGTAATGGTTTTTGTTTTTTGTTACTTTTACAGTCATTTTTATTTATATTATTGTTATTATTATTTTCATTACCACCATCATCAAGCATCGTCATCATCATACCATCATCGTCGTAATCGTCATCACCACCGTCAACGTCATCACCATCATCATCCTCATCACCCTCACTTTCATCATTCATTATTATTTTAAATTATTATTGTCTGAATTATTACTAAATCTTCGAAACTAATCCTTTTTTTTTTTTTTGCATAATTTTTGGGAATTTTATTATTAATATTACTACTAACCGTACTAATATTGAATATATTAATATATATTAACAAGTTTTACCGGAAAATTAAAATTAATGTATGTTCTAAAATGTTAGGTGCAATGGGTAGTAAAATAGATATTACACCACTTACCGGAAACCCAAAGGAGAATGCTGGTGACACGGTAGCAACAACTGAAGATGGAGTTGCAGAGCAACCTCCCAAAAGTCGTCGGAAACGCTCATTGAGCATGGACTCCGAGGGCTCTGAAAACAGCACGTTAGTTAGTAACACCAGCTCAGAGACGATGGGTAATGATGACAGTGATTTAAGTTACAACGATGGGGATGGACGGTCACATAACAGGTCCAGAATTAATCATCAGTCTATAAGACCAGTATCCGACAGCGAGATTGAACTTAACCGGGATGTAAGTCTGCCAGCACATGCTTTAGTTTGAGTTTTTGAGTTCTAACGACAAAATGAAATTTACAGAAATTTGAAAAAAAAAAAGTCTTGCATTGGTAGAAAGTGTGAAAATCCTTATCTCTCTGTCCTCTAATTGCTGTGTGAGATTGCCACATTTACATGGTCTAAAAGTATAGGTAGATATTTTGACACTTGGCTCTGAACCAAGCTGACAGTAATTATGGTACCAGTATGGTTTGAGGTGTTTTTATACAGTGAGCTGGCATAGGTTGTTCCATTACTTTCATGTGGTTGTCTAGTTATCTCTCATAAACAAACAACATTTTCCAATAATTTGTTCATTTCTTATTCTCATCTTTTACTTTAGGTGAGTTTAGCAGTCAATAGACCAAACCCAATTAGCACATTAACAGCTAAAAGTTGCTTCAGTGCAGGATTCAGGTATCACAAGAACAAGATGATTTCTACTGACTCTGACAACACTGAAGGAATTCTCAGGCATTACGTCTTTGAAGCACTAATAGGTAAATTAACTGAAAATATTAATACAAAATGTAAAACTTTTCAATAATTTATTCACACAGAACTACTTATAATAAGGAAATTATATATTTACCAGGTAAGGATAGGTCTGCTTTGTGGGATCATTTGGAATTCTGGGAGGATGCGTACCTGGATGCGGTTGCCGCGGAGAGAGATGCAGTTGGCATGGACCAAGGCCCAGCAGAGATGATTCACCGATATGAATCGTTGGGACAAACCGATAAGAAACGACTGGAGGAAGATGAGGATAAGCTGTTATCTGGTATGTGGAAACATATGATTGATGCTTATTCATTCAATTGTTTTTCACCCATTCATTCACTTATTCTTCATTTATTTATTCTTTTACTCAATTATTCACATATTCATTTACTTGTTTAATCAGTCATTCAGTTACTTATTATTTCAGTTATGCAATTACTTGTTCTTTCATTCATTCCCTTATTCTTTTTCTGTATTGCTGTAAGCTCCCACAATCGTCTGTTACAGAACTAAAGTGTGTGAAGGCAGCAGTGTCACTCTTCACACATTCATTTACTTGTTTTTTTCATCCTTGATTTTTTTATCATTCGTTCATGTAGAACATGATAGAAACAATTATTGAATATTGACACAAAATGCATTTCTACTGTGCAGACACCTTGTACAACATGATAGCTTTTATGGTAATGCTGAAGGTACCGAAGCCAGATGTGAAAAAGAAAGTCCGTCGTCTGCTTGGCAAGTCACATATCGGACTCAAGCATAGTGCTGCTGTTAATAATCTTCTGGATCATATCAATAACCTTGTAAGTACCTCTATTTATACTAATGTCTGTTACTATGTACAGTAGAACCCCTATTAATGGAGGCAACTTCTGGAACCAAAAGAAACATCCCGATAACAGTGTTAAGACATGCTTTCTCCCACTTTTTGTGGCTAATGTCCCCTTAGAGGATACCCAAAGGAGAGTTCTACTGTACACCGATTTTGTTTTTGAGTATTCTTATATTTGTTTAATACTTTTAAATTGACAGCATGGTAACGATATTGATCTAAAACCTTCGGGTAGCCGGCAGATGCGGAAACATTCGTTCGTTGTACACGCTGGGAGCGACAACAAAGGAGACGTTCTCTTCATGGAGGTAATGTTCAAATACATTGTCAGACTGAATTCATATCTGGAAACTTCCAAATTTATTACACTCTGACTTAATTTTTAAATTATATTTTTATCTTACAGGTGTGTGATGATTGTGTAATTATCCGAAGCGGCAATGGTGCGATCTGCGACCGCTGTTGGTACGAGCGACTGATCAACATGACATTTTGTCCCAAAACTAAAGTACTCTGTCTTGGTAGGCAAGTTCACGGAGAGACCCGACTTGACAAGTTCTACACCAAGAAGGTATATGTTATATTGGGGGTTTTTTTTAGAATATTTTGTTTCAAATTCATTTTTGTTGATATTACTAGTTATTTTTATTATACTGTTCATGTTTTTTGATGAAATTTTAATAAACTATAAAAATTTATACCTACATTTTGTCTATGACTGGTTTAACTGTCATAAAATGTTTTTTATATGAAATAAATTAATAGAAACTGTCTTATAATTTATATTACTTTTACTACCATCATCTGTACTATTTGTATTATATTGCAATATTGCTATTATCTATATTTATATGTATTTATATTAAAATGTAAATAATAATGTTTGTTATTCTCACTCTTTCCCAAGTGCAAGGAGCTGTACAACTGCATCAAAGAAAGTATGGAGAAGGCAGCCAGTAAGCTAAAGAATGGCATGTCAGGAGGTAGGATGTGAATATTCATAAATTCAACTCATGAATATGTATAACTTATGATGTATAATAAATATTACTGTAATGTAATTTCAGTATTACTGAATCTGTCATCTGATTTTCATCATCAATGTCTTTTTCCTCCTTGTATACATACTACATACATAACTATTTCTCCCTCTAACATTCTGGTATCTTCGAAGTTGGAGCTTCTTCACCGTCTCTACAGTTGTTGAAGAAGGTGTTGGGAGCTTTTCTTAGCCCGGCTATGTCACCATAACTTTATTATTTGTATTGATTATTTACATATAATATGAATATTTCTATAATAAATCTCTTTCATTAGAGCCTGAGCTCGGTGGGGAATTTCCCATTCAAGACTTGAAAACTGGAGAGGGTGGTCTACTTCATGTGACGATGGAAGGCATCGGTCTCAAGTTCTCTCACTCCAAGGTTAGTTATGTGAATTAAACACACTAAAACCATTATACAGAAGTAGAACATTCCTTCTTTCACATGTGTAATGTGATTTGATTTATATTTTTTTTATCCCCTTTTGGCATGAAAATAAGTTGTTTATAGGTGTGAAGATTGCATGCTACTTAATGCCAAAAGCTATTTTACGCTCTAATCCTGATTAGTAGCCATTTTTGCTGTGGTCACACCTAGCTTGGCCATATTCATAGAAGGTAACCCTACCAACTAAGACCAGAAGGTCACTTACTATTCAGAAGCCCTCTGCTGCTCTGTGAACTAAGTCTCGTTACGAGACTAAGGGAGTGGAGTTGCTTTTTATTTGTAAGAAAACTCCTAGTGGCTAAAAGGATTTGAACCAAGGACATTGGAATGCAAGGTAAGCATCAAGCTACAGCACCATTTTTTAGATTATCACTTTCTGTCTCAAATTATAATCCTGACTTTCAATATACATTGTGGTTGTTTTAAAGCCAGATTTAAATCCTACTGGATATCTGTTCACCACTGAATATGCCTACTTTAAAAGTAGGGATTTAAACATTCCTGACCACAAGAGACTGCATTGTTTTTGTTTTCACATAATAAGCTATTTTGTGAGCACCTTGGTTTAAAGTTTCACTATAAATAATATGAAAAAGTGTACATATATGCTGTCTTCTAGTATGGACATACTAAAATTTAACTGTAGGATAATTTATGAAGTTTATTTTTGTATAATTATTTAAACCTGTGCTGTAATTTAGAGGTTTTTTTTCTTATTTTCATTTCATTCAAATTTACTGTAGAAGTTTCGCTAGTTTTCAACACTTTCTGTTTATAAAATTGAATATTTCTGGTTTTAGAAAGCTTTTAAAGTCCAGCACAGATACAATTGGAATAGAAAGTCAAAGATCTCACAAAGAGTGTATCCTCTCAGTTTGAACTTCCTTGTTGAGAGGAGTGAAGTAGTACAGATGATGGTTAATGTATACAGTTGGTATATTATTAACTTGCAGTTAATACAAACAGTGCTACCTGTGTTTTATCTTTTGTTTATCATACACACATTATGCAAAGCAGAAAGCTTAATGATAATACTGTGGAAGATGATCTACATGAACCAACAACAGATGATCAACATATGTGAACAGAAACGCACAACAAACAATCAACATGAAAACACAACACATGTGTGACCACTAAAACAAACAAATCACACTTAGTATTGTAAAGCACATGATTCTGTAATAATATTTTACCTCTAAAAGATTCAATGAATAGTTATGCTAATTAAGCACAAAAATAAATTTACATGCATGTTTTTACAGGTGTAAAATATACAAATGAAGTTGCAGTCAAGATGAGGTTGTAAAAAAGGTCAAGTTGCAATGACTTGGCACAGCATTAACTTTTCACATTTCGTTTTTCTTTTTTTTTCTCACATTGCAATGTGCATGGCAGGATAAAGAGGTATATTCTATATTAAAAACCGTTTTATATTGCAAACTTTAGCCGCCTTAATCTTCCCTCCAATTAGCAATTGATGTGCCTGTTATTTATGTTCAAACCTAGTGTATCAAGCTAAACCTTAGTTGGCAGCTAGCATCTGTTTTGTTCCGTGAATTTTTGAAACATTTCGTTATTTTATATTTTTATTTTTTATTAATTTTGTATTTTAAGTATATGTTTTTCATTATTTCTTTGTTTGGGTTGCTTTGTTGTTGTCTTGTGTGGGGAAATGTTCCTAATCTTTCTGTAATTTACTGGTAGATAAATTAAATCAGTTTTATTAAGCAGTGCCAAAATCTGCTGTTGTGAAACTGATATAGCATTGCATGCTCAAAATTATGTAACAGTACAGCAAACATTTTATGTAAATTTCCTTCATGAATATTTAAAAGGATGGGCATAACATCTTTGTAATGCAATTTATCTGGTAAATTATAATGAATATATTTAAATACGGCCAAGTTTGAAAAAAATAATGTTTTCATCTCTGTCCCATCTTCATTATGAGGGTATCCCACCTAAAAAAATTCCTAAAAAAAATGAAGGTGAAACATGTTCTTTAGTTTTTTTTAGGTGGCCTAATGTTTTAGGAAATGTATAAATTATGTGTGATTTTTTTTAAGACTACAGGTTTCTGAAATTCAAAATTTATAAATAATTAGTGGTAAACTGGTTTTCAAGGTTATTATTACCTGATTATTGAAATTATCTAATTATGAATACAGTATATGTAAATTTAAATTGAATATTTTATAACACTTGAATATTCAAATGATATGTTGAAATATTATGTATTCTTTATATTGAGAATATGATTTCATAAATTGCATGATGGGGAAAATAGTATTAGTGAAAGTGATTGGTGTGGAATTATGATATATTTTGTGATTATTTTTTGGTGGTAAAAACTGACACACAGTAGCAATTAGAGGTGGTGTGTATTACTAACTCTTCTCCAGTGCTATAATAATCATAATAATGCCAATCTGCCAACGATGTACAACCTTTTTGCTCTGGGAGCAGTTTTTAGGGGGGAAATTGATTGTGCTTCAATATGCGCAGTACAAGTCAACCATATATTGTCTTAATATTCTCATACCTTAGCCTAAACTTACAATCCTACAATAGCCAGATTTTCTGTTGAGGAGAGCAACTAAACCTATTATTTTTATATACAAGCCTAAATAAAACACCAAAAATCTAAACAGCTCAAACTAAGCACCTGAACTTAAATACCCTATAATGAAACACTCCAAATCTTAACACCTCAACTCCAAGCTCACCAAACCTATACATCCTATCGAAGTGGTTTATTTAGAAATATCCTAAAAGTGATTTAAGTTTTATTTCTGGTAGAATCAGCTTTATGTTGGGCCATGTTAAATGTTGGTGGTGTATGAACTAGACTATGTGTCAGCATTGAGGTGATACTTATTGATGTAACAAGTAATTGACATATCTGTAACAGTGTTTTTTTTTTTTTTTGTGGTACAATTCATTTATATAAAACTGAATAATAATATAAATATACTGTAATCTCCACACATCTTACGGTATTCTAAGAAATACAGTTAAGTATTACCTGGCTAGATAACAAGAGATAATTGCTTGTCAGAATAATACAAACTATTATATATAAAGTATTTATTCCATATCAAATTATTATTATTTTTCTAATAATTTGGCTTATGCAATTTAATGATTTGACAGATTCATAAGCATTATGGGCATTTCCTTTAATATGGATTCATATACTTCATGTATGCTTTGGATCATTTCTCTATTTGGATGTTGATTGGGTAATCTGAATTGATAATCAGTCAAAATTTATAGGAATGTTTAATTAATTGATTGACTACTTATAAGTATTATTAATTAACTGACTGATCAGTTATTAATGTATTGATTGATTGATTGTAATTTTGCATTTATTTTTGGAGTATTTTTTAATGATTGCATGAGACACCATGTAATTGATTATTGGTTTGATTGATTATTGTTTATTGATTGAATCAATTAAATAAGGTTTTTTTTATTTCAGGCTTTTATTGAGTTGAAGGACATCAAAGAGTACAAGACAAAGAATGATGTGTTTATTCTGCATGAATTTGGTAATTTTCAAACTGGTTTCTTGTAATATACCACCTGTATACCTCCATTGCAACACTCAGTCTGTTCTTAAATCAAATAATATTACTTCAGCCAACTATAGATTTCTCTTGATGTTAAAGATCAGTATATTTTTCTGTTGAGATAATAAATGGCCTGTTTTAAAATTCAGTATTTCACCACAGTTATTCACATCTTATAGGCTACCTCCATCAGTCTGTAGGAATATATTAGTGTTAATGGTCTAATTATTAATATAATAACTCAGGAAAGGAGTTCAGCAGTATAGATTTATGAATATATTGCAAAATTTGATTAATTTTCTTTAAAAACTTTTTTGTTTAAACTTTCTTTTCAGTTACTGTGTTGGTTAATTTTCACACAAATAATCAAACTGTTATTTTACTTCTCGTTCGGAATAATTGTAGATTCTTCAAACAAGAACTTGATAAAACGGCGATTTAGATCTTCAATGGCAAGCGACATCGGTTATGCTATGTTGTGCGTGTTCTCATATGTAGCTGCAGCAAAAAGCGGTGACGGTACAAATCGCAAAGAGCATGAAGCGAAAATGGCCATCACTAGGCTGGAGTACATGAAGTCGCCATAATGGACATGACCATCTATTCGGGGAATGAATCATGACCATGTAATCACAGGAGTGGACTAGGCCATGTATTTGCCTTTGTGTACCATGACTGCTATCACCATAGTAGAAAATTGCCATGTAATCACAATAATGACTTATGTAATTTCCATAATGTGCCATGATCATATTGTTGCCATAGTGGACTAGGGCCATGTAAAATACCATACTGGTTCATGACCATGTCCATAGTGGACCATGGCTGTGTAACTACCGCAGTGGTCCATTGGATTATTATAGTGGACTTCGATCAAACAATTACCATGTAGAATATCATAGTGGACCATGGCCATGTAATTACCATAGGGGGCCATGGCCATACAATTACCATAGTGGACCATGACAAAGGCTAAAGACCACAGAAAAAACATTTCTCCAATACAATAGAATATAGATGCATGTCAAAATGGGTTTTTCGGTTTGCTTCTCCATCATTTGAATCACATGACTAACTACCAATAGTTATGTGCTTATTACACTGCGAAGCTGATATGGAACAAGAAATACAGAGGCTTGTAGCAAGTACTGTTGTATATTCTATCTTCAATCCATATTATTCAAAGTAATTTACCTCAAGTAAAGTAATTATTTCTTTTAAACTATGCTACATATCTTTACTTGCATAATATTTAACAGATAACAAAGCAAATTATAGCAGATGAGAAAATTAGCTGAAATGGTACTGCATTATGGTGTCAAAATTAGGCTGGATTAGTGATTCAAAAACATGCAGTGTAAAACAACAACAACCTCCTCTGTTGGTCTGAGTGACCATATGATGTATCTAAATGAGACTGGTGCATTAGATATTGTTGAAATATTATATTTTGAAATTGATTTTTATTGAGTGATCAAAAAGTATTTGTAATACATGTGAGTGTGTAATGGTATAAAATACATGATAAGTTATATATTGGTAATTGCTGTTGACTTGATGAATAATAACATCATTAATAATGTGCAATCAGGCATAGAAGTAATGCAATGTTTTCTATTGATCAGCAGTTTTGGGTGGGGTGTAAGGTTTGGTGGGGAGTAGGGCTTGGAAACATCTGGGATTTGAGAGAATGGGAGAGGTAATTGGTTAAGTCAAAATATGGGGGAACCATATTGAGTTTGTGGTGTTATTCCCATATTGGTGTAATCTAATATTTAGTATACTATTCTTTTGTCAGATGCAGATTCCAGATTTGAAGGATTGATATATCAGACAAACATTAGCATTCCCAGCCAACAAACAAATAGTTATTCCAGTAATTCCGTATAATGTAAATGGTGCAATGGCAAGTATGTTCTAGTGGTGGTGGAACAATTGTAAAGAATCTCTATCCTAACCTTCACTCCACACTTTCATTGAAAGTCTTTCAAATTTCAACCATTCCAAAATAAATTGTGGCATAATGTAAATGATAATAGTAACGATAATTATAATATGGCAGTGTAGCAGAAGAAAGCACATGGCAAAATGGCCTCATACACTTCACCAAAAATTGCGTTGAAATTAACTATGGAATACAAGACCTTCGGATTTCCCACACCTTGCAGTAATTGGCTCAAAACCTTTTTGCAAGTGAATTAATGCAACATAAACAGAAAGAAGAAGAAATATACTGTACATGAATATATAATCACAGGCTGAACACTGCATGGTTTCCAGCAATTTGTGGCTATTATTGTTGTTAATTTAACTTCAGTTTTCATAATATCCCTGAAACATCTTCCCAACGAAGATTAAACTGTGTTTAGGTTTCTAAAAATACTACCCAAGCCACTGCAATTAATTTAATTCATCTAATGTATTCAAAAGTTTACCTATGTATTCGATTTCCCCAAAATTTATTTTGTGCAATATCTCATAGTAAATACCTTCAGAATTTATTTAATAGTAATTTATGAATGATTCTGAATAATTTCATCATTCTGTTCCACATGATGTATAGAATACATAAATAACTTATTTAGATATTTATGATGTTAGAAATGATGGGTATATTTAAATGCTTCAGTATTTTGAAAGAAGTGATACGAAAAACGAAAGCAAATAATATGACAACTATTGTAAAGATATGGAAACAAGGAATATAATATAATATACTCCTTGGTGAAACTTGTAAGATCTGTAAGAAAAAAAAATGATTTAATTATAATTTATGTAACTGGAGATAATATTGATATTTGTATTAGAAGTACTTTATTTTTTACTTTGTTAACATTCAGTTGATGTAAAAATAGCACTGACTTACATGTAGTATTTTTTTCAGTGGTTAAAAATTAATTTTATTTTTAGTTATGAACTAATTTGTAGACGAGATGCCATATTTATGGAACAATTTTTTTTAAAATTTATTAAGTTGTTTATGTTCTATTATGTTCATCTATGATACTTCATTTGATAGTATATTATATTAGAGTTGCTCTGTTTTAGATAATTATGCTAATATTGATATGTAAATAAATTGAACCTATGCGTAGACAAAAAAGTGTTGAAATTTCTTTTCTTTGTATGTACACAGCAATCATCTGTAGCATGTAGCCCTTCAACGAAAAGTTCCTTAATTTTATATATACTGTATATATATATATACTTTATTAAAATTATCCAGCATACCCTCTTCAATTAGAAGTTTCTTTTTTCAGTTATATGAAAAAATGGTGTCTCTGGCGGGATTCGAACCTGCAACCTTTCGCTGTTAAGGAAAGTATCACACCATAGATAGTCCGAGACTCATAGGTATGCGCAGATCTAACCCCAGGCACCTCCTCATAAAGCTAACTGAAATGCTCACACATAGTGGAGCTATAGTTAAGCTAGAAAAACTGACAGGTTGCAGCTTGGAAATCATATTAAATAATATTTAAATTAGGTTAGCTGCGTAGCACCATGACACAATGTAAACAATATTTATATATATATATTTATATATATATATATAAATTTTATATATATATATATATAAATTTTAGGCCTATTGTGTCTGCCGCCAGATATGGGATGGGAGATTCATGAGACTACTGCAGCGAGTGGAACCATGAGACTACTGCAGCGAGTGGAACCATGGGACGTGCGTCAACATCAATCCAGCGAGGGTATTATCTTTTCCATGTAAATGATGTTTTGCAATACCTGTCTGATTTGCAAAGCCTGGTGGAGTCAATCCTGGCTTCTGGTTTGCCACATGATGATGCAATAGACGCTCGGCGCTTTATTGGTCAACCGGCACACAGCACGTTTTCTATGGAACGCCGTTAGTATCTCCGGTTGTGTGCAAACACTTTGCACACATAACCGAAGATTAACGGCGTTCCATAGATTTCCGATTTCACATTCACATATATACAAAGATACTAGAAATACAAGATAGAGTTCTCGCATTGTAAAAATGAGGCGGAAGTCGTGCCCAACGTAGGCGGCGCCCTTCTTTTTAACCATGCAAGTTTCCTATACTTCGTGCCCAACGTACAGGGCGCCCTTCTGTTGCTAAGTATATCCAGACGCAAAAGGCGCCCTTCCTTTTCACTAATGGAGGAAAACTTTTTCACTAAGAGTGCGTCCGGCCATGCGATTCTGTGCTGTATTGTTGTTTCATTCTTTACTGATTCATGATAATGCTTTAATTGTTTTGTGTATTATTTGGATAATAGCAACGATTTCTACCGCCACCAAGGAGGTTATGTATTCACCGATATCACTGTCTGGGTGTCTATTCCAGTTTGTTTATATCTAGTATCTTTGCGAATTGATAATAAAATACGCGACGACTTGGTAACGAAAGTTTGGCACAAGTTTTTTTAGATCCAGCTGTAGGGGGCGTCCCATTTTTCGTATTCCCACCATGCATTTCGGTGGAACACTTTTTTTGTGTGGAGAACTCTATCTTGTATTTCTAGTATCTTTGATATATATCACACCAATGGCAGCGGAAGTGATCTGCGACTGAAAATAAAATGGATGGTTTCAAACTAAATGCCGCAAAAATGGTAACATTTTATATTATTATCAATTAGAATAGAATATGATATAAATACAATCTTAAACAATTACCTTAGTAATGTGTATATAGGCTAAGTTATTCCTTATATGCCTGGCTAGAGGCTAGGCCTGCCCAAACTCCATCCACACTGTGTGGCGTCCTTAGTAACCAGTCTTTCCCTGAGAAAGTGATGATTGATTGACGTTCTCGGACGAGTCAATTTAGGGCTAGGCCTTAGCCAGTGACGTAATGTTCTCAATCCAGAGGTGCCCGGAGGCTCTTTTACTAATAAATAATCCAGCAGTAGTAGTAGGATGCCTATTTGATAGCAAATTACAAGTCAATACGCTGTGGCAAGAGGTCCGGTACAGGATTCGTTGTCACTCGAGTCTAAATTATCTGGTGCCGGATCCGTTCCTCTCCAGTGGCAAAAATCTGGTTGCTGTACACAGCACTAATCACACCCGGTAAGCTATTGACTGAGCGAGCGATATTTACGTACGAAGGATAGGCCTAATGACGTACAGCAGCTATGAACTTCAGAAGCTATTAAGAATTACTTCTGTAGAATTCTTGAGCATACTGAATTTAAACAGAGAAGGCCCATATTTATATTTAGTGTCATGTCAGTAAGATAGATATTTGATTTATAATCACTGGTCTCTCTACGAGTACTTCTGGGGCTGGTTTCTCGCCAGTCTTCTTGGGCCCTAGTTAAACAGCTGAGTTATACTTAGTTGACGAACATTTTTGCTATGGACACAGGCCATTAATTTATGTGAAATTAACTTTTATTTTATATTTCTTTCATTACAAACGGATGACATAGGATCTGTCAATACTAAATTATTTACGATTTAAATTAACTGTGAATGAACATGAATAACACACAGGAGGCAGGCCTACACATCTTAGTAGTAGTGGTTTTGTAGATTAAAAAAATTTTTTATTATGTTTTTGACAGCCTATTTTTGTTTTAGTTGAATTAAATATTTTTTACTTTATAATAATGAATACGTTACTTATTAAAATATATACAGTACAGAATGTTGTAGCCTTTAACACATAATCATGTCATGATTAAAATGTCAATGAGTACAAAATAATGACACTTTTCTTTATTGTTGTGATTATTTGATGATTCACTTAATAACATAATAAAAGAAGAGTATAGTTTGTTGTAAACTATGGCTTCAAAAATGAACATTCTCCATATTCTGGCCTACACGAACTGTAATACTCCCAATTAATACGCAGCGCAAAAAGTCTCTAATCAAATCCAATGTTGATTGTACAGTAGGCCCTACAGTACATCAATGTTTTTCACCATATTATTATAATGAATTGAAAAATGTAGAATGAAAACTCTCCTTCCAAGTCGTACCACCTCAGTGATCCTATCCTACACGCATTCGTATTTAGGCCTACATAGCCTAGCCCATGCCCCTACTAGCCTAAGTATTATTTCAGGTTTACTTAGGCCAGTGGACTTTGGCCCTAGAAGGTCAAAAAATCGCTACACATGCATCATCCATGGAACAGTTGGGAACCATGGGTACGTCATACAGACATGTTTTACTGTTGGTCAAAATCCGCTGCTAGATCTTTACACCTGAACGACAACAGATCCAGTACCAGACATCTAGCCACAGCGATTAAAATAAAGCAATAGGCCAGGCAGGGAATTGTTATGTCACTAAGTGTAACAAATACCTGAATAGGCTAATCCCATACATAGTATGCCTAGACCTAACTGCGTAATTATTGCTTTTTGTGATACTTCTGGTCTCCTCAGAGAGCTGCACAAGAGCGCAAGAACAGAGCACAGTCACCAGAGACAGAGAGCAATTGGGATAGCACAGACCAGGAGGAGGATGATCTTCCACAGATAAGCTCAGAAGAGGAAAGCAGCTTCAAGTATAATACCAAGAAACATACATCACCAAACCACAAAAGTAATAAAAGTAGGCCTACATAATTTGTTTTTAATTCTTGTTCTTATTATCATCATCATTTATATCCTTATTCATCATCAAAATCATAAATATAAAAAAATATTAGATGCATTGGTTAGATAATAATAATAATAACAATAATAATAATAACAATAAAAAATAACAATAATAATAATAATAATAATAATAATAATAATAATAATAAAACTATAATGAAATTGTCCAAAACAATGCTAAGAACCACTTTGTGTAATTGGCTGGAAATGAAGCATACAGTGAAGTGGATAAAAAATTCACATAAAGGGACGTCATAAACGATTAGCAACAAGATATAAATTTACAATAAGACACAGGTCAAAACAACTAATTAAATTTTGATATGTAGGCATTTTACAGTACTCCCATTTTAAGAATACAAGGAGTACATCAATGAAATTTATGACTTTTAAAAGATTATAACTTAAATATATTATAAGGTAATGAATATAAAGTTCTTTAGCTCAACACAAGCAGTATATTTTAGAGTATACATGTTGAATGAAATGGTTCATAACAATTTAAATTTTATTCTAGGTTATAATAATAATGTGAGCCAAAGATCCTCCACACCTTCAAAGAGTATAGATACAGCTCGAGCTGTACAGGAGGAACGACGATCATACAGGAACTCCCCAGCTCTCAGTACAAGAAGGTAGGAGTGGTTCAATGATTTTTTTAAACCCATATTTATAGAGGTGTCGTAGAAGGTTAGCTGATATTCAGGGGCCCTCTTAAAAAAATTAAACGTAATGCTTTTATTAACCCAGTCTCTTATGAGGCGTAGAGAGTGGTGGAGGTATTTTTATCTGTGAGAAAAGTCCTGCTGTTACAGGAATTGAACCCAGGAAACTGGAATTAGAAGGCAAGCATCTAAACCACTAAACTATTCAATTCTACTCCAAGTGGAATTCAGGAAGTTAGAAGTGTTTCAATGGTTATAAATATTTATAGTCAGTGGCCACACCAGAGGTCCCCTGGCGAGGGGTCTCTGATTGGGGTCCATGGTTCTAGACGAGAGGTAGAAGATCCCAACAGGTGTTCACAACCAGCCCGAGCTCCAACATAGTTAAGCAATCTTAAAGTATGGGCACCTCTGTATGCCTAAAATTGACACTCTCAGTAAAAATACTGTATTCTCCTATGAAATAATAGGCTGCTTCCCTAACGGGCGGTCCTGTACCCCTGGAATCTCGCTGGTGACGCAAAATACTAAGGTCTTTCTGTTTTTGAGAGACATTGGCTTTTGTTAATTTTTGAAAACTACAGGTAGATAAATAGCTTTTCAGGCTTAACTATATTTGATTAGCATCTTATCTAAAGTCTCAAAATCATAGTAAAAAGATTTTGTCATCATGTGCTTGTGTCTTCTCAAGATAGCTCTTGAAAATAAAGCACATTTGATTTCCGATGAGGTCCATCTTAAGAATTAAGAATAAGAATAGTGTTCTAATATAATCTTATTTTATTATCTTTTGCATCAGTAGCAGTAACAAAAACCAGAAAGCAGTGAATGTTTTTGTAGATAATGGTTTTGACTCGGATGAAAATGAATCAATCTCGTCAACGATTAAACGACGACCAAAGGAAGAAGTACCACCATATGATTTCAAAGCAGAAGTAAAAGGTATCAATATTTATTACTTATTACCTAATAAAGCTGAATGGAATTAATCCACAGTTAATTTCTTGAGCTTGCTTTTAGTTTGTTGACATAATAATATAAAATGTTTAATTGAATACAGTAAATGCATGTTTTGCAATGTACTCTGTTCCCTGGATAGCATTCCTCATTGCATTAGTTAACTCAGCAGCAGACCTATCTCATACCAAATCATTCATTAATTAACAGTAGCACATCTAGAGGGAAGCTTGGAGGTTCATACTCCTCTCCCTCCCCCCACCCCCACTAAAAATAAAAAGTATATGCTTGTATCTTGATGATGCATGATGGGCTTGTGTATTATGTCGGTATTGGATTGTGCTTAGGGAGTGCAATAATGAATTTTGCATACTTTCAATTTTAATAATGCTGCATATTGGGATTGAACTGGAATTACAAATCAAACACTTAACTCGTTTCCTGCTGAAAATATTAAATCATTCAAACAATTACCTAAATATTAGGTAACATTAGGCTTGTTTAATTTCAGGAGCAGGAGATTCAGTCAAGCGACCAACTCAAGCATCTGGGAAGCCAAGGAAAGGTCAATTATATGATGCCCCACCTAAACAGAAAAGTAAGTTTATCATTGCCGTAGTAATACATGATGGATTCATGGATAGCTGGATTATTCCTTTATATACTCATCATTATCACTGTGTAGTAGTGGAGCTGAAACTTCAGTGCCAAGGTCCTGGATTCAAATCTTACCAGTGGAGTTAACAGATGGTGGTTAAGATGCTTGCTTTCCCATCCCTAAAGTCATGGGTTCAATTCCTGTGACGGCAAGATTTTTTTATTCTGATGACTAAAACAGTCATTATATAGTCATTAAAGCATAAGTGGGTCCTGTGGGAGATATCTACTGAACAGGATACTCATTATAAAGAAGAAAAAAATTAAAATTAAACCAGGATTAGTTTTTCCTCAAGATTATTAACATCTTTATTCTAAAGCCTTTGTTTTTTAAACAGTACTGAGTGGAAGAACAGTACTGTAACTTTCTACAAAGATTAACAAATTTAGATAAGAAATATGTAAAGAAATGACTATAGGCCTAATGATCTCATCCCATGTTTTCACGTTGGAATGTTTAATGTCTTATAATTTATTTTCATTTCATCAGGTACAAATCAGACCACTCCATCCTGGGATGATTCTGATGAAGAGAAAAAAATGTTGGCGGAGATTCGATCAGAAATGGAGAAAAGCCAATTGAAGGCACCAAAAACACACCTTGATGTTCCAAAGGGTGGGTTAAAAGATAATACAGATATGCATCAGTGGCGAATCCAGGGGGTTCAGACGAACTCCCGTCTGTGAAGAAACGTAACAAAATACTACTGGGTCCTGGCTTACAAAATGCATGCTAACCTACCTAGGCATATTTTGGCAGATCAGACAAACAAGGCTTAGCCCAACTAGTCTTCAATTGAATAAATTATACACCCTGTTTTTGGTTCGACATCATAATATTATGTACGAAAATGCATTCTTAGGCCTGTCAGTTCATCGATCCATGAAAGAAAGACTACATATCTAACTACTCAATATTGTTGGAATATAATATATTGCCTATGTCTTTGATTTTTTTTCTCTATGTATAGGCCTAAAGAATTAGATAAAATTACCTTTTTCAAGAGGGGGATAAACCTTGAATTTTGAAGAACTTAGAGGTCATTAAAAGACTCCTCAGAAGTCGGGAAAGCTCCTTTCCGGCCATCTAGGAATCAAAATTTTCCCAGGCAAGGACTCCCGGACCCCCTTTCATTTTTTGGGTTTTTTTTTTTTTAAACATTTTGAATCCCCCTCTTTCAAATCCTCTGTGCATGCATTAAGTAAGTATGTTTATTTCATAAATATGCATATCACAACATAAATGTGTATAAAATACATAAAATGGCTATATATGTAAATATGCAATTAATAAAGTGGTTTTTACACTTGCATTATGTCTTTTAGCTCTGATGATTGTTCAGTTATATTGCACTGATTTATATATAATAAAATCTGGTAATTTTAATAAGTGACGATAATTTTCTTGGATTCTATTTCTTCCTTCCATTGTCCTTTTCATTTCTCCATTCTTTTGTCTACTGTTGGACATCTCATTTTCTGTTAATGTTGAAATGGCAAAGTATTGGCAATGTATTTGTTTAAAAAAGCAAGAGTGATTGAAACTAATAATATGAGGTCTAATACGTCTTCTTCTGTTTCGTTTTGACTTGTTGATTCTGTAAGTATTTTGAAAAGCTCTCCTTTTATAAACTGTAGGTGATATTAGACACAGCCAACCAACTTCCACCAAGAGTACACCAAATATGTCAAAGGCAAAGAAAGCCTACAAACAAGGAAAGAAGATGACATCACACAGTAGCGAAGCTCTTTCCCACCAAAGTAGACAACATACAGCGGGTCTTGTAGTGACAGCATCTGATGTAGATCTGCAGAGGGAACCAGTGTCACTAGGGAACACAGCAAAAGGGAACCAAGAGATGGTGGATATGTTCCAAGTGGCCACACCAGACGAGGATTACCCCAGTTCATCAGTAGATGATGAGCAGACCAGTACTCGGTAAGTTCAAGTTTATTTACCGTTTTTAATAAAACCATTACAAGATATATCTTTTTGTAATTAATGAATAAATGAAAATTGTATGGAATGACCAATAAGAGATCTTGATGAGATGGGCTGCCCTAAGTGAGGTGTCCTAGCAAAATATGCAGAAGCACTCACAATATTGAAAATTAAGCATTTTTTATAAACAATATTTTTGCCTTATGACGAGGCGAGACTTCCATTATACCTTGTTTTGCGAATGAATGAAAGGAATGTTTCTTCCTGTTTATTTTCTTTACATAGATATGTATACTATTATGAACATGGCAGCCTAAAGTATTATGATACCAGACAGGGGAGGCAGGAGATATACATGGATAAGATTGCAGACAAGTAAGTTATTCATTAAATTTATTTGATTTTTGTTACTTGTGCTTTGACATAGTGGTTAGGAGCCCTCATTCTAATTCCAACATCCTTGGTTCAATCCTGGAAGAACATCCACACCCCCACTTCACTTAATGCTCAATAAAAAAAAAAAACAAGGGTTAAACATTTTTTTTTCAAATGGCATAATAACTTAATAAATGTACACATGCTCTCTGTGCATAACACTGTTGTGCCCCTGTTGATAAATCCCATAAGATAAGATTATTGGTTCACTCCTTTATAACAGAGGAACACTCCCAAAGAGAGGTTCAACCCATAAAAGACTTAATAAGCATATACAGAAGTTACAATTGTAAAAATTTAAAACATATTAGTAACTGAAAAAAATCATTGTATGCTTAATTCTTTTAATTTATTTCTGTTGCAGATCAGAAACGCTTGTTAGACGAGGTGTCCAAGAGTTCTTCGCTGCCTTCAGAATTCTAGTTGACTTTATACTTATTCTTCTCCTTGAAACCATGCGGTTTGTAGCATTTAACATTCTCCAAACATTAATTGTTGGCATCTTTAATGTTTTTGGAGATTACCTACTCAAACCAATCTTAGCGGCCCTTTTCAACAGTATTCTACAGCCACTTTCAACATTTGTTTACAATGTTGCTATAGCAACCAGAACAGTGATGACACCTATTGGAGACATAATCAAGGTCATCTTGACACCATTCATAATGTTAGTGAAGGCATTCAGGTTATTTGAAATTAATTGGAGGAGCAGTCCTCCAACACGTTTAATTGAAGATGTTTAACTATTGTGCATGGTGATGAACATTTCCAAAATTAATTTTTAATTTATGTACAAGTAATATGTGCATGGAATGCAATTAGTCAAGTATAAAAGACTGTTGTGTACCAAGATTGATCCAAGAAAAATGTTTCTTTTTTATGGCTCCAATTTTGATATTGTGGCCCTCTTGGTCAACTGTGCCGACTTGTTTTAACCAAAGAGTATAGAATGTAAAGAGAGCACAGTCCCTTTGCAAATACATCGTTCCCTATTAACGATGTAAGTTGCCATCATCGTCATAAAGTGAGCCTGCTGCGTTGAGTTGTCTCGTGGAAGTTCGCTCCCACATAATATATTAAAACGCATTCGTTTCTAAAAAATAGTAACATTAATCTATCGCCGTCTGTGCTAGGGTTTACTGGGTAACTAAAATTGACAACCGAACACAGCGGGTGTCCCCATAGCATGTATGACGCTCGCAACAAGTGTACTGTGCTCTTTTTGTTTTCCTTTGATCTTTGATATTTCCTTGAAATGCTATTCAAAGTTCATTCCGTCCAGATATAATTGTCTGCTCAATTGTCATTGGTTGTTGAAGTTTGTACAGTATAGTCTTGCACTACATTATGTGGATGAAAGTATGGGGTACAGTATTAAGGCCGTAACATATTTGCCATGATAATATATTTTAAAATATGAATAGTCATAATATGACAATATTATTGTCTTTATAGTTCTGTATTAATGCACTGTTTACCTTGATCTACCAATTCCTCATGTTAGTATTACACTATTTACTTACTATTTTAAAAATATTTGTATTATATATTTAATACTATACAAGTTTTTTTTAAATTTATGAATGTTATAAATTATAAAAATCTGTATATACTGCATGTGCTACAACAATTGATAAATCCAAAATGACTTGACAATCGATTTAATTAATTTTGAAATTAAATATACCAAATACATCAAAGCTTTATAATACAGTAAAATTGTTTGTTGATTTAGATAATCATAATGATAAATGTTTTATAATACTATTTTAGACTTTTGATGTAGGCCTACTGTAGCTTGATGTTGTTTCTTGCCAAACATGTTTTTAAATATTGTTTCATAATATTATTTGTAATTGTACTATGTTTAAATGCAAAAAGTATTTTTATAAACATTTTCGGAAATAAATGGCACAATAGTGCAATAATGAGTTTGAGTTCAAGTGTTAATCAAATGAATGATTTAAATGTACATGGGTGTGTTTATGAGAGAGATTAGAAATGTGTTTGTAGATTCTACATTTCTCATCAATTTCGTGCAGCCAACAAATTGCAAGTCGCTATAACAGACGTATGTTTGAGAATGTTGTTAAAAAATGTTTACGGCCAGGCTCCGGAGGAAAAAAATTGTATATGTTGTAGAACTGATTTTTCAATAAAACAAAAAGGGTATTTGATGAAAAACTTGAACCTCCCACTCACACTCCCACCCCCACCCCCACCAAACTCTGTTGCCTCACCATCCTCAATCTGCCCCTGGTGTCAGCATTTGACAATCAATCTGCAGACTTTTCCAGTTTAAAATTGTTGTGCAAAATTCAGCCTATATACTTTCATTCAATGGCCATTCCACTTTTTTGCTATTTCTATTATTCATTATTTCTATTATTTATTAATCAGTGCCGGTCGTCGTGTAATAAAGTAATAAAAAATAAATGACTGGAAATTATTTTGAATGTTTTTTAAGCGTAAAAAAGTATTATACGCTTAAAAAACAATTATATAATAATTCCTAAAGTCATTTGTATTGGCACTGATTAATAGGCCAAAAAATAATAGAAGTACTGTAGCAAAAAAAAAATAAGTGGAATGACCATTGAATGAAGTATATAGGCGGAATATTGCACAATCTTAAACAGGAAACAATTTGCGGTGATTCTAAAGTATTATATGCTTAAAAAACAATTATATAATTATTCCTAAAGTCATTTGTATTTCATTATTTTATTACACGACGCTGGCACTGAAAAATTAATGACTTGGAATTATTTTGTATATGTTTTATAAGTGTAAAAAAGTATTATAATACGCATTAGAAACAATTATATACTAAATAATTCCTAAAGTCATTTGTATTTTATTACTTTATTACACGACATTGGCACTGATTAATAGACCAAAAAATAATAGAAATAGCAACAAAAAAAATAAGTGTAATGACCATTGAACGAAGTATATTGGCGGAATATTGCACAATTTTAAACAGAAAACCCCTCAATTTGCGGTGATTCTAAAGTAACATTGAAAAGGCTCTACGAATAATTAATTCCTGATGATGACATAATTAATGTCCAAATATTGAATCCCGACACGATGGCGTGCATTTTGATAGTTGGAGTATGTATTATACTATCTAATAATTAATTTCGTGAGTAGAATTCTATCTTCACGCTTCACCTTTTTGTTTAAAAAAGTCTAAAATTATGATTCGAACTTTTATAATACCTTAACGTTTTCATTATTGTTTAATAAGTATAGGTTTTTCGTTAAACATATATTATATGGGGAAGCTAATTTTTTTTAGCCTATATGACTGCCACAGACCTACTTTTTGAATCACGATTTATTGGTTTATTGTTTATCTCATTACTGTTTGCTTGTTTTATTTGCTATGTTAAATCTCGCCTGAGTGGGTGAATTGTCTTTATTTGTAAATGATTTCTTGTTTTTTGTTTTTCTTTTTTTGTCTCTGTTCTGCCTCCACACTGCATGTGCCTAATTAAGCCATGACCTGGGTTTTTTGTGACATTCTTTTATTGTGTTTTCTTAAAGAATGATTTTATGATTTTATAAAATGATCGCCACCCAAACACACCGGTTCTATGAAAATCACATGACACGTGGAGCCTCGATTTCATTTAACACATGGCGGCCATAATTGGGCGGTAGCGCGATAGCGAAGTACGTACGGTTTGTGCCTGGCGGTGACAATTTTCGTGAATAACTTGAAATCTGAGGAAATATTTGAAAAGTTTGACTTTATTAGCCGAGTTACAGGTAAGGCATGCTCCTCTCCTTCGATTTCAAACTCAGTTTGGTATTGTTATATTTGGGTTAGATACACAAAAAGACCGGAACTGCCCGACCTAGCTTGACGATGTCGCATAATGGGGGCGGGTTGCAGGCGCTGGATGACATCGTATCGACTAACTAGGCCTAGGGTATAGCCAAACATTGCCGGCCTAGCCTGCTGAGACTTACCTCTCCTTTATAGCTGAAATCGAAACTTTTTAATAGTTCGCTTTGATGCATTATATATTTCATGCTGTCATATGTGTCTGTGTAATAATTTGTATCATATTAATGTCCAAACCCAGTGTTTTTCTGTGGGATTTCCAAGCCTACATTTTTTGATTCGAATTTGCATGATCCTGAGTCTATAGTCTAGCCTAGGCTGGATGTATGCCGCCTACGTAACCTTGTCCTTTACTAATTAGTAGGTAGGTAGAGTATGTAGGAGGAAGCTCCAATATCCACTATTATACATACACTACAGCTAGGACTAAAAATTTGTGCTGATGTGCTGAAGAAGGGAATAACTGTTTATTTACTCATATAGGCCTAGGCCTATCACATCAGCCATTTGTTGCATCTTGTCATCTTCCCCACTGTAATTTTCATATGATAAGCTCACTAGCTTTCTTTATATCCTCAGATACATTAAGTTTTGCAAATTGCCAAAGCAATTTTTGGACCAATAACAATTTATCTAATCATTTTCCAACCTTTTTTTCAAATGAACTGTATTGAAGAGCTTATATTGATTTTTTTTTTTTTTTGCACAATAGGCCTACATGTTCTGTAAAAGCCAAGCTCCATACTGTAGGTTGTTGTAGCTGAGTTTTCCAAAACACAGAAAAGGGTTGGGACTGGTGAAATGCAGGGTTTTGAATATTTAAAAACTGGGGAAAGAATGGAACAAAGGGTGGCTAGACCCCTTTTTCCCATAGTTTTAAATATTCAAAAATCTGTATCTTATTGACCGCTCCCGAGTTTTTCGTCCAACACCCTTTTTGTGTCTTAGATGTACAGTACAACACATACTTTTTTTTTTGTAGCCTGGCTTTATTATTTACTTAATAATAATAAGTCTAAAATTCTTGTCATGAGTTTTTGGTTTCTATTCTCTAATATTTTTCCACATTTATAAATGTCACATTCTCAGATTTGAGAGTGATGTCACAATTTTTTCCAAGCAAAACCAAGTTTCTGTATGAAAAAAATTGTGAATAGAGCACCAAACAATACCAACACAATAAGATACTCTTGACATTCTAATAACATATAACACAGCATTATCATGTTCTCAGCAGTATTTAAACTTAAGCCACAATCGCACTGGACTTTTTTTGGTAAAACTAACCAACACGTTGGCTAGTTTTACCATAATTAGTCCAGTGCGGACAGCACAGGAAGTTTACCTGACAGGAAACTTACCCAAGCCGCGCGGTTAATTTAACCGAGTCCCGCTTGCCCAGGAAAACTGACCAGGTTAGTTTTACCTAGCAGGAAAGTCCAATGCGAACAGCGCGAGTCGGGTAAACTTCCCAAGTCATCACAGTGAATGACCTTCCTCAGTGAAGTGAACGTCACGATTTAGCGCCCCCAATAGTTGAATCTGTACGAATGGTTAGTTTCACCATGGCCTGTGGTAAAACTAACCACGTCGGTAAATCCCAGTGCGAACGACAGGAAGTTTACCCATTGGAATGTTACCCACAGTCTCGGTAAAAATTTCCCTATTTTAAATCCAGTGCGATTGCGGCTTTAGATTGATCAATAACATTGCCCCGCCCCTTAATCTGCCCAACTGTCAATCAATGATTAGACTGCAAGCTGACAACCTTCATTGGTTTTTTAAATAACATTAAAAAGTTTGGTTAATTAACTTTATGAACATATCTCAATTGTTGATCATTCATTATTGGTTTTTAATATAAATGATGTCAAGTCATAAGGAAACCTCATTTTGCTTGTTTATTCAAGATTCAAAAGCTTTCTTCTCTATTGCATTGGTGCATTTCCCTCTGTATAATGAACAAGAAAGCCTAGTACTGTACACTCATTCACAGCGTATACATGAATACACCATACGCATACGCAGCCAGTGGAGGATGTCCGCTGCTGTTTGTATGCCCTTTATTACCAAGTATTGCACCGCTCACGGTTTGTTTGTTTACCTGTTATCCACATGATACAATCAGGGAAGTATAAAAATACAATACTTTTGTAGAGGGCCATAGATTTCCTTATTTTTCTTTATCATCATACCATCAAAAGAGGTGCACTCTATCGTAACTAGGAGAGTGACATATTACTATACAAACGAGAGTACACTCTCTTGTTCTATATTGGTATAATCAATTGATTTATTATCTTTAACAAGACGGACGTCTAAAATTGTGAGAAGGCCCTTCGAAGACCTAGAACTTTCTTAACACATCTATTTATTTTGTCCAATTTCCGGGAGACAAACATGGCTTGCTGGACTAGGAGTGTTGAAACTCCTGTCAGAACATGAATTCCCAATTTACCAGTAATTTTCAAAGTGCTGATGGACAATGTTATCATACTGTCATCACTTGAGGCAGACTTCAAATCGCTGATGATTCATTTTTTGCTGAGTCGTGATATTTTATTATCTCTCAATTAATTAATATGAAATTCTGCTATTTGATCTTAACCAACAAATTAATATGGTATATCTACTAAAGTACTTATCACTGAATGATTTTGATATTGTATAATTTAACAGTGTTCCAATAATACAAGTAAGAGTAAAATGATTATGATAAAGAGGATCCATTGATTTCGATTGCATGTTGATGATATAATAAGTGTTTGTGCTGATGCGATGTAATTGTATGTTGTGTTATTTGTTATGGTTGATGAGTATTGTGAGGTGACAATAAAGATGAGGATGAGAAGGCCACAGATTATACAGCATGTTGTCAAGCCATCTTACGGCGCTCAACAATGAAATGAGGCAGCCATTACTGTTAGCAATATATCTGAGTGCCTTTCGCTCTGGATCTCCAACAAACATACTAATAAGTAATAACAGAAAATCCTTTATATTTTATTAAGAATTTCTGCAGTCAGACATCAGTTATTTGTAGGTTATCAGTAACTACATTTTCTGTATCTTGTGAGGAAGATGCACCCTTTCAAGCCCATCCCTTCTTTGCTGCTTATTGATGGTTGCTTGGCGATCACCACAATTTAGACTACTGTAACCCCATCCCCTCCCCAAGACTAAGTGTCTGTGGTCATGATTGTTTATTGTGATATGTGTACAAATATTGATAAAGTACTTATATTTGTGAACTCTTGAATGAAGATACAGTAGTTGGACATTGGACTTTAAATATGTTATCACAGTTTTATAGTGCATCCCAGAAATAGTACTTCTGTGACCTTCAGTTTTAAATTATACTGTATGATCATAATAGCTAGGTTCATATGGGATTATAGCCAGATGAAGTAGCTGATCTACTTGCCAAGTTAATTGGATTACATCCACTAATCACGTTCGACGTTAAGGTTAGAGCGAGATATTTTGGTGGGTAATTACTGTTGATTTTCGCGCGACTAGTTTATGCTAGATCGAGACTATAGGCGTAAGCTAGGCCTAGGTCTCAGCGGTTGATTAGACTGGCCGAGGAATCCAGCTGGAGGGTTTACACTGGGTTTCCCCCCAAGTATTTCGTTTAGCGCGTGGTAGTGTGGGCATGCCAATTTCGGGTCATCTCTTATTACATTGGCCGACCCCTTGCCCGTCCCACGAATAAAAACGTCTCTCACAGCCTTGTGGTCTGCTCTTAGATTTTTCAACTTTGTCACAACAATTGCCGATGTTATACCATTGTGGCCTAAGTCCTGCATTCTCTCTGCTATCCTTTTGTGGACACCAGACTTCTGACGGTACAATTTATCTTCAACTTTTTCGGCGATTTCTGGCTACCTCCAGATATCTATTAAATCACATTCCTGTGCATACGTCCAGAGATGGCGTTTCTTTACTGACTTTTCGGCCATCATTTGCAAAATAAGACTTGTTGAAATTAAAGTACACAGATCAGGAAGACTGCGTCAATTCTGAATGGTGTTTATGATAGTAACTAAAAAACGCGCTAACCAGCAAGCATGGAAGGTCACTTTGCTTCAATTTGATTGGTGTATTCATGACCTGTTGCCACCCGCTGTTTAATTGTTTACTGGCTTTAGGCTGGATTAAGAAGTTAGTCGACATAAATTTACTCGACGGGCTTAGTCGAGTTGTGGCCTTCATCTCGCCAAACTTGAGCGGTCATACTCGAAGTTATGGCGAGATCTTCTAGCTCATCCACTAAAATTATCTCGCCATAGTTGGATATGAACGGGGCTAATATATTCTATTCTGATGTAAAGTTTCCTGTGTGTAAGATTCATGGCATGCCAAGGATTTTAAATCATTTCAATATTAATAGCATTCTGTTCTGTAATACCATCTGAAATATAAATTTACACCTTATAGCCTTCAATGTTTAATGCAACCCATAGATTTTTTGATGTTTTTCTCTAGGTCTATAAATCTGTTTACAAAATTTTAAAACAAATTTAAAGTTTCTTATCATTAGTTTCATTAAATTTCTCCAAGATGTTTCCACTTATTTTTATTGGCAGGAAGTTCTTTATGTTTCTTTAATGTCACAGAAGTGTTGTAATTTTAGGCCATGTTTTCAGTAGATCTACCAAGTGTGAATAGCTAGAAGATATGAATATTAAAGATTCCATCTTTGTAAAATCTGTAAATTCATAACACTTTAAAAAAAAGTTTTGAAATGTTCATTTTTACGGATCAAATTTTAATACGATGCAGATCAAAATAAACTTAATTTTTGTTGATTACAAGTCCATTATTATGCAGTTTTGAGATTTATGCAAATGAAAGAATGAAAGATTTTTTTTATATGCGAGTCAGCAAATGGGTAAGAAAAAATAATGCTTCCAAAGTTGAAGTTGCCCTGAACATTGAATTTAAATTTGCACCTTATGCCTTAAATGTTAATGTAGTTCTTTGAATTGCTGATGACATAGTTAGTTAATTTTTAAAGATCAAATTCTAAATGAATTTACTTGTGGATTGTGGGAATTAAACATTTAGAATGAAATATAAAGCTGTGATACCTGTAGATCCCTGTAATCTTGAACTTGTCTGAGATCTGGATTAACATTTTGTTGTTTATGACTAAATAAAGGTTGTTTGACAAGCTAAGCAGGTACTACATGAATACTACATTAGGAACAGTTGGATTTGTAATTGAACATGTTAGCAGTAGTACTTTAGATTGATGGTTTAGTAGTACTTAGTAAGGTGCTTTTCTTCTAAGCCCAGAGTTGTAGGTTCAATTCCTATCAAAACCACAACTTCTTTCCTACTTAATGCATGCCAAATGCTGGTCCTCGGTTAATAGCACTCAGTTGACTCTTTTATTGTTGACTTTTTTAGTTCTAGAAATTCATTATTCATTCATTTCACTTTTAGAATATTGCCAAATTCCAAATGCAATACAAAATGAGTTAAACAAGTACACATGGCAATAGAAGGTTAACGGTTATAATACAAATAATTGTAAAAATGATGAGTCTGTTACTTATAAATAATATATTGGGATATTTAAGTTCCATAGAGAAATGTGCATTTAGCAAAATCATACACTAGTTACTGATATTGCAAAAAGGATTAATTAATTTAACATTGTCTGAGGTACACAGGTGTGTAGTGTGGTGTCAAGGAGAACGCTATGCAATGAGGCATGACCAATTTTATCATTTTTAATAATGATCAATGTGTCTGCCACTGACAACCAACAGACAGTGTTGACCCCTTTGCTACTTTGCCCTTGACCTTTCCTTCACTTAAATTGGTCTACAGTGTACTGTACTGTAATTTTAATAGCCAAACACACTTAGTAAGTTGATTTGCAATTATACAAAGGTAATAAGCCTGTGTTGGTGTTGTATCAATACAATGTCTAGATCTTTAATCTTCAATCAGTTTTTTTTTTCATTTCAGTGATAGAGCACGATGCCTGCAGTGAAGGGAGATGGAATGAGAGGACTGGCTGTCTTCATTTCCGATATAAGAAACTGTAAGATTGATGTATTATGTTGTTACCTTTATTTAGTTGTCTCGGGTGTTTTTCGTAGTCATTTTTGGCAGAATGTATCTCATTACTTGCTAAACCTCAGTCGCGTATCCAAAGGGGGGGGGGGTGTGCGTGGGGCCCCACAAAAAGCTCGCGCCGCCCAGGCATGCCCCCCCCCCATTCGAAAACTTTGAAGCAAAAAAAATTAGGCTAGTTTTATGCTTATGATTATGCTGTCACGGTTAACGTGTATTCGAGAATCTAAGAAACAATATTTTTCAGTGGGCGTGGCCACCGAAAATAAATTCCACGCCCCCTCATATTTTGCGCGCCCCCCCCCCCCCCACCAGTCCCCCTTTTTAATACTGCTAGATACGCCACTGCTAAACCTATATTGTTGTCGCTTTTGAATTATGACAATAGAAACTGGGGTTTTTTCCCCCTACCACATTATTTTTGGTGCTGCCATTATCTGAAATCAAACATGTGAATGCACTAGAGCAAACATGAAAGGTGAGTGGCCCCTCAGAGATTTTGCATTATTTGTTTATTGACTAGTCATTCTATTCGTTCAGTTTCTGATCTCCTTTTAAAAAAGTGCACAGAGGTCCCTACATTCCGTACATACTGTTATACTATATTATTATTATGCGCATTCACACATACTATTAGGAGTCACACCGAGTGGTTAGGACACTTGTTTATCATGCTGATGACACAGATTCATTAACCAGTAAGGGCAACTACGAGTTCACTGAGCCGTAATCGAGTACCTGGTTGAAAATCGGGAAATTAAAAGGCAGCTAGGAGAGGAACTGGCAAACTTACTTGATGCCAAGGCTCAGATAATAGATCATGCGCCTACATCTTTCAGTAATGAATACAGGACTACCTATACAGTTTTATTAAATAAGCATTTTGACATCCTGAGTGTTATCTTATCTAATGCTTTTATCTGTTTGTGTTTATTAGGCAAAAGCAAAGAGGCAGAAATAAAGAGAATAAACAAAGAACTAGCAAATATCAGATCCAAGTTTAAAGGTGAGTCACCAATTTTCTTTGTTTTCTGAAGACTATCTCTACCATGCTAACTTGTTTCCAGGCTTTCCTTGGATATAGAAATAGAAATAATGATTTCTTGGAAATAAACTTATAGAAAATTTTATAGTGAAAAAACCCATTATCAAAAGCACATTGCAAGGTAAGAATACCTGTTTGTCATTTTTTGAATAAGGGATGATCAACTATTTTTTTTAAATGTTTTCTACTGATAATCCTAACTATCAACTGCAAGACATAAAGCTCTGTTAGTGACTGATTTAATCCTAAATCAAATATGGTAAAGCAAGGCCTTCATTTCTGTGTGCCGTGCATTCTAGATTACCACTGTATGCACAGTTCTTTGGTATGGATTTCATGTGTAGTAACATGATTTTGACTAGTAGCTTAATTCTACTCAACTTCAAGCTAAAGTATCTAGTGAGATACTGTCTAGAAGGAAGCATTGAATAATAATAATAATAATAATAATAATAATAATAATATTAATAGTGCAGATTTGTAAAGCGCCAGTATCCATCAAACAAGATGCTCATGGAGCTTGGTATGTGGCCATGTTTCACCACCAGAACCAAGGCGAGTGTGCCATTCCAACCAGCGCCAATATTACAGCTGTAGGTTGCAGCTCCTCTACCTTAACCACTCAGCCATTCGACTCGCTAATGTGGCGTATCAAATACATTAGTATTTCAGCATTAAAATTGTAATAATTATTCTTTTTCTTTTAACAGTTACTCAGATTAGTTAAGTAAGTTCTGATAAATTTTTAAAAGTGACTACACTTTTAGAAAGAGCAGGTCAGGCCAGTTCATGGTCTAGCCATTGATAGGCCCTAGGATGTCTGTCGTACCTTTATAGGTTTCAGCAGGTTTCACTGCTGGTGTGGGGATTGCATTTGGGTAATCATGTTTATAAGAATAAAATTTAATTTACTTATACATTATTTAGTAATTAAATATGAATTGAACCATATCAAATGGCAAAACAAATACATCATACAAAAAATGAAAGTGCAAAATGATGTCTAGTTTGTTAACCGACATATTTATATTGTAAACATTGTGTTATTTTGAATGGGGAATAGGCAATTACTCAGGTTATCCAGGGAATTGCTGGTATCTCACTCATACTGTAGGCTACAGTACCAACATCACTACTGATTTAAATTTTCATTTTATATAGGAAACATTCTAAAGAAATTATGATGTTTGGTGAACCATCATTTACACCTGTTGAATGTTCAACATCCTTATAGGCCTAAGCTCCACATTCTGTGATAGGCCATGTTGTAGTCCATAACATTGTACACCTTCAATAAACATTAAAATGAGCCTTACTATCAATGCGACTTGGTAATTTAGTGTGAACGTGTTAAAGGTATGCATCTACCTATGCAAATTGGTCCAAGTGCCCTCAAATTGCTTATTCAGGTATTAATGCTATTGATTGTTAAGCATTGATTACATGCATAGTGGAAACTGATTGCAATCTACAGCATTGATGGTAAGATGAGCAATTTATTGTGTGTGTTATTTGGCATTAGGCCCTACATCGACTTTATGAACATTTGGTATAAATCTGGGAAAACTCAAAAATTTGATTCAGGCTTCAAATTGCTTGTACAGCATAGGATCAAAAACAAAACAGTTTGTCAACTTCCAATGAAAATCAGGTCAAAATCATTCATTTTTTATCCTTTTTACAGACTTTTTATATCAATTTTTTTCAAAATGTATTTAAGTATATTGACTTAAGACGACAACACAGTAGGTTGAAATTGTTTACTACGGCAACTTGGCATTAGTTAGCATTAGACTTTAGCTTACTGTTATTTCAGTGTAAACGCCAACATAACATTTAGTTGCAATTAACTTCAACACTATATTACTTTTTGTTGTTATTTAGCCGCTATACAAAAAACTAAATATTCAGTAATTATGTATTCTTTAAAATGTATTGTTATTGTATAATGAAATATAAATATCTATAGAATAGCATTACAAATGTCAGCATGAATAAACCCATAATGATAATGAGAGAATGAATAAATATCAGACCTGTAAAAATTGCATGCCAGAGACCATCCCAGTATTTTAGAGGTTTTCTGGCAGGAAATAGAATCTGTTGTATGATGAGATTTAAGCTCAATAGTAAAACAATATCAATGCTTATAAATTCAAGGTTTCATGGAAAAGAAAAAAATAAAATTGTTTCATGAATTAAACACAAATACAGTATTCTGAATTTAAAGTATATCCTGAAACACAAGTTGGATATTTTCCGAGAGAGCTCCGTTTTTTTATTGAACATAATTTTTCTGCAAAGCTCTTTATAATAATTGAATGTTCTTTTCATCCATTTACTGCCAAGTAGTTTTTCAGGTATTTTGATATCCAAACCGCAGTTTTTTCTAGGATAACTCAATGAAATATAATTGGTCTTTTTACTGGGGCTAGGAAGATTATGAAGTTATTATTTCTAATAGGCTTAAGCTTTATTATAAAAATATATTCAGTGTGTGTAGTATTAAAAAGTTTTGTCATGTTAATGTTTTTATGCAGATTCAAAACCTTCAATGTGCCTATTTTTTAAACAGAAAGCCAAAGTAAATGGGTGCACTCAAAAGTTCTGTACTTGGAAGTCCAAAATTCAAATACTGCACTTATAACTGCTAAATAGTAAAACTTTCTATGATCATCAATTTAAAATGGCCATTTTGCAAGTTAGCGAACAGTTTACAGATTTATTGTTGCATGATTAGAGTTCACTCTATATTGTAAACCACAATACTATAATTGTAATTTTCTCAAGCTGATATTTCATGTTTAAAGTTGTTCAACAGGTCGTTTTTATTTATACTACAGATTTAGTCATGTAATCTGCCAGATTTCTTGGTAGGGCAAAATGGATAACCAGATGGTGCTCACTGAATTAATTTCACAGACTTGCAGGGAACCGTAATTTAGGGGTGTACTGTATACCCATCGTCCTTAATTAGTGTTTGTTGATTGATGGGGACCAAATAAAGTTACTGGGGGTTGCTGGGTATTCACCACCAGGGGTGGTGCAATGATGAGAATTTTTAAATTAATGACATATTTTACATGGCCGTAAATAGCACTATAAAATGGTAATGGTTGGAGATTATACATTAAATAATTTTTATGTTTTTGTAATTTAACTTGAACGCACCACATTTGTATGTGCCACCATTCCAAAGGCGTATGTTCTCAAAGTACTGTAAATAAATATAGCGCATAATACATGGTTTCTATGCGCTGTATCAGATCATGTTCAACATATATTGTCGTTCTCTAGATTGTGATCTTGAATGCATTCATCTACAAATATGTTTAAATATCATCGCATACTGAATTCAAATTTGAGCATCATTCATAATTTAGACATCAGTAGCATAAAAAAGTAATCATTCCAGCTGATGCCCTTTGACCTTGCTGGAGCTTCACTTAGTGACGACTTACTGTATTTTCTGGCATCACAAGCAGATTAGAGTCCCTGGTTGGCTAGTGCTCGATAAATATGGCCAGTCCAATGATTTTTATTGAAATGTTTGTGCTATTATGCTGTGAAATTTGTATTACAGTATGAGACTAGGAAATCAAATGAATTATGATAAACACATCCAATTGAATTCTGAGAATGAAGATCATAGTGTTAATTTGGTTTTTTGATTATGATTTTGGTTAATATTGTTTTATATATATTTAATTTTCCATACAAATAAGGTGAATCTTCATTAAATTTCTTAATACGAGGTTTATTTGATTATAGGATGATGATGATGATTTTAATATTTTGTATAATTCAACTTAATGTTCTTTTAATTATAATACAGTATTGTAGTAGAAAGGTTGGTGAATTACTCAGTTTATTGATATCAGTTTAGTTCAATGATGCTGGTCTCCATCTAATTATAGACCTGCCAATTAAGACTACCTTTCTGCAGTTTTAAATTAATACCTATCTTTTATCTTTATATTAGTTGCATTAAAGATCAAAGCTGCTAAACACCATGAAAACACCGATCCCAAAAGTGGTCTTTCCATTTGGGAGGACCATATTTATCTTATTTTCTCAATCATTCTGTCACCTCATGATTCCTGATCCTCTCAACTTAGATTCCATTGGTTCCCAATTATTTTTTTCTCAATTCCATCCATCGATTTCCTCATCCTTAATTCCTAATTTTTAACTACAAACATCAATACTTCAAGGATGTATTTTAAATCTGATACAATGTGAGCGATTACTATGCATTATTTATTAATTTAATAGGGATTAAATGACAGCAAATGTTAATTGAGATGGTGATCAGTATATAATTACAAGGTGCTTTCAGATAGTATGTTTATATAGGGAATGAGCTCATGGTTGATAGTACTGCAGGCTTACAATGCAGTAGCTTCCTTTCCTGCTGCGACTGTAGTGTTAACGACTTCCTGCAGTTGTGTCTTAAGCTCCCTGATGCTATGTCTTGAGGTCATCAGCATTCTAAGCTATGCCACTCGTTGGTGTTCCTAATATATTGTCATTATGTCCTGAGGTATAGGAATTATTGCTGAATACTGTATGTCTTAAAGCCTGTTTACACTTATGGCACATTAGAGCAAAAAACGTTTTCCATTTTACAGTAATTCACCAGTTAACCGCGTTGAGCACTCAGTGGGTGCTCAACCGTTTAAGCAAATTTTACCTCGCGTCAAATACCGTGTAACAAAACTTCTGGAAGAAATCTGTAAGGTCATTGAATGCAAATGAGAAACACCTATCCCTTCAACTCATTCATATGCTGCTGTACTCACCCTATAACGAGATCCGAGCTCAACAATTTATAAACTCTCTTTAAAATAAAATATATACAGTACATAGGCAAGTTGTATTCAAGATTAATTTAATGTTTAATTTCTGCAGTCATCGATGAATAAATGTTGGGTTTTTTATATGTAGTGTACAGATAATGTTTGGTGATGGACGCATTTTATAGATTATTTTTTATGGTCGGAGACAATGTTTTCCAGCACGATGAATAACATTATGTAGCAAGTAACAATTGCATCTTGATTGATGCTGCAAGATCTGTTCTTGTTATTAATATAAACTTTCTTAAATACTATACAGCAATACTAATTGAAACTACATGTGAAATCTCCAGACATACCTTTAAACGTTTTGAGAATACTGTACAACTGTCAAAATTTTAACAAATTGTGATCCTGTAATCGCACATGCATTACTAGTTATAGAATTCTTTCAAGGCAGCTAGAGATTTGTCATTCTAGTGTCTTAGGTTCAAATCCTTGGTGTTCATACGTGATAATTATCAGATAATTTTTCAGCTAATGTTTGACCTATGACTAGTCTCCGTGTTGAAAGTTAATCATCGTCTTCACAGTTGTTACATTAAAAAATTTTAATTTCTCCTGGTGGGTCATAAAATACACATTAAATGTTAAGCAAAGTTTACTTGCTTTTAGTAATGATATCAGTTTTAACCAAGTGTTCAATGAGATAAAAATATTGAATTATGCTCCACATTGAGTCTGCACTATACAGTACCTTTCTAATTGATATAATAATTTTACAAATCGTTGGCTTAGATCCTCCCTACAGAGCTCAACTTTTAGACTTTCAGCCTTCTATAAAAATATTTATTTTTAATGAGACCTATAAATTCCAGTTTGATAGGCATCATGGTAAGAAGTTTTAACTTCATCCCTTGTTTTTGTGCTTCTGTACTGTTTGAAAAAATAAAATAGTCTAGAAACTTAAAAATTTTGCTTTTCAAAATAATTTTGTTTGGAAATTATTGTCTTGCTACTTGACAATATCTTTTGGCTTGGACTTAATCAATCTCTAAATGAGCAGGTAAGAGCAACGTCAGTTTGTGAGAATGTCACTTGCTTCAACAGTTTCTGTTTTTCAAATGCCATACTTTATCATTCAGTATGCTTGACAATCTATAACCAAGTTTTAATAGTCTTTATCCAAGTCCCTGGATAATGCTTGGGGAGTAGAGAGATGGTCATTGAGGACATCAATGCTGTATAAGCAAGTCCCTGGATAATGCTTGGGGAGTAGAGAGATGGTCATTGAGGACATCAATGCTGTATAAGCAAGTCCCTGGATAATGATTGGGGAGTAGAGAGATGGTCATTGAGGACATCAATGCTGTATAAGCAAGTCCCTGGGTAATGATTGGGGAGTAGAGAGGTGGTCATTGAGGACATCAATGCTGAATAAGCAAGTCCCTGGATAATGCTTGGGGAGTAGAGAGATGGTCATTGAGGACATCAATGCTGTATAAGCAAGTCCCTGGATAATGTTTAGGGGGTTGGAGAGCTGGCAATTAATGCTCTTTAACCAAGTCCCTGGATAATGTTTGGGGAATAGAGAGCTGGTTGTTGAGGGCATTGATGCTTGGGGAGTGGTTTGCTTTTGGCTATGGGAGAATAATATGAAATTTTCCCAGGCTTGAACTCATGAACATGAGATTGAAATGCATACAGTATGTATACCAAAGTAACCAATACTGTACTGTAGAAGTAAATAGTACAAATTGATATTTAATGTTTAATGACTTTTAGTTCATGAATATAGTGGCATGTAATCATAAATAGTCTTTAGGTGTCATTCTCTGAACAAGTCCTCAATAATATCATTAATGCATACTAACATTAATATTAGGATAATTTTAATTGTAGGCAACTCTAGTAATGACCTTCTATAGATTTAGAGACTCAACCATCAGGTTGTAAACAAATTGCATTTATCCATATAGTACCATGTTTACTCTTCATTCTATTGAGACGTGGTCCATTCATTGGTTGTTTGTATCACAATATAAATTGTACAATGTGTATGTTCTGGCTTACCTTTTTGATGTTTTGCTTTGAGCGTTTATCGTTGGTTGTATCCTCGAGCTATGAAAATTGATTATTAATTTGTTAATTGTTATGAACAAGCTTGGAGAATGTGTGCCTGCTTGCTAAAGGCATGCATTATTTTGCTTGTGTAACTATGTTCTGTTCTACCAAAAATTAATATTTGCAGTAGACTAATTATCAGTTGATGGTTCTGAAACACTTTTCTCCAAAGAGTACAGCATACTAAATTCTTCAACGTATTGCACATAGGACCAATTTGTCATTCAAAAGATGGTTGACTATCAGGAATGTAAAGATTTCTGTAGTTCAGAGCACATATAGTAGCATCACTGTAGCTTGGCCGACATTGATTGTGACTAAGCTGAGCTGCTCTTGCAATTTTGTACATGCAACAATGTATTTTCTCATTATGAATATGGAATGTCAGTTTAATGTCCGTTGAGTGAATCTGATTTCATATATCTTGTTGCATTACACATTATGTGGTATCAGCCCATTTCACCTACTCAGCCGCGCTTCGATGACTTTAATTATGCTTTAGTGCATTTATTCACGCTTCAGTACCTCAAAGTTGAGAATTATTTGTAATGTCTTTCTATTTTTAATTGCTCTGTGCCATTAAAATCCCTTCGGGAATTGTATGCGATTTGATAAGTATAGTTTTATATCAACCATTAAGGTGCTAATAGATTTTTTGTTTACTTTTAATATTTGGTTTTTAGGAATAGTTATGAATTAAGATGTGTCCCACATTTGCCCAACTTCACTATGCATAAATTCTTTCCTTTTCAGAGAAACCATTGAAAAAAAGTCTCAGTATTTAATATAGAACTTATAATTGTCAAAGAGAATACATCTTTTTATGAGGTTTACAAGGTGTACTTTTAGGATAAAATCCTAAAATTCTAGGATTTGACCCCTGCAGACCATATGAATTCAAAAGGTAGCATCATAACCACCATGCTACAGTACAATAAAAATAAGAATTATAATATTTTAATGAATACTGTATCTCCGTATTCATTGTGGATAAATGCTCAAAAACATTGCTATTTAAAAAAAGATTTTGCCATACCGGTATTTGCTTTCAGTTTTGTACACATTTATTATGCTAAAAATAAATTTATTTCTGTGTAGAATTTATGAAGAGTTTCTTTTTTCACAGTTAAATTATTATCTTTGAATTGTCCAGTAATGAAGATGTATGTCACTAGTGTACACTAACATGGCCATCCAATCAGCAATCCATCTAAACATGATGTAGATCCTGCTTTGGAGAACAAACCATTTCATGATGGGGATGTGCAATATTGAAGTATATAGTTTAGTATGTTCTTCAAAATGATGCCACTTCATTTCATTTTCAGGTGATAAGACTCTGGATGGTTACCAGAAGAAGAAATATGTTTGCAAATTGCTCTTTATCTTTCTTCTCGGCCATGACATCGACTTTGGACACATGGAAGCTGTTAACCTGCTCAGCTCCAACAAATACACAGAAAAACAAATCGTAAGTTTGCATGTTTTCTGTTGTTTTTGCAATTTCCTCATCCAATACAATTCACAGGTATACTATAAACAATAAATTTTCATATGGCTTATTAGTATCGATAGTCAAGCTTATATCAACATTGTCCTATGTACTGTATAAGCCATCAAAGCCTAATTTTTGTGCTAGCCAATATTGTCGATTGCTTTCTTTAATATGCAAGCCATCGTAGCCATTGTCCTCTGTCTTGATCATAGTCCGCTGCCCTTATTCATAGTCCCCTGTACTGTCCTAGGCAAGCCATCATAGCCTAATATTGTCTTTTTCGTTGTTTTTACTACTCATTAATCACGATGATAATTTGTTTTTTTGTACTTCATTGTTTTGTCTTTTATAATTTTTTTGTACGAGGATGTGTCGATTTTTGTGTGTGTCAAATTTACAATAAATAAATGATTATTGCCCTCTAGTCCAGACTAGTCATCATAGACAATAGACCTCCATCCCTTAACAGCTATCAGAGTTCATTGTCCACCATAGTCATTGCCCTCAGCCCTTTACTAGCTATCACAGTCCATTGTCCTATATCTTATATTAGCCATCACAGTCTTTTTTTCTTACCTCTTTCACTATTCTTTCCTAATAAAAACCAGTCTATTCTTAACCTAACATGTTGATTTGTTTTTCCCTAGGGATACCTATTCATATCTGTACTTGTTAGTGAGAGCAGTGACCTGATGCGTCTCGTCATCCAGAACATCAAGAATGATTTGAACAGCCGTACACCTGCCCACATCAACCTAGCTCTTCACTGTATCGCAAATATAGGCAGCAAGGAAATGTCAGAAGAACTGGGCAAGGAGGTTCCCAAGTTGCTGGTTTCCCCGTAAGTAGACTTGATGTATACTGTAGTTGTCTACCAGAGTATTAGGTGGGTAGGCAATGATAATATGTGATGGCTACTGTATGTATACTTCAAAGGGAGTTTTGTGATTTGTAATGTGACTGCCTTTGGATTTTTCAGAATTATACCATCTTCATTGTTGTTATCATCAACACCGTTACTGAACCATCATCATCGTTATTGTCATCATCATGGCTACAGTATATAACCATCATTACTCTGTTATATTTACTGTACCATCATTGTTATCATCATTAAAATTGAAATTGAAACTTTTAAGAATATCTTATCGATTTTTGAGAATAACTTTTATATATTGTTTTTAATTTTTATCGAAAATCTATTTTATTTGTGCTCTTTGTATCTTACTCATGTTACTGTATATGTTTGTATTTGTTACGAGGGCCTTTTGAGTCAGCCTCGCTGTAAGAGCTCCCCTCGTAAAAGAAAGTTGAATAAATGATAAATAAATTACTGTATCATCATATCAACATTCATCATTACCATATCATCTTTACTGTATCTGTTATCACCATCATCATTACTGCTTGTATATCATCACCTGTACTGTGTTTATCATCACCCTATTGTTATCATCATCAAAACCATGGTTGCTAATAGATATCCATGATTGCTTTGTTAATCCTTATCCTTAGGATAACAAAAACATCACCAATTTATGTTTCTTAACACACTTTTTCAACCAATTTTCTTTCTTTCTAGTGATACAATTGATGAGGTAAAACAGAGTGCATCACTTTGCCTGTTGCGGTTGTATCGCACATCTCCATCATCTGTCCCAGTAGGAGAGTGGGCGTCACGAGTTATTCACCTTCTCAACGACCAACACATGGTAAGAGTGCTTAAGAAAATAGTGATACCTGTATACTGGAGTTACATTTTAAACTAATCACTGCAATCTAGTCAAAACCTTAAAATACTATCAATAGGTTATGTGTTATGTTTGTGGCTTGTGAAGTGCATTTAAATGTTTCTTTGCCCCTTTGTTACCTCCAGAGGTCATTGGATACAGAATATATTTTACAAAATGTACAGCCTCTTCCACTTCTTATGACAACAACCCTTTTGCTATTCCCCGCTCCTTGTATATTGTTGACAGCCATTAATAAAGAAACATGGCTGAGTGTAGTCATAAAGAAAAGCTTGTGTGTTTGTGGGACATGTGTAGAAGGTCCATTTCCAATGTTTTCCTCTGTGATAAAAACTCAGGATCTTTACACTTTCACCAAGCATTGAAATATTACCAAGTAGGCTCATATTGAAATATGTGACTGCTAGTTACATTATTAAGCCAATGGTCTTATTATCTTTTAAATTGTTTGACCCTTGTGCTTCGTACCATGTTTACATTGTGGTGTCAATATTGTCAAATTGAGATCAACATACATTGAAAATTGTAATTTGTGGCTCAATTTTGTTTATTGTTTTTCGGGTTATAGGGTGTTGTGACTGCAGCAACTAGCCTGATTCATGATTTAGTGCAGGCAAACCCAGAAGACTTTAAAGGATGTATTTCATTGGCTGTTTCTAGACTCAGTAGGGTATGTATTTGTATAGAGTATTTCCAATCACTTATTCAATAATTGCTATGTGATTTGTGCATTTTTTTACTTTATTTATTTTAATCTGCTTGCAGATTGTGACGTCATCGTACACAGATCTTCAGGATTATACATATTATTTCGTGCCTGCACCTTGGCTGTCGGTCAAACTTCTGCGATTACTTCAATGCTTTGGACCGCCAGACGACCCAGCGGTTAGAGGTCGTCTGAACGAGTGTATGGAAACAATTCTCAACAAAGCACAGGTAGTAAATTTGAGGCTTGTTTTTATTTAGTAAATAATTTGTAATAATTTTGACATGTACAACAATTAAAACATTAATAAATGTGTAAAAATCTGAAACAAATACAGGTCTGCCTCCAATTAAAAGACAAAATTTGCGGCCAGAATTTTCATGGTCTTGAGCAGCTTTGGTGTCTAATTAGAATAATAAAGATAAAAGACATTTGTTAATTTGTGACCATGGAATAGTGGACTTCAATTGGAACAGTCTGTAATTAGAGGGATCTGTATATCTGTGTTTTGCTTTTATTTAAGCATCATCAGGAAATCATTTCCAGATGATGCTTAAATAAAAGCGAAACGTTGAATAAAATGGCCTTGTAAATTTTTTGGGTGTGACATTCATACTATTTGTAACTCTACATTACATTATTTAGGTCTTTGCATTGCACAGTAATTTTGTAACATGAATAAAATATAAATTACGATATATTATTAATTTCTCAAGTATAAGGTTTCCAGGTTAATCAGGTAATTATTGTTTGTTTCTGCGCAGGAGCCACCTAAGTCTAAGAAGGTTCAACATTCCAACTCTAAGAACGCTGTTCTGTTTGAAGCGATTAGCCTGATTATACACCACGATAGGTAAGACTTGTCTACATCTGTTGTTATTGTTGACTTTTGTTATTGCTGTAATTTTTTCAATTGTTTTTGGTAGTGTTATTAGTTTATATATTTAGTCGCTATCGTTGTTCCTGCTTCTTATTAATCATTTTATTTAATTTGGTGATTGTTACTTATTTACAGTGAGCCTAACTTGTTGGTGAGGGCGTGCAATCAACTTGGGCAGTTCTTACAGCATAGAGAAACCAACTTAAGGTGAGTTGAAGGTGCCTGCTTTGCTTAAAACTCCATGGACCTTTCCGTAAGCCCCGCCCTTTGTATATTGTTGTTAAGCATTTGGTTGATTGGTATGGTTCCTACCTCTTGCATGCCAGGCCCTTGGTTCGAGATTCGGCTGCCCAAAATTTCCACAGTGTATTACATTTGAGGACAAATAAAGAATATAATTATTATAATGTAATGTAATGTATGTATTACAATAGCGTAAATGTACTTAAACGTGCGTTTATAGGACAAGCACATATTCCTAGCCTTGTTCTGATTGGTCATTTGTTAAGTTTGATTGACACTCTGTTATGGTCCATCCCGTTTATTAAAGCATTACTTTTATCTGGTTGTTGTTTTTGTTGTTAGGTACCTTGCACTGGAGAGTATGTGTCTATTAGCATCATCAGAGTTCTCACGTGAGGCAGTCAAGAAACATCAAGAAACAGTAGTAACTGCTTTGAAGGTAATTTGACATAAACGTTTTAATACTCCTCCTCAACTGCTTGAGCAAAGAGAAAGTAAATATTAACTACCTTATATCTGCTAAAACTTGACCTGTTGGCTCATTTGTGCTTAGTTCGTGATAGTGTATTAATAATGATAATATATATTTTCCTCCTTAAAAATGTAAACATCAGATAGGGGAGGCACCAAATTCCTATAACCCTATCAGTTAGAGCTACCAAAACATACAAAGTGAAACAAGAAACAATAGAGCATACAAATGAAAGACAATTTATAAAAAAATTATTCTAATGTGCGATATCAGATATAAAGCAGTAAATCCAATTTTAATGTGGAAAAATGTCACCATATGAATACAAAAGTAAATATTAAAAATGGCAAATATACTAACAAGGAATGTCTGTTTGATCGATATTTTAACAATTAAGGGAAAATTAAGGGAAAAAAATAGGGTTAATAAATAGAAAACAAAATTAAACAAAATATGAAATAAGTAAATAAATATAAATTTAGATATCTGTATAAAGAGATAACATGCATTGTATTAAAATGCTAGTAAACGAGAAATATTTACAAAATAAAGCTTTTCTTCTAAATGGAGGAAGTATGATTTGGATTATTTTGTTGTTTGACAGACCGAACGTGACGTGAGTGTACGACAACGAGCAGTGGATCTACTGTATGCTATGTGCGATAAAACAAATGCAGAGGAAATTGTTGCAGAGATGTTGAATTACTTGGAAAGTGCTGATTACTCTATCAGGGAAGAAATGGTATGGATGTTTGATAATAATAGCACCACCATTGTAATATTCGTATTATACATTCTATTTTGTTATTGTTAATGTCTTCTTTATCATTGTAGTTAATATATTCATCATAATCAACATTTTTATCATCATCATTATGATCATCATAATCATCAACATTATTATTATCATTATCATCATAAACTTATTATCTTCATCATCATTACTCTCATCATTATCATCACTATCTTTGTTTTCTGTCATTACTATAATTTCCTCAATCCTCCTTTCCCTATCACATACAAGCTTTGCATTTTTTTTTTTATTATCCTTAACAAAGAATGTTATGAAAACATTATTCCTAACATCTCTTGTTTGCAAAATCACAGTATGTACAATATTCTGTTTGTTGACAGGTATTGAAGGTAGCCATTCTAGCCGAGAAGTTTGCAGTTGATTACACCTGGTACGTGGACACCATTTTGAATCTGATTCGCATAGCAGGTGACTATGTCAGCGAAGAAGTGTGGTACCGCGTCATTCAAATTGTCATAAACAGAGATGATGTCCAGGGATATGCAGCAAAAACATGCTTTGAGGTAATTTATCTTTATGTATAATTAACGGAAATATTCATTTATTTAGTATAATGAGATATTATTTTACAAAAATTTAGTAACATTCATAAACAATTAATTTTTTTTTTCTTTTGGTTCCATAAAGTACAGTAGGAAATTTTGTAGGTAAGCAAATAATTGGTTCAACAAAACAGATTGGTAGGGGCATTGATAATGCGAGTCTTCTTGAGGTTATAAAGCGCAGTTCTTTTCCCGGGTCAACGTGTCCACATACTTCAGGTGTTGCTTCTGGTAATCAATCAGGAGCAGGCAACCCCACCAGGTACCCATTTATACTCCTGGGTGGAGAGAAGCAATGCAGATAAAGTGCTTTGCTCAAGAACACAAGCAAAAAAATGCGCAGCGAGGTATTGAAACCCCGACCTCAAACAAAAACGTTCCCATTGCGCCAAACCGCCTTCGACCACTTGCTGCTGATGGGCATTTGAACTTCTTCATAATTTAATTTTCTAATGTAACCATCACTCGGTTTATAGCAGCTTAATTATGGTAATACACAGATCTAAGGCTTTCTTTCAATACTCTATTCCCTCAGGCTCTGCAGGCTCCAGCTTGCCATGAAAACATGGTCAAAGTAGGCGGCTATATCCTTGGTGAATTCGGTAACCTTATTGCTGGAGATCCTAGATCAAGGTGAGTCAAGAAATTTGCATGCAGGTGTTTACAGTTGTACGGTTCATCATTTTAGATTGTGGATGAAGATTGATAATTTTATGACAAATTACTTGTATGCAAGTAGAGTAATCTAAGCTGTTTTCTCGCAAAACAACATTTTTACATACAATCACTTGCACATGAGTAGATTCTGCTTAGTTTCTAACTTAAAAGGAAAGACTCTCATGTGGTATCATTCATACATGAACACATTTTCACAGTTGCTACTTTAAAAGGCATCATCTTTATGTATTCACATGAGTAGATTCCACTAAGCTAATACCTCGCAAGGCATCATCCCTATGTGGAATCACTCAACACATGAGTAGATTCTGCTAAGCTAATACCTCGCAAGGCATCATCCCTATGTGGAATCACTCAGCACATGAGTAGAGCTAATACCTCGCAAGGCATCATCCCTATGTGGAATCACTCAGCACATGAGTAGATTCCACTAAGCTAATACCTCGCAAGGCATCATCCCTATGTGGAATCACTCAGCACATGAGTAGATTCCACTAATCTAATACCTCGCAAGGCATCATCCCTATGTGGAATCACTCAGCACATGAGTAGATTCCACTAAGCTAATACCTCGCAAGGCATCATCCCTATGTGGAATCACTCAACACATGAGTAGATTCCACTAAGCTAATACCTCGCAAGGCATCATCCCTATGTGGAATCACTCAACACATGAGTAGATTCCACTAAGCTAATACCTCGCAAGGCATCATCCCTATGTAGAATCACTCAGCACATGAGTAGATTCCACTAAGCTAATACCTCGCAAGGCATCATCCCTATGTGGAATCACTCAGCGCATGAGTAGATTCCACTAAGCTAATGCCTCGCAAGGCATCATCCCTATGTGGAATCACTCAACACATGAGTAGATTCTGCTGAGCTAATGCCTCCCAAGGCAATTTCCTCTTGCAATTATTCACACAGCAGATTCAGCCAATATGCTGCCTTGCAGTGCAGTATAATGGTTTTTGAGAAAAATGAAATTAAAACTAAACTTAAATCAGAAAATGCATGCTCAATCTGAGATAAATATTTTCTTTACACCATTTACATTCTGCATATATTTTTTCTCATTCCTTTCTTGCAGTCCTCAAGTTCAGTTTGAGCTCCTTCATTCCAAATTCCATTTGTGCAGTGCTCCAACCCGGGGATTACTGCTCTCTACCTATATCAAGTTTATTAACCTGTTTCCAGAGATAAAACACACAATTCAAGAGGTAAGGTCAAATGTCATACAAATATAGAATACTATGTTTTTTGGAAGTTGCTTGTGTTCTTAGGCAAGACACTTTATATTCTACCTACCCAGGAGTACAAATGAGTACCAGCATATGCTGGACTTGCTTTTTGGAAGGAGTGGCGAAATCTAGTCTAGCCCAAATGCCAAGGAAAGAGAGAGGGCACTCACTGCCTGTGAGACCAGAGTTTCAGGATTTGACCTCTACCTTACCTGTGTTAGTGGGTGTATTTAAATTTCGGTAAAAGCTGAGTTAATGCATAAAATGATGGAAAGATTATTTGCTTGTAATATACATTTGTTTTTTGTGACAGGTTCTGCAAACGGACAACCAGCTAAGAAATGCAGATGCAGAACTACAACAACGTGCTGTGGAGTACCTGCATTTGTCAAATAGGACAAGTACAGAGGTTCTGGTAAGAAAGTATTCTCTTTATAAATCATTTTAAAGATGATAATGGAATAGGGAAGGTATCGCTTCCTTCCCTCTTTATAACTGTTAGGTAGCCAACAAAAATATAATTTTGATTCTTAATACTATGTTACTTTGCAAACATAAATACTACAGGCCACAGTTCTTGAAGAAATGCCACCGTTCCCGGAAAGGGAATCGTCTTTACTTGCCAAATTGAAGAAGAAAAAACCCTTGGGATTCCAAGAGGAAGAAAAGGCCAAGACAAAAGCCATGCCTGGAGTGTCAATCAACAACGTAGGAGGCGAGAGCAGCACAGATGATGTGCCACCACCGGTACGTAATATCCAATTTGATTTAAAAATTTGAAACTTTTTTAAACTTAAAATGAAATCAAAATTCACACATTTTGAAATACTGGGGATACCTTCCAGACTTAAAAATTTGTCCTCTTAATAGGAATACCCCTATTCAGGGGACACTAACCAAAAATGTAAAATTTTCCCCTTAATAGGGGTTTTGTCATGTTTTCATTATATTTTTATTGACATATGAATCAGTTACAGTAGAATTAAAACTAATTTATAGCAATAGTTTGCAATGCAAATACAATTTATTGATAATATATAATCAGCAGAAATGTAATTAAAACAACAATAGTTTTGTATTTTACCAATACTATTTCATGATGCAATGTTAATGACCATTTTTTTTTTTTTTATATTTTGCTTTCTATTTGAAGGATGTAGCATGAATGAGTAAAGACTTAGAATTACTAGGGTACATGTTTTATTATAGGGGTTATTTGACTATTTGGCACACTCAGAAACTGTCCCCGCCCCTTAATAGGGGTTGGCCGTAGTTTTAAAAGATATATTGGCCCTCGTTTCAAGGAAAGTGTCTACTTAAAAGGGGTGTCCCAAAGGAGGGGTTGTACTGTATAGAAAATAGAGAATTTACTGAAAAGATAATTCAATTAATTTGGCGTATTTTCTTCCAGTCTCAAACGTTGCCAAGCGCACCGGCACCATCAGTTGACCTTCTTGGTTTGGATGCGCAACCAGCAAGTTTTTCTGCACCGCCCGCAACCAATAACTCTTCTTTACTTGTCGACATGTTTGGTGGTGCTCCGTCTGCTCCTCCCCCAAACTCTGTGTCTATTGGCGATCCAAACACTTTGTCCCCTGGTGCTGAAGAAAATTTCAACAAGTAAGCAAACCTTGATTATTCCTTGTGATTAATTTTAAAAACACACAATTCAGCATAATCATAAGAAATTACGGTTTTTAGTACATTTTATTGTTTCAAAACTTGCCAAGACAAAGCTACCTTTGTGTCTTGTACTCAATCTTTGGAACAAGCGTTATAGCTCCTGACATCATTGCCGTATGCACAAATATATATCATCTTGTTACTACTTTTCAATTTATTGTTTTAAGCTGTTTTGAGGGCGCTGTGTACAAATGATGGAAATTAAATTCTGCTTTGAATGATTCATGAGTTTGTACATGTTTACATGTTGTTCATCAAGTTTATTCACTTTTTGTTTTTGGAGTGGGAGTTTTCATATGTTGTTAATTGGGCTTTGGTACTGCTACTGTGCACTTGTAATTGCACTTTTCTTGGTGTTACTGTTATCTTCATACAGTGTATTACCTAATTATACCTTTAAAACTATTTCTCTCTAGATTTATCTGCAAGAACAATGGTGTACTTTTTGAAAATGAGCTTCTTCAGATCGGTGTGAAGTCGGAATATCGAATGAACCTTGGGAGAGTAGGGCTATTCTTTGGTAATAAGACATCCTACCAGTTCACAAACTTTACCACACAGGTGACCTGTCCGGCAGATCTGGCCTCGAAAATTGCCGTCCAAACAGATTCAGTTGGTGATACAATTGAGTGTGGCGCTCAAGTTCAACAGATGATTAATGTGGAATGCATTGAAGATTTCTCAGAGGCACCCAGGATTAACATTTCATTTGTGTAAGATGTAGATCTTTTCCAGGTCCTGTTTTGTTTATTATTATGAAATTCTTAGATAGAGATACTGTTACTGCTCTATTAGCCTTAAAGCCAGGACCCGATTTTTCTAAGACACAAAAAGGGTGTTTGACAAAAAAAATTGGGATCAGTTAATTAGATACAGATTTTGGAATATTTAAACACTGGGGGAAAAAAGCGGTTATGCCCCCTTTACCCCATTTTTTAAATATTTAAAAATCTATCTAATAAAGTGTTCCCAAGTTTTTCAAGTACTGATATTACCACTACTGATGATTGTGACTGAGAGAGATCATAAATAATCAAATAATTAGTAAATATAAATAAATATTAATATAAATATAATATAAATAAATTATATATATATATATATATATATAATAATGATATATATAATATAATATAAATATAATATAAATGATGATTGTGACTGAGAGAGATCATAAATAATAAAATAATTAATAAATATAAATAAATATTAATATATATATAATATAAATAAATAATATATATATATGATAATGATATATATAATATAAATATAATATAAATAAACATAAATAAATAATAATAATTATTAGTTACATTTTACAATGATTGCTTTAAGAAAAGAAGTTTTTTTTTCCTCATTGTCTTCTTTGTACAGCTACGGTGGCGCTAAGCAGTTTGTGAATCTGAAGGCTCCTATTATGGTTTCTAAATTCTTCCAGCCGGCTGAGATGGGCTCTTCTGATTTCTTCTCCAGATGGAAACAGCTTAATCAGTAAAAAAACTGCTCCTTAATTCAATTCTGATATACGTATTTAATTTGGTTAGAATATCCAAAACATTTTGGCACAGTGCACTCTGGATTGTGAGGGTGGAGTGGGGGTTGAATCCCAGCCTGGTAATTTATTTGTGTCCAGGTGCAAGGCACATCTTCATTTGTCTGCCCACCCTGAAGTATAAATTAATGTGATGTGAGTGTTCTGTGTTGAATGTAATTTTAACTACAAATACCAGGAAATGGAGGAGGTTACTCACTGTCAGAATTGACTGTCAAAATTATAATCCAAACTGGTGGATTGTCATGTTAAATTTAGTAGAATAATTTAAAAATGAAAGAACTTTTTCATCAGAATTTTTCTTGTTTTTGATGTTTATTGTTGTATTCTGTGTTTGTAATATTTATTAGCTAGTTTATCAGAGTTACTGTTGATATTTTCAGCCCAGCGCAAGAAGCACAGAATATTTTCAAGGCCGCCCTTCCAATGGACAGACAGGCAAATAATACAAAGGTAGGTAAACAATTAACATATTTCAATAAATTCATGTGTAATTAACTGATTTTCTTATTGTTTTCGTCAGGAGATTCAGTGGGAATGATTTTTTGCCCCACTTGTTATTGTACTGAATTCTTAGTTTGTTCCAAAAAACGTGTGGAATATGACTGCAGTATCCGCTGCTACATGGGGATTGCATTCATCACTAGCCACTAAGCACAAGCTCGGTGGTCTAGTGGTTAAGACACCAGACTAGATATCTAGGTGGTGTGTTCGCTTCCTACTTAAATCACTTGCAAGATATTTTTTTTTTGCAAGTATTTGGGAAGGTACAGAGCATTGGGAAGGACTAAACATAATACCTAACTGATTATCCATATCCACACTGAAAGTTTATACTCTACTATTTTCTGCAGTTTTATTGATTTAAACCTTATGGAATTTCAAATGTGCATGAATAAATCCATTGTTCCAAATTGTTAGTATTTATGTAATGTTTTGCTAAATTATCTTCCAGCTTGTCGGCTTTGGAATGGGATTGTTGGAAAATGTTGACCCCAACCCGGATAACTTTGTCTGCTCTGGAATTCTACAAACAAGAAACCTACAAATTGGTTGCCTCATGCGACTGGAACCAAATGCACAGGCCCAGGTGAGTAAATTTTACAGACTGTAATTTGTACCATTATTACCATAAATTTTTGAATAAGCACCGCAACACTTACGCAATTTTTGGAGGCTCCAGTGCGGTGCATATTCGAGAGCGGTGCTTTCCATGCCCATTCCCATGTTACCTATCACACATACTCCTGTAGTTTGGTAGCCCTATCATAGACATCATCGTAAATAAACGTTTATAAAGATTTGTGTTTTCGTCGTGTTATTTATTCATTTGAACGCTGCATACATTGTATTTCAAACACTGTTTCTCAAAGTGTTTTATTAGACACGCGGTGCTTATTCGAAATAGAATAATCTTAGTGAAAAAAAGTCATGTGTGATGCGCTGCCTATTCAAGAGCGGCACTTATTAAAGGATTTCCGGTATTTACCCTACTGTTGGTAAATTTTTTAAAAATTTGCAGCTCAAGGGATAGTGTTAAAAATTGATATGAACTGAAATTTATTGTCATATCTTGAAAAAGCTGCATTACTTGTCTTAATGGGGTTTGTGGTGTTTTTGAAATAACTTTTTTGTGGGGGGGTGGGGATTCACAGTGCTATATGTTGCCAGTTGGTGTGATGGTGATGATGTTGATAATATCGATAAAGATTTTGACTATAATAATGATGATGATGATAATGATTATAATAATAATGATAATGTTGTTGGTGTGAGGTGGGGTGGTGGTTACTTTGATAATCAACTGATTGATTAATTAATTTATTGATTTTACAAACTTATTCCATTTTTCCCAGATGTATCGTCTTACTTTAAGAACCAGTCAAGAGAGTGTATCAAAGGAATTGTGTCGGTTGTTATCGACACAGTTTTGATCAACACCACTCCTCACCAGTTGTTAATACCACTTGCACCTGGATCAATATTGCACTTGTTTTTCATTCTAAATAACTCTTGCAATAGTATTCGTGACATATTCTTTCATAACTATCGTATTAGTTACTCCAATATAAGAAGAAAGGTACGTACAATATGTGAATTTATGCGAGAGTTACAATAACAATCTAAGGACAAAACACATATTGAGTGAATTACAAAATAGGGTGAAAATACATGTTATTTTATGTGTAGAATGTTTTAAAACCTAATTGGTGTTGTATTTGACTGTTAAGAATAGTCTGTAGTGTATGTGTTTCTAGTACAAGATAGATAAAAGTATATTTTCTCCACAGATATAAGATTAATACAGTACCTTGTATATACATTTAATCATCTCAGTAAATCCCCAGTGGTACTGTTAAGGCTCCAAATTTTCTGGAACGTTTGTGATATATTCTCAAATCCCTTTTGCTGATACATGATTAATTGTGATGATCTCAATACCAATTCATAATTCATATTATCCAGTTAAGCTACGTAAAAATCTGTCTTAATTACCGTGTTCTTAATCTACTGATCTTGATGCATAAACTACTGTATGCTCAATAGAAACATGAGAAATATATGTAAGCCCTATAGTACTTAGTTAATCTTAATTATACCTATTTAATCTCCCTTATACATAGTTAATCTTTATTATACCTAGTTAATTTCCATTATAGCTAGTTAATCTCCATTATTATACCTAGTTAATCACTAAGCATTAGATTTACGTATCTTTACTAATGTTTTAGTGGTTAATAATGATAAAACTAGGTTATCTTTAATATGGTTTGTCTTAATGGTACTTAATTAATCTCCATAATATCTGGAGAATAGCAGTAGAATCTGCTTAATCCTTTATATTTCCAACAACCATTTCTCATCCAATAATTTTGAGCATATTGGTCTAAATAATAAAGCAGTTTTTATATAGCACATCATGAAAATAAGGCTAAAACCTAATGGAACACATACACAAATCCCTGGTGGAGAATTTCATATAATTGCTGATATTATTCAGCTTAATGGCATTCGGTCCTAGCTGGTACACACAAGGTAACCACCATGTACCACTTATTAATCGAGGTGGAGAGATGGCTGTAAAGTGCCTTGCCCAAAGACAAACACAATTGACAGTGCAGTTTGACCTTTGACCGCAAGCTTGAAAGGCTGAATCACAACCACTGTGCCAACTGCCCTATTGGTATTGGATTACAAATTTGTGTATAACCATATATATACAATTTGGCCAAATCTATATATCCAGAGAACGTAGAACGTCCGGTAGGACGGTCACTCATGATTGATTGCATTTTAGCATCACATCGTCGCGCAAATCGAAAGCGCCCTAATAATACAATACCAATGATCAAACAAAGACATTGAAAGGAGCAGAAATGTCTAGAGAAATTTGTGAAGTGCATACTTTTATTTATTTTCCGAATGTTTGTTTTCCATTTTGAAGCAATTTGGATATTGTTTCTTCCACAAAATTTAAAAGAAGGAAAGTATAAAGAGTTGTGAAGACATTAAATGAACTGAGATTCAATGAATTTGTGAGGGGGATTCAAATGATGGTGTTAAAATTGTAAAATAAGAAATAATGGATTTGTATATGAAAAATATCAATTTAAAAAGCATAAATAGAAAAAAAAATGTAAAAAAAGAGCAATGTTGTATTTCAGTGATATGTCATGGTATGTTTGTTTTTTTTTTTTATATTTTTGATTTTATTCCAATGAATTATTAAATGCATTCTGAATGAACAATCCCAAATTGTTCTGAATAATGCTAAAGAAATTCCAAATTAAATTGATAACTTAAATTTTAACCAAAAAAAATAAAACAAATTATGATTGATGACAGCCAAAGCATGTTTATAATAGAAATATCATTTCTCTGCTAAGTGTTGCTAAGACTAACAATCACACTATTGCCCTTGTTAAATTAGCGCAACATATTTTCATAGTTAAGATTCAAATTTAGTTGAATGTGTATTTTTATTCTACATAGACCTTTCATTTTTTGTGTTTAAAACTAAAAATGTCAAATTAATATATGGATATTGATGGAAGGAGGATAAATGTTAATTTTATACCCATTCCAGAAAAGAACAATGTTTACATTAGATATTTTTGGTCCAAATATTGATATAAAAATAGGAATATTATTATTTTTATTGATATTATGATATGAAGCAATTTACACAGTATAGTAAACTCAGCTTTTCTTTATTTTATGTATTTGTAGAAGTAGGCAGAAGAGGCTAGATATGTAAATAACACTCTTTCTAAGAAATTTTAAACAAACAACGTTTGTGTATTCGTGTTCCATCGTAAAATACATGTAAAAGATGATGAGGGTCAAACATTGATTATTATTGTTATTATTACTATTATTCATATCAATATAAAATAGCTGTTATTTTTTATTAATATTGTTATTATAATTAAGATTGTTATCAGTATAAGAATTATATTATTACTCATGATTCTTCATGTTGAATTTATTCATGTTTTTATAAGTTGATGCAAAATTATTTTATTGTATAAAGAACATAATGTGATGTTGAATACAGTATGTTAAAAAATATTGGTTGAGGCCTATTTATGGCACTGGAGCATAGTATGTAATCTTAAGTATACCTTGTGCTACTACAGATAAGTGCGATTTAAAGATTTACATTCACTGAGCTGACACAGAAAACCGTTATATTATGTAACGACAGCAGCTCATATGCCATTGACAGTGCGTAGTTTGTTTACTGCTAATCATATTACTACGCATAGGCCCACATATATAATTTAAAGTGACAACAAATACTGGAATGGTCAACTGAAAATAAAGTATAAAATTTAATTACTGGATATGATAATATGGGATGTTTATATTATTTTTCTTAATTACATGATAAAAGATAATGATAGATATATTAAATGGACTGATCCCTATCCACACCTGATGTTACCTACAGCTTATCTGGCTTTGATTGATACACTCAACTGCACGGTCGTTGAGCCTGGAGATGTCGTTGGTTAATGTACCAAACTTTATGATGTAATAAAACAAAGAGTATCCCAACATTCAGTACTATTACTGTGTTTGCATGTCTCTTTTAGTTTTCTGCTTATTGTATTACTGTAACAAAAGGAACGTCGCTACATTGTGTTTTTTTTTTCCAAATAATATTAATATGAAAAATTAAATATATTAAAAAGGAAAAACATTTCCAATCCATCTTGAAGTCATTTTCAAATTAAGTTAGATACAGTTTGTAGATGCATTTTGTATATCACTTGAATTTGAATTCAAGTTTGTGTCGACAAACGTCGTTCCTTTGTAAGCGTAATTTTTCTATTAACGATTTATTCTTAGCTTATTCTAATTCGTAATATTAATATCTTACATTATGCTTCTTGCCAACATTGCTTTTAAAGCTAGTTTTACATTAGGCAAATTTATTCACGCGAATCGAAAGCTTTATTTTGCTTCCTGAGCTCTGATTGGTTGCGCACTTTTTCGCTTCGCAAAAAGTGAAGTAGTTTGAACAACTGATTCGCTGAAGCGAGAAACTCTGATAGAAGTGTGAATGCGCATGGTCATGGACCGACGCTTTTGATTCGCGTGAATGAGTTCGCTTAGTGTAAAACTCGGCTTTAGCGCTTCACATTATTACGCCCGGTCATTGGATCAAGCACATACAGAACACATACTCAGTTTCCGATGGGGAATTCAATAATGTTGTAGTTAGTAATCAGCGCATTTTATGTTTAAATTGACCAGTTACCCACTTTTACTCCTGGTATTTGGTGGAAGTAGGCCTGATCGGCAATATCAAAGCTGTTAATTTGATTTAGCAGTCAGTTTTTTACGTAAGATATTATCTGTTTTGAATGTCCTCGAGTAGCATCTGTCGTGCATCCGTACTACGCTTATCAACTATTACTACCGAAACGGACATGATATTTTGAACCGTCATTATCATATTGACACAATAATTGCCGAGCTATTTATGTTGTAATACCAATAATTTGCGTGGAGAAATATTGTTAGTCTAGACCCTCTCTCCGCATTTAATTGCCACGATTTATAGTGGAGTTGTTATTATAAAAAGTTTCTTAAATTAGGCGCATACAAATCCTTAGTGACATCGTATGTTATAGCACAGATCCTAGTTTGGTGAGAAGGATCGTACCACTAGTGTACGCGCCACCGATTCTAGACTTTAATGTGTGGGGATGACTTATTCATGGCAAATTGATTGGCCGAGCGGTTAAGACGGGAACGCTCGCCTATGGTTCCGGTGGTGGAACAAGTCTTCTCGGATAAGGACTCTAAACACAATTGGCTCGTGTGCACTTTAAAGAAACCATTACATCATGCGAGAAGAGTAGGGGGTTACCCCAGTGTACTGGTCCATTTCCAGTCCCCTGTCCGGCCACAGAAGGAGCGTTTATGTCGCGGTCCATGTCAGGTATCCATCCTACCTGCGAATCCTACCACACTCCGTAAGCAAGATCATACACACTAGCTACGTAGTATGTTGATTTAATTCTCTGATATTGTGCTAACGAAGAATTAGTTAGAAACTCAATGAGTTTGCTGAAATCATGTACTGTTAACAATCACTTTTACCCCAACTTATAATGGACTAGTCGAGAGAGTAAACATTCTCGCACGAGTTATTGGTTAATGCCTGGTTGTAATTGTCATTAGTCAAGACAAAGTTGGTTGACCTGTGAGATAGTAATATTCGGAAACTGATTTCGGCGGAAATTTTTCCAATTTATAAATATTAATTTTATATTGTGACGGCAGTGTTTGACAGGCTAATCTTCGAATGATCAGATTGCCTGTACGTAAGTAGTTGACTTGGAATGGCAACGTCAGTTTTGAAGCACTCAATCCAATCGATATTGAAGGAAGTTGATGCAATCCCTCGAAAAAACCAGTCACCATTTTCGAGAGAGGGTTTTCGTCCGTTTCGTTGCCACACATTTAAATATTCTACCTTAGTACCCTTCCCCATCGACCAGCGAGTTGATAAATGCGGTTGTGTTACCACAGAATCCGTAGAAAAGACTACACTGACTTCTGGTAACGTTGCACCCGCGTGTGCTACTGAAAATGTCATATACCACGGAGACGCCTCCCCCGGGTTAGATGAAACGCCATTTAGATCGTCATTTGAAGGTGTGTCCCGCGGGTTAGATTTGACTCCATATAAGTCGGCATGTAGTAGGCCTACTAGGCCTACTTGTGTAGGCCTACTACCACAACAGACAGATCGATCTGTAAAAGCGCCAGATTCATCAATTATTAAAGGTAAGGATGCCATTTTTATTATAATGAATCATCAGGAACACATACATATACTGTGTATTATTTACTCCATATGTTACAGGCCTATATAATGCATTATTCTAACACTGTTTTTCTTTTAAATAGGCCATTAAGCTGTTATAGCTTTTTGCACGCATTTGCTTTGAAATTAATAATATTAATATTATTATTTTAATCATCGCCTTTAAGAAGTCACTAGTTTACTCAACATTTTATTTTGCACTACAGCATGTAGTGCAAAATAAAATGAAAAAATAAATAAAATGAGTTTGTAACCTAGTGTCTTTGATTACTTATTTATATTACTCTACGTGTGTATGGAGCACTTTCGTCTTCATGATCTGATTCAAACTAACCACGCAGATTATATACTGTCTCTTATACACATCTAGATGTGTATAAGAGACAGTATATATATATACCTATTTATAAAGCATAACATCTTATATCATAAAATTATATTTTATGATATAAGGTTAGGTGCCTGTCTTCGCTATTCAATTACGATTACTCATAAATTAATTGTTATTGCATTGGAATCAATTTACTACCGCAGCCTAATCACATTATAGCGTGCTTCAGTTTTATCAGTTCAAATATTGGTGCCATAAAGCGTTATAAAGCGATTAATCGAGGAAAATCCTCGTTAAAACACTTGGAAACTGCAAACTTAAGCGCCTCATGTAGGCCTAATTATTATACTGTAGGCCTACGTAATTAATGGTTGTTTATCCTCAAAATTGCAATTATATAAATTTATTATAGTAAAAGAAATTAAATTAAAATTTATGCATACCGTCACACTAGCGATTAGTGAATATGATAAAATCAGGTCTAGATTTTTGGGTGTGAAAAAAATGCATGTAAAATCAATCGAACATATCATTTTACATAGAAGGGGTTTAATCATAGGCCTAATTCCATTAAGGGAAGCGAAATGACTCGGAGAGGTCGACAAGTAATATGGGAACGAATGCATACATCTACGGTAGGCCCTCGACGCAATGATAGCTCATTTTATCACTGGACATGCCCACGTAGTTTGGCTAAGCGTGCTATCTCAATTGCGTTTTTATTGTTTAATGCAATTATGTATTTTATAATAAATCATACTAATTGGCATCTATTGATATTCATCCCATTCATTATGGTGACAACCATAATCAAAAAAAAAAAAAAAATTGTCATAGACCCCAAAATAGATAAGTTAAAACCTAATACCTGATCTATAACCTCATTGAGTATTATTAAATAATAACTCAATGGGTGTGAAAGCATATAGCATGTAACAGGGGTAGGCCCATATAAACTTTTATCTTTAGATATAAACACATCATTAACTTTGTTTATAGACGATATACTCTCCCTTTCCGTGGATTCTGTAGTCTTATAACGGTTGTTTTTGCCAATTATTGTGATAATGTTTTTTACTACTACCGATTCGAGTGCCTTTGCTCAGCAACGCATCGCTCATAAAAGTCAATACAGTTTACTTTAAAATTCCGGAACATTAAACGCACTAATTCAACGTGTATATAGACTGAAATCAGTTTATGGTTTTCGAAAGGTCAAATTCCGTACAATTTACACAAATTTTATTGTACCGTGGTACACTATAATTCGATGGCAAACATCATTCGACGATTGGTGTTTTTTACAAGAAATCATGTTTCAGGCCTTGCTAATTACTGTACTTAGTAATTATGCATGACGTTGCCATAAACGCACACCTCTCTCTCTTGCTTGAAGTTGTATTACTAACTACGACACTTCTTTTGTTTGTAAGCATAGTTATTGTACAATAGTAAAAAAGCTTTTGAGGGCGCCGCACAACACTATTGCACTTATAGCCTATTTTTTCATAACCTGTTCCTATGTAGATCATTCATTATTTAAATAGTTTTTTTAGCACAGTTAAGTGATTGTAGATAGAAACTTTTTATATTTCTGTCCCTGAAACCTGTACTCAGAAGTACCGAGATTGTGCCGGCTGAGGATACGTTTTCATCATGGGTATAGGGTTTTATGTAAAAAAACTTTGGGAGTCTGTGTTACGTCCGTAATAAGGTGAAATGTTTTGTATCTTTAATTGGACCAGGGAACAGTTAATTTCACTTGCCTGATTGGACAGTTTTTATTTATTTCAGCTAAGCCTAATATCCTACTGTAATTTTCTTCTGTCGCTTTGTTTATAAGTAATGTTTCGTCAAATAAATTTATTTAATTAACAACATTACATTTTTTCATACTCTAGAGAACAGGAATCCATGTTTCTATTCGACGTCTATTAGCAATGGTATCTCATCGGAAGATGATACGATTGCATGTAGGGGTGAATCAACATCACATAGGCCCAACATAGCTTCAAAGCGTTCAGGTTGGTAAATTTAACCATAGATAATTTTTACGATGAATAACTTTTATATATTGGAGTTTTCGCAAGCTTATAAGAAACGATAAAGAATACGGTTCAGGGGCGGATCCAGAATTTAAAAGAGGGGGGTTCAAAATGTTTCCAAAAAACTCCCCCAAAATGAAAGAGGGGTCCCGGGGGTCATTTCCGGGAAAATTTTTATTCCTAGATGGCCGGAAATGAGCTTTCCCGACTTCTGAGGAGTATTTTCGTACATAAATTAATACGACGGCGAACCAAAAACAGTGTGTATATTTTATTTAATTGAAAACTAGTTGGGCTAAGCCTAGTTTGTCTGATCTTCAAAC